GCGAAGCCGCCGTAGAATTTGGATACTTTAAGGTACCGCTTGTTATCTGGGATGGAGTAGAGTGTTGCAAAAACCATGCCTACCATAATACCTAGGAAGGCTAGGCCGCCGATACCCTGGTTCCAGCCGCGGCCTTGTTGGTAGACGATAGGGAAGGCAGCGAACATCATGAACAGCGCGCCGTAGATGATAGCAATGTAGACGGAGAGGAGGAGAACGATTGGTTCGCGGAAGAGCAAGACCCAGGGTCGGAGGAGAGCTTTTGCAAACATGCGTTTTAGGGAGACGCCACCTTCTTGCTCGATGTCTAGTTTTGTGCGGTAGACTTTGCCGGTGAGTGTTGAGAGGCGTTTTGCGCGTTGGCGGAGGAGGACCGGGGCGTAGGTCTCTGGGACGAGAAGTGTCATTGTTATCCAGAGGACGCCGGAGAATGCGGCGAGGAGGCCTTCGACCCATTTCCAGCCCGCGTTCATGCCTAGGAAGCCACCGACGATGGGCCCGAGGACGGGGCCCATGAAGGGTGCGGCTGCGAATAGACTTAGTGCCAGGCCGCGCTGTTCTGCTTGGAACATGTCGCTGATAACGCCGCCAGAGTTGGTAAAGGGTGCCGACCCGGCACAGCCGCCCAGAAATCGTAGGATAGCCAGGGTTTGTATATTCTCGGCCCCGGCGCAGCCAGCAAGAAAGGCGGTCATAAGACCCAGGGAGAAGATGAATGGCGTTTGGCGGCCGATGAACTCGCTCAGCGGAGCCCAGAATAAGGGCCCTAGGGCAAATCCGATAACGAAAAGCGATAGTCCAAGCGTGGCGAGCTCTGTTCCGATATTGAGATCTTCTTTTACCTGATTGATAGCGCCTGTATATGCAGACGACGCTACAGCAACCGCCAGTGCTGCCGTCGACACCACGATCGTGATGCCCACCTTTCTCATGGTTGGCATTAACATTGGGTTCCGAGGATCATTGGGGATCCAAGACACCACGAACGGATCCTCCACCGTTCCTGACCCGGGATAAGTGTAATCCAGCACATCCTGAGTAATGGCACCTTGGTCGAGTACCTGTCGCCAGTAAGGTATAGTTCGCGGCTGGTCAACTCGAACGCTTTCCAAGTCAGTTGTCTCCAGGCCTGTTCCCATCGTCGCCGGTTATATTGATACCCCGGAGAGCACGCAAGAGTAGTTTGAAACGTCGTAACGGAATCCATCGTTCTTTTAGTGACCAGAGAACAATTTTCGCGAAATCCGATGGGTCCTAGGACCCATCGGACTTTGAAGCGATATCCGAAACCACTGCCGAACCGGCCCACAGGGCCAATCGGGTCCTCATCATCTTCATTTTCTCCATAAGGAGGGTCTCTGCATTGCAACCCATTTGTCATCTGGACGGGTAAAACGGCACGCTACCACTGTGCCCCATGCGGAGAATCTGCAAGGTCAGTTGTCGTACAAAGGGCGCAGGGCGTACTTTGTAGGGCGTGTTAGGGCATAACGCCGATGTGTAGCCGTTGTGTACAGAATTATACGCGCTTATGTAATAAATCGAAGTCATGTGCTCTTCATCGCAATATTTTTGTGCCTTCGTACAAAGTGATCCAGCTTTTTATGAGGGTCAATATGCTGTTTGGGCGATGCTAGAAACGGCGAGAATAAGGTTGACTCCCGTGAGATATTGTCAGCTTCCATCAATCCGTGTGCCATTTGAAGGTTGATCGTACTTCCTGCAAGCAAGCCACGGCAACAGCACTGCCAGAGTGCTTTGCCATCTTCTGGACAACTCCAGGTTTAGTGCAAATTGATTTGAAGTCACCTGTCCGGATTTCAGTCTAGCTCACAACCATTTACTTCGTAGAAGCCCGTATAGATTGACAGAAACGATGGATTGCTGAGAACACGAATAAGTATTGATCACAAGATCCATGATATCCAATATTATTGGAGATTCTTTCGAGTCCTGCATTTACTCAGCGGGTCATTCATCGTTGAATATAGCGGCTTCTTAGATAATGAAAGGACCGTATGAAAAAAACTAAACCTATTGGATGCCAATCGCCTAATATGGGAAGGCTACCGACAAGTCCACCATTTCCAATCCTCTAGGTTTCTGATGAACCATTGAAAACACAGATATATCCAGCGTGTGCATATATAGGAGCTTTTTTAGCGCTCTATATTGTTGTGCCGATTTTCGTAAGCGAAATGGCGGACATGTGGATTTTTGTAATAGAGAGTGCCTTGTTGCAGTTCTCCAAGGTGTTGATCAGGCTAACGCCATACTTGTATGGGTGTGGAGAAACGACCATTGAGCCAGAATGTAGATCTTATGGCCTTGACTGAGAAGACAGTGACTGCGTTGGAGTATTCAGCAGCTGAACTTGGGGGTTACATATAAGAATAATGGGCCCAATTAACGAGGCTCATGAGGCTGTTGAGGTGCTTCTAGCACCGGAATAAGGCAATAAGAAATGGAATTCAATGTCAAGGACAATTTGTGTAGCAATTAAGGATGAATGGATGCGGCAAGCTGGATATCTTGGGTTTCATTTGCCGTTGACCTATTCAAGCCTTAGCGCGACTACGTTCAAGCCTCGATGGACTTATGGATTTCAAGAATATTTTGGTAACATACTAGGCACTGAGTTTCAGAGTCTGCAGTATGCGGCTCTTCGATGACCAGGTTCCATAACACAACCGTAATAAGTTTATGTTTATTTGGCGAATACACATGCCGCCAATTATCCATGGCATACGAGAATCTCCAGGGTATCCACTAGGAAAAGAAAGAGAAATTTTGAGAAGGTACCTCACTTTAAATGTCATGACAATGTAGGCAGTCATCACTGTCAATTCTGGGATTTGTCGGAAGCCAGCGTGGGACTCAGCCCGGATCAGTATCATTATGCGACCAAAAAGTTCGTCTGTCGGTTTTTTGGGTCTGATAAGCGGTTGTGTTGGTGATATAGGTCTAGACAAAGCAAATCGTCAATGACATAATGCCAACGGCATACGAAAGTTCGATCAACTCACTTCAATTTCGACAATATATTCTGTCGCACCCATCCATACCGTTGCTTATCTGAGATCACGGATAGGCCATTGAAACACGCTTCATCCTGTCGCTCATCGAAAGATTTCTAACTCGATCGAAAAAAATGCCCACTCGCATCCTGTGTAGTAGGGAGGCGCCCTTGATCCCGCTGAAAGACAGTTCAATGGCGCGTAGAGAACGGATAATATCCGTGGATCGCGTCAAGGTGAGTTGCCCTATTATAGCAAGTGCCACGATTTGTTAGCGTTATTCCCGCACTATTCTTAAGGCTCAAACACATACCCATGACGGCGAGTACGCTCCTTTGAGATTATTCTCAGAGTCCATGTGGTTGTTGGTGGCACTATCTGCCTAGACTTCGAAGAATACTTTTGTTGTCGAAAGACTAGTCTTTTAATCGATCCAAAGAGACTGCTTGTGTCAACTCAAGTCACCACAATAACTGAGTCACTGTTTGATCAAGTCTTTGGCCACAGCATAATGCGGAATGCTATAGCTATAATTTTGAAAGAAGAGAGTTGAAAGAGCCTGAAAAAAGCCTAGCATGCAATTATGTGAATGAGGCTCATGTCAACCATTCCCAAATAGGAAGCCCTATTTCCACGACAACTCCCCAAGCCTCCCAAACCATCACAAACCAACACACAATCCGCTTCTCTTTATGCTCTGTCTTCGTTCTTTCTAACCATTAATTGTCTTAAGGATACAAAAGATCTCAATTTGGTTCCAATGAAAGAGCCGTTCCGACGCAAGCTCAGAAAACCGCAACGGCACACAGGCTGGGATCTCAAAAATTTCAACCCAAGGCTCTATCACGTCGACATTTGTCCTTTGGGGATTTTTGCTGCTATAGGTTTCTTCATTCTTTGCAGTACGCCGCCTACTTCCCCAAAAGAATATTGCCTTTCAGAATCAATCCTAAACTGAATCCAGGCTTCGAAGACCCTCTAATCACCATAGCGACTGAGATCCGCAAAATCGCCAACAACGAAAAAACATGGACAGAACTTATCGGCGAAGCACTTATATCGGCTTTCGTCCTATGGCTGCTTCTTACACTCGCTGTTTGGGTTGAAAATGCTATAACTTGTTGCTGTCAGCGCCGTCGTCGCAACAAGATGAAAAGGAAATAGGCAGCTTTACCGGAACACGACTTCGAGATAGACTAGTCTCATTCATGCTTGCTTGTTCTTTCGAATGATACCTTTTACAACTCGATGAATGTCTACGATTACGATTACGATTCAGACGGCTAGGATAATAGTGGGGATGGTTTAGGGCTAGAGATTTGTGGGTCACGGATTATGTCTCTGTTTGATTTGCGGCGTTATATGGTCTTTCTTGATTAGAAATGTATTCCTGTTGACGATTTGCTGTAACTAAGGATGGAGAAGGATTCTATTTTTATTTAAATGTGCGATATACCTCGTGTTTGCTTCCATACAAGATCTGGCGGTTTATTTGATTTCTTCTAAGAAGTCAGTAATCCCAGATAACCTGACTATTTCCCCCTCATGGCGTTGCCACGAAAGCCATACCGACCATCAAGCCGAATAGGACGACATCGACCCCGAGGTACATACGCCATCCCATCCGCATGCGCTATGTTCAGCCCATAGAAATATACCCGGGGAAAAACCAGCTCATTTCAATATGCACAGTTCAAACAAATGACGATACGGACTCCTCGTCCGAATGTCCCTGCTTTGCACCTGACCTAGAAAGAATTTTTCAAATCGTCTTCGAAACGAAGTTCACGTTGGCGCGAGTCGACCTTTAATGGTTCACGAGCGCTATCTTGTCTTGCCGTGAAAGGTCATCGTTGTTTCAACATTTGATTGTCACATGTGAATGGTTGAAAGTATGCCAGTGAGTCTGAAGCTGGCTAGCGGTAACAGTTCATGGTAGTTAATGATACTGAGCAATCCAGTATCCCAATCCTTAACACCACACTAAGCCACCTTGACATTGGCCGGCTGCTTTCCATAATTCCCATAGTACCGCTCATCCATACCAGCCTGCATCCGCGCTTCGGTATTGAAAGGGCCCTTTAGCCCACTCCGGAAATGCTCCTTGACGTTCGAACGGAAAACCTCAACCGGATCAGTGCTTTCTTGGCCACAGATCCATGTTAGCCATCGGTGACCAGTGGTGACATGGGTAATCTCGTCGTTGTGGATCACTTCCAAAGCTCCGACGCTGTCAATGTCGCCTGCTTTGCGGAATTTCTCGATCGTCATAGGATTAACGTCCAAACCACGAGCTTCGTGCACCAGCGCGATGATGCAGATTCTAGCACGGAGATCATGAGCGGTTGCAGTTGCAGATTCCCATAAGCCGTGGTGAACGGGGAGAGCACCAAAGAAAGAGCCCATTTCCTCGAGTCTAGTGCGCAGGAATGAAAAATGCTTTGCTTCGTCGCTGGCAACCTTCAGCCAGTCATGGAAGAAGGCGCGCGGTAGTTCCTCTCCGGTCTCTTCGGCATGGAAAGTCGAGAACCGCACGCAGATATCAATGGCAAGGTCGATAGCCCATAATTCGATATTAGCTAGGGCGTGTAGCATGGTAATCCGGCTTTTCAGCGTTCCACCTCCTCGCGAACGCGGCATTTCCGTAGCCTTCACGGTATTCAAATTTTCTCGTGGTGGTGTGACAGGAGGCGTGATCGTGCCTCTGCCGATTTCCATTGGTGAAGACGACATTTCCCGCTCAGTGAAGATCGAGAACAGATGCACCGTGAGCTCGATTTTGTGTTCCGGATGAGACGTGTTCAAAATATGAACAGCCCAATCACAAAACGTCGCACTATCATCCAAAAATACAGGCCTCGAGGAAATTTCAAGACTTTTCTGAAGGCTCTCCAAGAGCTCAGTCTCTTGAGTTTGCCCTGGCTTCTTAAATTTGACCTGCTCTGTCACCGGCTCCAGCTGCCTCAAACTGATACGGTCCTCCGGATACTTCAAGAAAATAGTCTCCCCACGGATCTCCACAGGATAAGTACATGCCTTAATCCCAACGCTCGACTCCCCCGTCTCTACATTGAAATCATACGCATGCCACGGACACGAGACGATATACGCGGAATCCTCAATATCCACCTGCGAATCCTCCATTGGACCACCGGCGTGCGGACACTCCGCCTCCATGGCATAAAACGACCAGCCATTTTCCGCCTCATTGGCTGCTTTGGTCTTGGATTTTGCAGGCTCGATTGATGGCAAGCGGAAAAGGACCAGTCGCTTGTCGTCGGAGAGATGAATCACATGTCGTGCGCTTTTTAGGTCAGGCAGGAACCCGAGTTTGATTGACATTTTTTCTTTTTATGGTTCGGGAGTGTTTGCTTCACACACAGTGGGAGAGGATGCCTGGGTTGAGTCGCTTTTGAAGTTGTCTATTGTTCGAGATATTTTTTTTCAATGTCACGTGCCTGGTGGGATGTGTCCCGCTATCCCATAAGCGGTTAGTGCGTATTTGACTGAGTGCGTTTTAACCAGGAAGCCAATATTCTACACCTAGTACTGAAAGACCTCTGATTGGTCAATTTATGTCTATAAGATAACGTTGACCCCGGATTCTGTGCAGGTCAAAATCAACCCAAGACTAGAGATCAGATCTCGCTTGGGGCTATGTTTGTTTTTCCAGGAAGCAGAAGCTCCATATAGGGTATGGACGGATGTCGACGTTTATGGGGCGCATAGTCTATGTCTGCTTGAACGGGTATATCAATGAGCCCCATGGGTCTAAGGCCAATGATGTTCATGTACTGCTGAACGACCTGGAAGTGGCAGCGAAAGTCCTAGATAAGGCAGAAGGTTATCCGCGTACTAATCTGAAAGGGATAAATCAGCATAGTATTTGCTACTGCAGCAACAACGACTAGAAGTTCATCCTTTTGGTCAAATTGAGTGCCATAGGCAAACTGTGTTGCCAGTGGCAGTCTTCTCGGAACAAATCCTGGAACCACAAATTAAGTAAAGACATTGCGCCAGGAGACGGGGTACTGCTCATGCTAGCCAAGGACTGGAGCTACACTCTCCCATCCACTCTGCTACCCAGTCACCAATCCATCCCAGAATTGCCGGAGTATTTCGACTCACACATGCAACTCTGGCTGGAAGATTTACTCCCCGAACCTCGATCAACAGCACAACTTCTCGCCTTCTTCCATGCCGCAGATGTTCTAGCCGTGCTGTCATACCCAATCCTTCGGTCCTTTTTGGAGGTAATCAAGCACTTGGACCTCTCCCAACCTTCCAGTATCTATTTCCAGAACCATTGGACCCGGTTCGTGGACAACTGGGTACCGGCTTGGCATTTCCTTCATACAAAATCGCTTAGCTGACTTGATAGCGAAGACATAAATAGGTAGACTGGACCACTCTAATCCATCACATAGTTCAACTTAGGCCGTGTATGTTCTATTAAGGCTCGGCTAGTAATAAACATCCCCCATGGCCGTTACAGATCGTATCCATATAACATCAGCCCTGGAGACTTGAGCGAGCCACTCCATGTACTCCTGACACGAGTGGGGAGGGAATATTGACGTAGCATTTTATTTAACGGCAATTAATACACCCCCAAAGAATAATAGAAATAAGAAAGGACAAGCCGCGAGTCTGGTGGCCGCGGCGGGCAAAATAAAAAATAAAAATAAAAATATATGCATCGTCCGTGAATCGAACACGGGCCTCGTCGATGGCAACGACGAATTCTACCACTAGACCAACGATGCTACGCTTCGGAAGTGGCTTATTGAAAGTCCGATTCCAATAATAGACTTATAAAGTCGTTCCTGGTATGCACCATGGTTGGCCCTAACTTTATCTTAATCAACAAGTGACGTGTATTCGAAAACACTGGAGTATTTTCTATTCTTCAAAAACATCTGTAGACCGAAAACTTGAGGCAATAGGTTGCCATCAGAAAGCTTCAACCGAAACACGGTCAGAGAGAATACAGTACGATTTTTCAAGAGGCGTGCCAATGTGTTGTATACTGGATGGCGATTATAAAATCTCATTCGCAAGACAGTCACAGGTAGCAACACTTCCACCGATTGGTTCAAGACGAAATGTTGACATATGTATACACATTGCTGATCTAGATACTGAAAAGGCGCCGAATACTCCGAGGACCGAGAGCCCTGTCTTCTGGCTTCTTGGGAATTTCCGGCTTCTCCAGCAACTAAGGGATTAATCAGGGTACTTAAAAACTCATGTTTAGGCAATCGGAGTCATTATGGCGTTGACTTATGAAAAATCGAATGACAGACATGTGCCTGCGGATTGGGCACCACATCGCTTAGGCAATTTGGGGTCCTTAAAGAGCACGACAAGGCCTCTGGGAGGAATTACTTCTTCAGCTCATGGCAACAGCAATCTTCAAATCTCCCTCGTAGAGTTCCAGCGGGGGTATCGCAGAAGACTCGCTAGATAGAGACTTTCCGTCGATATAAGCGATACAACTCATTAACCAAGTATAAATTAAGCTCTGATATCCATTATGAATGGCCTGGGGGGCATTTTTGACATGGTGTGGCTCGAAGCTCGGTCAATAACTGTAGATAACAGAGAACATGAGTTCTGTTTTCTGGGCTATCCTTGGGGATGATGGTCCCATGTAAACATCTTTCTCTGGTACTTCAACCCCGTGATCCATATCCCATAGGATATACTAAGAATTTATCTTCCTGGATGTTATACAAATGTTAGAGATTCTTCTCGTGGCAGAGGCTGTCGCGAAAGGAACTGGATTTCTCAAGAACAGTAGTAACCCCAAGATGGATGATTCTTTCCACATATCTTCTCTCACCTAATCGCGCCTCCAGAATTAATGATGCAGGGTGGTGACCCTGTTATGTATCCATTGCATTTCAACAAGGGCTGCCTCGGGCAGAGGGCGGTGGGATCATTGGATGTGAGGACAATCGTGTTACCAGAGTCAACAACTTTATTGTTAAAAACATAGTAAAGGGCGATGTGGTAATTTGAAGGGCTCAGGTTGCTGCGAACTTCTCATCGGATGGGAGTAGTTATCTTGAGTGTGCCCGTAAGACGGCGAAGAGGTGGTCTTTACCGTGTCAGTGGAGCACTCCCTCTTTCTCCGCCACTAGTTTTGGGGATGTCGTACGTGCATATTGGTCAAGAGAAAATCAATAGACTCAGTAGCAATCATCACATGATCTCGGCGTACTACGTTTTTTTCGGAGTGTCTGCATTGCCCGTGCAATGGACATAGACCTCAGAACACTTCTGTGTCCAATGTAAGCAAGAAAAAGCAAAATAGCAAAGCTTTATCTTGTGGTCCCTCGTATTTTTCAGGCAAGCTTTCACCGGCATGGGCTCCGTGCTGGCGAACTCTAAAAAAGTTTGCGCTGCTAGTACTATCCATGTTATCAAGGTGATCTGCCCTGGCAGCGATTGTCACTGTCTCTGACATGAAAGGCACTCTAATGACCGCAAAAATCTCTAGCGCGAGATTATGAGCTTTTTTGTAAGATCTGTCACCGAGAATTGCTACCAATATGATAGCCTTTGCCTGATGGCACTTTTACCCCGCCCGATATATTGCCAGCTGGAGTCAGTGTAAGCCAATATTCTTAAGACAGAATACTCAGAACATCCCCTTAGTTCAATCTTCGACTGTCTCCCAAAATTGATTAAATCCTGCGTCGTGGGTATTGGTGGTGCATGAAAGTATGGTAGAAGTCTGAGTAGTACTCCATACACATACATACCATGGTATGCGAATGGCTAAAATAATTCGGTATGCACACCCATCGGTAATATCCATAATGTCAAATGCCTGTCTGAGATGTTATGTGTGTCAAGTCCGCGATATATTAGAAAGAAGGATATAGCTTTGACGTAAACATTGGCTAGAAGTTTGACAACTTCTGTGTTTGGGCTCAGTGTTTTCTGATCATCCGACTGTTAGCAGCATGTACTTCAACATAAGCTCGTACATTGTCATTCGCAGTGATAGACTTTCTTACCTTTGAATCTCTGTCAATGGATTATGGAGAAAACACAAGGTCTCTCAGCCATTGAATACCACCGGTTTTATTTTCCATCATACAGATATCATCATTTGCTAGAACTAAGAAACTTGCAAGTGGCCTGTTTAAAGCAGTATAAAATCTGAATCTCTGCTAATATAGGGTTAGCCGGAGTAAGCCAAGTCGATCGTAGTGCATTCCACAATTACCTGGCCGATGTGGTCGTATCCTAGTCGCTCTTTTAAGACGCGTCTTTCTAACGCAGCTTCGGAGAAGTCATTAAAACAGGGCCACTTCTTAGTAAAACCGACCCAGCCGCTCTCCAGTAAGTCCAGGTAAGTGGATTTGAGGTACTGGGATACTTTGCTTTTATCGACAGCTGAACTCTCCTCTCTTGGTTCCATTGGCGTAGTACGTCTGTTAGCAGTTCCACGCTTTTACGTTGCAATATGGGCATAAGGAGCACACCCACTGTGCCAGGCATCGTTGGTCATGTTTCAATCTTTGATGCCGCTGCCATTGATCTCACAAAGTTAGTATCAGTGAGTTGTATATGTTGACGAAACTTCTAGGCACGCCAGAAAAGTCAATAACACTTCCATCAAGAACATTCTTGTAACAATTCCTCATAATCCCTTTGATTTTGGTCGCTTCAGTGGACTTAAGTTGCCCATTCGATTTCTGTGTGAAACCAGTCATTCTTCCCGGTGGCTAATTGGGCCGTACGCCTCTTAGTACCGCTCCAATGCTTGGTGAAGAGCGTCAATTGTAAAGAATAGAATGCCGTAAATGTTGTTCGATGCAATGAGTTGGGTGGAAAACAAGAAAAAAAGTAACGGACAGCCATACAGCCTTTGTTTTCTTCCTGGTGCCTGGTGTTAGTACTAACAACAATAAACATCGCATTTGACACCTGGAGTTTATCAACCTATCATAGGTCTTCTCTGGCCAGCATGCCTGCAAGGGATTCTGTCCTTCAGGTATCCCCTGACGAGTCACCTCCAATCGTGCCAGGGCCCAACTGTAACGAAACATCTCACTCCGAGCCCTCTCCAACCTGTGCGCGTAAGCCACCAAGACCCAGTTTAGGACCAAATCAGTATAGAAACCCTGGGCTTCTATAAACAATTGGAAAATAATCAGCATTAAAACCCACGCGGAAAGTCAGGTAGGAAGTAAAGAAAACCCACTGGAATGCATGGGTGACGGCATTTAGTGCACCTACATTACCTGATTGGAGTGCTGGTTGGGGTAAGAATACCCATACCATATCATTTATTCATCAGCTGAATGTAGAGATGTCTATTAACTAAGCATCGTGAGGCTACCGTTAGCTGGATCGTGGTAGAAGACCCCTTTATAATCAAATACCACGTAATCAAGTCAAGTCTTCGATGCTTCGTCTGGGCCTCAGGCAGCTAGTATTTGCGAGACTCGCTGGTGTAGTCTTGTACGGCGTCCGAGCAACAAAGGTCACAAAAATAACGAAACTATCGTTGCATTTATGGGTTTTCTTCGCCGTTGGTAGTTAAGGATCCTCAGGATGTGTCGTAACTATTCCTATACCAGTCTTGTTCGGGGTTCTCTTCAGCTTTGAAGGTGAGATGGTTCCCGGGAATCACTTATGTAGGAAAGGAATTCCTGAATAGCCGTTGCTCCATACGTATCAAGGGAGATGATATTATCAGTGATAAAGTGGTGGGAGACATGGGTGCAGTAGACATGGAAGAATCAAGGAAATAATAGGGTGTTGTTGATAAGTGGGAGAGGAAATTGTAGGGGTGAATTGCCATATATCGGTTTACATAATCCAGAATCATCCTCTAGTGAGTGAATGGAGGCAAAATATACCATTGAAGTATTGAGACTTGAGACTGAACAAATTATTCAGACATGTGATAAGCTTACTCCAATGTGGAGAGAGATGTTACTATATATCTACACAGGATATCAGAGCATGGAGATCCAACATAGAAACCAATCCAATCTCGCAATTCCCCTAGTTAAAAAGCAATATGCAACCAACCAATGCAATATACACAGGACACGACACGTCCAACTGCGAATACTCCTGAGTAAATATTCACACAACCAGCTCAGCTCATGCAATTCAATGCAGCTCGAAAACAAATAAACACAGCAAACAGCGCAGTAACACAATGGGCCAGCCACCCGTGCAACCGTACTATGCAGGGGTACTAGGCACCGGCAACTCCCCCAGTACTGTACCATACCCAAACCAATCCCACAAACCAAAAGCAAATCAAGTAGTCCTCATAGGCACCGAAGCCAATGGCAAAGCCGGTGCCCCCCTACCAGCATCACTCTTCTCATCCTCGACAAACATCCACCCCTCCAACCTCTGCGTAATCCTCGCACAGAACGTATCAACATACTTCGTCCACCCTGCCGCACAAACATACACAATCGCAATCCAAACGGGAATACTAATCCCAACAACAACCGGTCCGCGAATGGGAATCCACGGCTCAGCCGCAAATTCCCCGTTCTCATCGAAGATAGGATCCCATGGCTGCGCTGTGATGCCGTATAACATCCAGCAAAGTACTGTGCGGAGGAGTGTCCCGTGGACCAAATACACCGCAAACGACTGCTTCCCGAGCCAGAGGAGGAGACGGTTTGAGAGAAAGTCCTTTGTGGTGGGGGAGATGTAGATGGCGAAAATAATCAGGTCGACGCCGATGGCTGTGTAGCGTTTGCCGATGTTGACTTCGGGTGGGAAGAGGTAGGGGGCTGTTTCGTACATGTAGTTGGACCAGGTGGACCATTCGGGGTGTTCGCCGGGGTAGCCTGCTATGAAGAGGCCAATTACTGCCAGTGGTATTGAAATCATTTTGCGGATCCAGGTGTGGTTCTCGAGAAAGTTCTTGAAAGACGATTCGTAGGCAAGGTCGCTGAGGAACATGCCGTATATGGCTTGCATTTGGAACGTCTCTGTTCAAGTTAGCACCAGCACAGCCCAAAGGACCAAAGGGAGAAGACATACCAACATTCTCCGCCCTACTCTGATGAAAATACAAAAATAACCCCAAGTAAACCCCCACCCTCCACCTCCACCTCACAAACATCGTCGCAACAAGAACCATGTAAACCAACATCGATGCCAGCAACAACGGCAACAACGCCCACTGATGATCATCATACGCCATAAACCCATTTGTCCACACACTCAGAAAGCTCCTCCCTAGCTCAATCACCTCTTCATAAAGGGTCTCCTTCACCTTTGGCGATGCATACCGACACCACCAGCAGTCTGACCGGAGTGCGGTGAGGTAGCCGTCGAATTGCGCGAGCGTCCAGGATATCACCATCGCTATGGTAGCCGGTAAGATGAGTCGCGGGGGTCGCCGGAAGGCGCTCTTTGCGACAGAAGTGAAACTACCCAGTGTATCACCGTTGCGGGATTGTTTGAGGGGCTTGAGAGCGCAGACATAGCCGGTTAGGAAGGCAAAAATGGTCACTCCTATGCGGCCTTGCCAGGGGATGCGGAGGATGGGCCATTGTAGGATTCGGGGTGGGACATCTTCGGTGTCGCGGGGGGAGAAGAGATCGTAGTCCCAGGCGCGGGCGAGATGGGTGAGGACGACGAGGAAGGATGCAATGCCGCGGAGGCCCTACTTTATCAGTACACGGATATAGATATGTATGGGGGGTGGGAGTACATCAATCCACTTGACGCTCTTCCGGGGATCCCCTTTGACATTGGGGTCACCAGACTGCCAGGGCAGTGGGGGGAGGTTTTCCACCAGACGGGAATATAAATATGTAGGTTCAAACATGATCAAGGAGTGTCAACATAGTAGTATGTAAACAATAACGAATGTACTCCAGTATGTAAAAGAGCGTACGGAGTACTTTGAAAGTCTGACCGGGGGAGAACAATCAAAAGCTACACAAACAGGGATACGTACCCCCTACCGTGTTGCCCTACATTGTGTCTTGTACCCCGTTCCCCGTAGTTTCTGCCTGCGACGTTCAAAGAAGAGGATCAGCACCGGGAATACCGGGCCATTTCGTTGCCAAGAATCGCGCCATACACGGAGGAGCTGGTGACAAGTGATTGGCGCACGTGGTGCGTAGACTGAATGTTATTTTCCAAACATTTGAGATATGCGGTAAGGGTTGAAGTAAATACATCCTACATGACTTGACTTTGCACAATTATTATACCGGCTCATAATGCAATCCTGAAGGATTCAGGAATAGGGCTGAACATTTCCTCTTCGGGCGATGTTCGCCAAGACCCCAAGTTCTTTTGAGCTGTTGATAGCATTATGGTGATCGTCTATTACGGAAATTCGGATGCCATATTAAATTGCGCACAGAAGCAGTTACAGCAGAGGGTATGATCATCTGAATATCCTCCGTCCACCAACACCTCCGGCATTCCAAGTAACCGACCCTCTCACGCCGAGGTTCCCCATACTCAATCCCGAAAAACCAACACCACCGCCTTCGCCGTCGCGCTTATACCGACGTAATGCTTCTCTCAGATGCGCCGGGAGCAACTGTCCGCGATGCGGATTCGGAGGTGGAGCGAACACGCGTTGGGATTGAGGCTGCGTCCCTGGTTCTTGTTTGATCGCGGCGTCGCTTTCAGTCGTAGTCGAGCTTGCTAGTTTCTGCTGCTCCTCGAACTCAGCACGCGCAGATTGATCGTGTGCATCCGCCCATTGCGCTTGTACCGTCCGTGCCTTTTCGATGATTTCTCCCGCATACACCTTTGTAAATCCGTTAATAGTCGTAACCACACTCGCTGGCACAGACTGCGAAAGCGCATGGTTGACGATTCTCCGTAGAGTTTCCTTCCTCAACTTCGCTCGTTTGAACAAATCGTATCGCTCTGATTGCTGGGGGTTAAATGCGTCGACCAGTAGACTGCACAGTCAGCACCACTCTTCATCTTCCACGGGGTAGGAACACGTACGCAAGATTCTTCTTTTCAGCCTCAATATCCGTCGCCCCCTCCTCCCGTCCCAACAACTCCCCTTCATCATCAAAATCCTCATCCTCTTCCGCATCCTCATTCCCTCCCGTATTCCCACCACCACCGCCTCCTCCCCCAGTGTTCCCTCCCCCCCCTTTCACTGATCCACCATCAACGTCAACACTCCCCCTCCCCTCTCCGACCCTCCCAATTCCCTCCTCCCGCTCGCGTTCCCGCTCCCTCTCCTTCTCAGCCTTACTCTTCCTCCCCCTCTTCTTCCCACCCTTCGGCACCTGCGCTCCACCCACGCCTGAAAAGGCCCCATCGAGACTCCCCGTGAAACTGCCCGTCACGGAGCCGGCGTCACTGGCTGCGGCGCTGAAGGGTGCTGCGCGCGGGTCGTCGATGGTCGTTGGGAAGGAGGTTTGGCGGAGCGGGTGCATGCGTGGGCGTTTGTGGAAGGATGTGTTTGTGGGGGTTGTGGCGGAGGGGGTGGAGAGGGAGGTCATGGTGCGTTTTAGGGGGTTTGAGGGAGTGTAGGGGGGTGGGGAGGACATTTTGGTGTGTTGTGGTTGATTGCGTTGGGTGGTTGAAGTGGTAGGATGGAGATGGAGATGGCGTCGATGCGACGCGGTCGGTGTGTTCGTAGTTTCGGCGTGATTTAATAGTGTGATGAATATAGGACGAGAAAAGCGGTTAGAAAATATGCAAAATAGTATTAAAACTAAGGAAGAGGATGGGTATCTCGATAGTGTTGGAGTTGAAGTTGGTTGAAAATGATAGAACTCGGCCAGACGCGGACTGAAGATAGAAGATCCGCTCCGCTCACCACCGGAGTACAGTACGGAGTATCCTGTCTAAAACATCGCTACGCACTACGATTAAAGCAAAAGACATGGATGAAGCTGATGTAAACATATGCATAATTACGCTACAGCTAATGCAGAACCCGAAATAAATGCTCAATCCGCAAACAATACACATAACAACTCGCATATAGACGACCTCCCTCAATCCCAGATACTGAATACTACACGCAAACCAGCGAGATTTACTGCACACTATGTACAAAAACCATATTGCACAGATCTCAGAACCCCTCCTCTCCAAGTCGCGGGGCCCCCCCTTTCCAGTCATTGCGTTCGTAGTACCGGAAAACCAAATCATACCCTTCCAGATCATGCACGATGCGGTCTACCCGTCTGTATCCCGCGACCTGTTCGGTCTTCGGCGTGCGGCGCGCAGCGTGGCGCTCGATGTACTTGACGTCCTTGGCGTCAGCGTCGCCCTCGACGACGGCTATGGGTTTGGCTTCGAAGAGAGTCACGCTGAAGCGGCCTGGTTGGAAGATGTCGACGACTTGCTGGATGATGTCGGCGGTTGTTTGGCCGTTTTGTGAATGCGGAACGTTGGTTTCGAAGGACGCGTAGGAGCAGTGCGGCTCCGGGGTGACATGCACGGTGAAGTAGTGCGTGCCTGTCTTGCGATCGGGGGACGGGATCACGCCATTCGCGGAGAATCCACACGGGGTGAAGAGGTAAGCGTCGATGCGCGATTCCGGAAATTTCTCCTTCGGGTATACGTCTGATAGACCGGAGGACTCGGTGACTACTGTGCCCAGGGCGTGGCCTTCGGTCGTCAGCTCGGGGGGCAGAATTTGGCTGCCCTCCGAGTCGATGTCGCTCATGTCCGAGGACGTGTTGCTGAAGACATCGACGTGCTCGCTGCCATTCTCGCGATCAAAGTTGCGGTAACGCTTCTCTGCCACAGAAGTCGCGTGGTCGAGGTAGAACTGCTTGGCGTTCTGCTCGTCCAGATCGGTCATGAGAACCTCGAGCGTCTCATCGTGTTCATCAGCCGCACCAGGAACAGCGGCAATCTCAGGAACGTTGAGCACCTTGGTCTCGGTTTCCGGGAAGTTCTCGTCCAGCTTGGGACTGCCAGGCGGCGTGAGCAAAGTGTGCGGCTCCGTCAGGTATAAGTACCAGTGGTCGCCGTTCATCTTGCCAATCATGTACGCGCTACCGTTCAAGAACAGCCTGTCCATGGTGCGAACCTCGTCTCTCCAGCTACGGTGCGGGCCGCGCTGACGGTCAGGGAAGAGGAAGTTTTTGCGACTGTAGAACACACGGTACGGAGCTGCAGCGACGCCAAGTCCACGCGATGCAGCGGCCTTGGGGAAACCGGCAAAAACGGCAGCAATTTCGAGAATGCGCGGCAAGCCCGACAGCAGTGTGGTGGTACCACACGTCTTGAGAATCAACTTGTGCGGCCAGACGAACATGCTGGACTCGGACAACAGGTAGGCGTCGACATCATCGGACGCGACAATGGACAGAACTTGGCAGTTGACCAGATCCAACATGTCCTTCCAGATTTCTTCGGGCACGGCCTTCAAGCCGGCAGGCATCGCAGAGCCCAACTGATTGGCAGAGGGGGCGAACCACACTTCAAGAAGTTTCTCGGGTCCTGCAATAATCAGCATAATCCCTTACCAGGCGACCAAAAAAAAAGAAAAAGAAAAAAACTTACCCTCAAAAGCATTAGACGAGTCAAGACCCTGAGTCGCCTCATGATTAATCGTCAACGCCGGTGTCCCCATAAATGACGACGGCGAAGCCGTGTAATTCTTGGGAATACTAATGTAGCCCATCTCGACAACTCTCACTTGTTCTTGGATTGTTGGTCGAACTCGACTGTCTAGGAAGCACTATCTGCTACCCAGACGAACAAAAGGGGGGGAATGTCCGTCTGAGAGAGAAGGCCCTTTAACGAAAAGCTAAAGCGACTGGCACACGGCCAGACAAAATGGAAGAAGAAGGTATCAATGCCCCGGAAAGGCTGCTAGGGAGGGCGGAAGCAGAGGGAGAGGAAAAAGCCTTTGGACAATGGAATGGTGGCTGATCGGAATCGAACCCTCGCTCTGACAGAGGCCGATACCGGTGGAGTATCGGGTCTAGACGAGGATTTGCTGTTTATAAAATGTGGAAAAGGGATGGAGAAAGAGAAAAATGCGTGGATAACGAGGACGGTGAACGTGGGTCGTGTTATCTGGGCCTGACGATGTTAGCACTGTCGCTATTCACCATACCTCTCAGAAGAAGGGCAGTACTCACTTCGCAGGCTTAGACAGGAATCGCAGTAGATCCGTTGGGTTCATGGAAGGCAAAGACACAATTGAGCTTAGAGCAGGTCGCGCGATACCATGAAACTGGACATCGGCGAAGCGAGCACACTGGCGAGAGAAAAAAAAGCGAGAATAAAGAAAAGCAAAATAGATTAAAAGGTATCAGGGATTTATAGCACCCTCAATAACCACAGTGACAAGGAAATAATTGCCTGAGAACAGACAAGTGTGTGAGTGAACCCAGAGCGAGGGAGAAAGAAAGGAAGGAAAAAATTGACCGATCGAGGAGGGGACTTGGTTTAGGGCCCGCGCATTGGTGGAGCCGCAGGACACAGTGGCTGAGATGCCCAATGGGGGGATTCTATGGCTATGGCATATTAATTGGGTTTGTTTATTATCATTTACGCACACGCTGGGGTGCACTGCTACTATAATAATACACCGTCTTCTCTCGATACTCCCTATCACTACTCTGTACATACAAATACTCTCCACGAAGGAGGTCGCGCGACCAGGCGGTACTACCCGGCAAAATGACGTCGCAAGGCTTACATAACGCTCCATTAACTGCGCGATTTTGTAAAAACAGATAAAACACCAATGCCCAACGCCCAATGCCCTTGCCCCCTAATGTAATAAAAAATAATGCTATAAAGGGGCTAGCTAAGCCTCCAATATCGCCTGCGCCAGCTGAACCTCACCTCCCTCTGCAATTCTAGCCGCAATTATATCCCCAACTCTCCCTGTAAGCTGCTCCCGGACATCTTCCGTAACCTGTGGCACATGGCCATTCACCTGCGGCAGACAGCCCTCCCTCAATGTCCCCAGCACGGCTAGCAGCGCCTCCAGGACGCGTTCAGCTTCCGGTCGGCGTGGGTTATCATCGGCCAGGCCGTCGCCGAGGAGATTGTTCGAGTACGTCGCTAGGTTCGGGAGGATCAAGACGCGGACAGCCTCGGAACCGCCTACAGAGTGTAGGCCAATGACGGCGCCGTAGTGAGCGCCAAAGGGCTTGGCGGGGTCGAGGAAGGTCTTGAGGCATGAGCGGGCGAGACGGGGTTTGAGCGCGTGCGACGAGTGCGAGTATTTCTTGCCAATCAGGCCGAGGAGCGAGGCGGCGAGGTCGCGCAGGGCGAATTGCTCTGTTAAATCTGCGTTGCCGCCTAGTTGGCGGCCGATGAGACAGGTTAGGATCGGGGGAATCAGTGATGCGACCTAGCCAGCATACCATCAGTATCTACAATAATATAATCACCAGGATAAGGACTCACGTATGGATCAACATAAAGTGACTTGTTCTGCACCAATGCCTCAGTCATATGCATCACCTGCGTCAACGCAAAAATATCCTTCAAGCTATGCGTAACCTTCTCGGCAATAAACTGCACAAAATACGGCACCAGCTGATGCAGCCCAGGATCCTCCCGTAGACTCGCATACCCACTCGTCCGGTACTCCTCGCTCGAGTCCAGGAACGCACCGCACACCTTCTCAAAGTACAACTGTAGCTCCTTGGATAGCACGTGCTTGACCAGGGGTTTGACGGCCACGTTGGTGCCGCTCATGGCGGCCAGCGTTGAGTTGGCATTCGGACCCTTGGAGAGGAGTTCGAGGTTCCGTGATTCCGCGGCAGTTGGGTTCTGAGGGATGGATGGTTGGACACCTTCGACGGCGAGCCAGTGTGCTATCATGTCTCACCGTTAGCACCACCTCTACCAAATTATAAAACAAGAGAAACAAACCAGTAAAAGAAATCTCTCTCGGCACCTTGGGCAACGGCGCATTAATCAACTTCTCAAAATCCACCTCCTCATCCTCCACATAAAACAACGGCTGCCCAGGCCCCAGCGACGCCTCGCCAAACCGCAACGGCCTCGTCGACTCATACCCATACAACGGCTCCACGTCCAGCACCCGTAGTGCATGTGAAACATCCTGTGTTGTCATGGTCGTGCGCTTGCTGTGGCGCATGAACTTCAGCGCTTCTTCAAGGACTTGCGCGATGCGGTATTCGACGTCGCGGGCGAGGTTCTCGGTGACCTCGTTGTGCAGGTTGACGATGCCGACGGACTCGGCCACGTCGCGAATGTTTTCAGGGTTCCAGACGGACATTTTGTTTTCTGTCCGTGTGTCGTTTCTCGTTTGTTGTATTTGGGAAGGGATTCGGGGTGTAGAGAACGGAGATGGTTGTGGCCGATGGGAATTCAAGGTCAGACCGTAGTGGTACGTAGATTAACGGCGACTCGTGGGTCCGAAGGAAACAGCACGCATTCTGCTAGCACAGCTCAGCAGTTGCAATAAGAGAAGTAATCAGTAACAGCGTTAAACGCCTGTCGGAGTAGGAACAGAGCTGTCGCGATGCCAAGCCCGATGAGTTGCGGTCGTGGCGCTGCGATGTGCCGTACTTCCCCTCTCTAATATTGTTTTCCTACGTAGTATTCTGTACATCACCTTCATAGTTGAAAGCGAAAAATAGAGAAGAGATTACTATTATTAAAATACTAAGATTAAGTACAGTAAAACGCGATGAGGTATCAAATGCCAACAACCAATGTCCATATCCTGTCCATCATCTACCGTTCTCGGGTATCAAAATCCTCCAATGCAAATCAATCAAGGCCACAGCCACTAGTATCAATAGACATCTAGGCAGCGGTGGTAGCAGGCGTTTCAGTCGTCTCGGTCTTAGCAGGTTCCTTGGATTCCTCCTTGGGCTGTTCCTGGGGCTGCTCCTGGGGCTGCTCCTGGGGCTGCTCTTGGGGAGCTTCTCCAGCGTCCTTGGGAGTCTCCTGGGGGGTCTCGTGGGAAGCTTCAGAGGTGAGGTTCACAGTGCGAGCAGTGCTCTGCAACTCAGGACTCTTACCACCATACGCAGCAGGGAACCTGTCAACAAGTCCCGGGAACTCACGAGCCAGGTTCGCTCCATTAGAGATGGGGTGGAACTTGCGGGTGGTGTTCTTGCTCAAGAAAACCTTCATGGCAGAGAACATCCAGCCCATGATGGCAGGGACGTTGACGAAGAACTTCTCGCGAAGCAGCTCCGGGTAGCCAGTGGTGAAGATGTCGATGGTCTTTTTGGTGGCGGCCTTGACCTTGGGGTTCATGCGCAGGAAGCTGACGTTCAGGTAATCGTGGACCTGGATCATCTGGTAAGGGTCTTCGCCGTCGTAGTCGATGACAGTAGTCGCCTCGTTGAGCTTTAGATCCTTAATGGCCAGCTCCATAAGAGCGACACGCCACTTGATGAACCTGCCATCGTCAACACACATCCAGAAATCCCAAACCAGACGAAAAGAGAATACTCACTCATCCAAATCACCAAAAGCATGACCCAAATCCTTAACAGCACCATAAATATTCCAGGTAACAACCGTCTCCTTTCCATCCGCATCCGTGTAATTAGTCAAATACCCCAAACCCGCAAACTTGCCCGCATCATAAACCCCACTCTCCGCCAACGCAACCGGATCCATACTCTTACGCCACTTCAGCGCCTTGACCAACTGCTTCTCCGCCAACTTGACATTGCCCTCGTTGGCACGCAGGTACTTTATCAGGATGTTGATCGTGGGGACGTTCGCTGAGTCCTCCTGGAGGGTCACACCCCACATCTCACTGTAGTCAGCATCCTTGAGGATATCAGAGAGACGGTCGAAGAACTGCGATAGAGCGGCATTGTTCTTCAGGTAGGTGGGCTTTTCGGACTCGGGCTGGGCCTCGCCCTCTTTGTTGTCGTTGGCAGGGGCCTCTGCGGTGGATTCTTCCGCCACGGGAGTTTCCGTGGTTGTGTCCTTGTTTTCGGTGGCAGGGGTATCGTTGCTAGCTGATTGTTCCTTCTGCTCAGTAGCAGCTGGTTCTTCAGGCTTCTGCTCAAGCTGGCTCTCGGGGGCCTTCTCCGCAGCAGGAGCAACAGCAGGCGCGGAAGCAGACACCGGCTCAACTGTAGGAGCAACAGCGGGTTGATCAGACATAGTGGCAGTGAAAATCACAAGTCAAGCGAAACTAGTAATTGTAAAAAGTAAAACCAACAGTAGAAGACAGCAGTGCTGGCGATGAGATTGAGCAAAAGTAATTGTAAGGGAAAAAAAGGATGAGGGGAAAGCCACAACAAAAAAGAACGAGGAAATCACATGCCCCCTATAAATAAAAATAAACAACAAAAAAGGTACTATTTACTCTACGCACAAACAGAAATATACAATAACGACCACGCTATATTAAATTCTGATTGATTTAGTATTCAGGGATTATTTCAATAACCCGACTATCAATCCAACTGGGACCAGCGATAGGTCACTTTATACAAGAGTGGAGAGGCAAGTACCGGCGATGTTTCTATCCATAGTAAGTGAAAGAATTTGGTATCGGGGGTACTTTTGGTCGCACAGCGCAAGTATTTTCACAGTCCTCAAATATTGTACAGAGTACTCTGTACTTGGCGACTGAATAGACACATCGTCTCAAAAACGAGGCTATTTGCAGGGCTGTTTCAGGTCCGAGTCGCAAGGCCGGAGCGACTGGCTGAGAGTCCGGCAAACGTGCAGAGTTCCAGACGCCGGCTATTTATGTATACTGCACGTCTCTGCGGGTTTTCATTTTTGGCAATCCTTCGCAGGATTGAACTCAGCACTTTGGACAGGCAGTTGAAGGCGCTTGTACCTTTGATCAACACTGACCCAATTAACTTTGTTTGACAGCGGTTATGAATGCCTAAGGCATAATAGCCAATCCGGATATCAACCGACGTAGCAATGCTACTCCGTTCTGTACTATATACCAGTACCAAGTACTCCGTGATACTGAGCAGAACATTCTATTGTCGCTGTGTATAAACATAAATAATGCTTGTACGTGCGAGCTCGCTGGGGAATAACATAACATCGTCGACAACATAAAGGGAAAAAAAAAAAAAAAAAAGGAAAACCAAACACCAACACAAATCTTTACTTATGAAACCTCTCCGGGATCCTAGGAACTGGCGGGGGAATCGGCTGCTCGTCCTCTTCCTCGTCTTCATCCATCTCATCCAATTCCTCAGGATGTCTGTAGTCAATCAGAATTTAGCTCATAGCCACTCCACCAAATACCAGGGGAACATACGCAAGAATCTCCTTAACATTTCGCATCTCGTAATGCCTCTTCCTCATTTCCTCAAACTTCCGATGCTTCTGCTCCGCCTCCTCAGGCGACAACAACTCATCTCCCACACCCTCACCTTCAGCCCCCTCTCCACCAACAACAACATGTTTCTCCCCATCATGACTACCCCCCCTCTCCCTCACAATCCTCTCCTCTTCGTTACCAGCAGGATGTGATTCCTCCGCCTCCCCCAACTCCAACTCCGGAATCTCCTCCTCAGCCACAGGCCTCCTCTGCACAACCTTCTTCCCCCTCTCCAACTCATCAACCCTCACATCCTGCGCATCAATAAGACTCTCCTCCGCCTCCACCATCTGCATCTCCTCCTCGTCCTCAGCAGGATTATACTGCGGCGCAAACGGCGTCTTCGGCTCGTCGATCTTCATTTTCGCTGTCTTTTCCTGCTCCGCTAGGTACAGGTTTGCTTCGTCCCAGCGGAGGCGTTGATTGTTCTCGTCATCGTGGAAGTTGGCGAGGGAGGGGCGGCGGGAGGAAGGGAGGCGGTGCGTTGTTGCTGAGGAGGAGCGGCGGCGGCCAGCGTTTTGGAGGGTATTTTGAAGGGTGATTTCTTTGGTGTCGGTGTCGTTGGGATTGGGGTAGTGTTTGTCGGCGGGCGGGGCGGGGGGGGAGATGGTGATTTCGGTGGTTGTGGTAGTGGGGGGTTGGGTTGGGTTGATACTGGAGTTCTTCAGGATCCCTATTTTGTCAGTATTACAAAGTCAATCATCTAGAGGATATCGGTACACACCCTTGGGCTTGTCACCAACGTGCGCCATCGTCATGGTGTCTACTTTAAGTAGCCAAACAAGAAGCTGAAGCAAGGAGAAATCTTCCACTTAAGAACCCCTCAACAGAGCTCGTGACAACCGCAGCAGGAACGTTTCAAATAAATATTATCCAGATAATGCCCTTTCTATGGACACAGCAACCGCAGCAATGTAGAACACTGTGGATAACAGAATGTTCTGCTGGTCAGAGAGTCTGGAGAGTTTGACTCTGGCTATGAACTGGCACGTGGGGGCGCCCGCCATGACGTCGGATGACTCAGCATGTTGTCTGGGCGATGCTACCACAGAGTACGACTACAACTGTGAGAATGACTGGATAGAAAAAAGTTCTATTATCATGATGCAGTTACGCAAATATGCAGACAGCAAAATACATGGTAAATGCAAGTAGATATCATAATGAACCAGAAAGAGCAACAACCTGTACGGACATAGTTTCCCATAATCAAGGGTATGATCGCGACAATTTAAAAGATGTTAATGAGACAAACAAAGGGGGGGGGTGAGAAGAAAATAAAGTGATAATGTAGGAAGTGCGAACGCCATCCTCAATCAAGGATGAGTATGGGGAATATTGGAAACAGACTCGAAAGTCACAAAGAAGGGCCCAAGTAGCGAACAGCCTGTGAAAAGATATGGCTAGATGAGTATATGAATGTTGAAAATGCAAGTGAACGACGGGGCAGGCAACAAGTGGTGCATCTGCAAAGGATTAGCAAGAACAAAATCGAATATATGGGCACGACACGATATATCAAGTGGTATCAAGTAAACATCCAAAAACCTAGACAGTCAAAAAAAGTGAAAAAGAAGAAAAAGAAAAGAAAAACCAAATCAAGCAATCGACTCAAACTCCTCCCTTTCACGGAGTCGATTCCTTGCAAGCTCATCACCTCCATTGGCCGACAGCTGCATCCAGTGCAGTGCCAAACACATACTCTGTGGGTCAGACTTTGAGTCTTCATCACGATGATACATCATCTCTGCCTTGAAGGTATCTCTCGGTAGGGTCAGCGGTAGAGTGATTCGAGGAAGAAGCTCGGGATGGGTCAAGTAAAGAATGGCAAGCTCGCGCTGAGCGACGGGATTGCCCTCTTTGGCGGTGATGATCCACATTCCCGCAGCATCTTCGATGGCATGGCCCGGTCTGCGGTGAGAGTCAGATCCTTGCGGCAGGTGGCGGCGAGTAAGTTCGTTAGATACGATCTCATCCGCGATCTCGACCATGCTGTTGCACACTTCATCTTTCAGGCTCAGTGCAGCAAGACCAAATTGCACGAATGCTGTTCCACTGTCAGTCTTGTTCAGTGTGTCTCCAGGGACAAACGCGGAGATGAACTGCAAGTCCCGGAAGATAGTCTTGGGCTTCATTTCCAGGATCAAGCTCCGTAAAGCATCCACAATCTGATTTTCAGTGGGACCTGCTGTATAGTCTGATGGCCGTGAGTCAAAGACAACTGACTCGGGGGCAGGAGTGGTTGGGGTCTGAACGTCATCCTCTTGAGCCTTTTGGTCATTCCTCGGTCCAGAGATGCTATAGCGGTTCGACCTTCTTGGCCCTGTGGGCTCTTCGCGCGCATGTTCACTTAATTGGTCATCGTGCGAAGTGTTGAGTGACGCAATAACCATGGCTCGAAGATCCCGCAGCGCCTGTAACTTGACGAACGGATTTCCGTGGCGTGAGAAGACGTCAATTAACCGACGGAATACCGTTTCGTACGAGAACGGTGGCAGTTGATCCCCGACCGTCGCTGCCGTCGAAGATTCCTCCGTGGCGGTACCCGGATGTCGTCCGGCCTCTCGAGGCTGCTCGAGGGATCTGCTCTTCCGAAGGACAGTTGGTGTGCGAGAGAGAGAAGGCCGACTGGATCGCTCATCATATTCGTCGTAGAATCGCTGAACACGCGCACGCTTTTCCATCTGCATCTGAATGCGCTCTTTGTCGAGCGCATTGCCGAACCAGGCATCTGTCTCGCTTCCGCAGCTCCACACCGGAGATCCAAGGTCGCTCAGAAGAAGACTAGTGAGTGTTTGCTTCAGCCCGTCCAGAAACACTGTCTTCTCATGGGCCTTGTTGCGTTCACGACGGCGTGGTGGTTGTGAGACGGTGTCGCTGAGCATCGAAGGCGGACGAGAATATAGACTCGATGCGCTGGCTGCGTAGTGCGTGGGTGGCTGAGGCGAAGACCAGAATGTGCTACAAGAATCGCCAGTCGTGGTTGAGGCAGTCTTCCCTGGCGAGTCTCCAATAATAGATGACGTGTCCGCGACCGACGAATCTCTGGAGGATTTCCATTTGTCGGAGAAGAGACTCTGAAGTGCTGGAATATCCTGAGAGAGCTTTGAGACGGACGCCGACGGACGCGGGTTGCCGCTTCCAACGGATGTTGAATGGTAACCAGAATCTTCGCTGGAAACGCCAAACGGCCGTATGCTGGGATTTGAGAGGCCTAAAAAGTTCCGCGGCGCAGGAGGACCTTCGAATTTTGCTCGCTCTTTCTGAAAAAGCTCGCTAGACCATAAGACCGGGGTCTCGGACATGGTCTCGCCAACGAGACGGTTGATGCTGGTCTTGACTTCGTAGCAGAACCGATGGATGCGTTCTTCACCTCTGCAGAAGTTATCGATGTTGCTATGAGACAACCACTTGCGGGTCAATTCCACCTGCTCATCTGACAGTTTGTTCGGGCCGCCCTGGCTGCTGGCAGCCTTGATAACATCCATCACCTGTAACTCGGGCTTCTGCAGTAGCGATCCACCAAACGATCTTGTGCCGCGGGATCGCGACTCTGTGGGCGCTTTCTTGTAAAGACGCGCGGAATAGATCATCGTCTTGAGCGCCAGTGCGACATTTTTAGCGTCCTCGTACCGCATAGAGTTCTTCACATCTGTCATGTACCACATTTTGTTGCGGAGCTTGGTGACGGTGGTCATGGTATCCTTGACGACCCTCTGCAGCCGCTGCATTTTGCGATCCAGAGCCACAAAGTCTCTTTCGCAGCGCTCGATGACAGTATTCGCTCTCTGCAGCGAGCGGGCACAGGAAGCATGCATTGGATGGAGTATCCACGAGTCATCAGCGGAATGGGCCTGGGGACTGGCGACTTTGCGGGCAAGTTGTCGACTGGCATTCCACCAGTAATGCGCGCCGATGAAATCAGAATCATCGTTGCAGTTTGTCATCGCTTGATCGAACCGTTGTTCGAGGGACTGACTGGCTATCGAAGAAAAGTCCTGGTAGTCGTGGTCCGGATAATCACCAGTATGACCTTCTTTGACAAGCTTCACAATGGCCGTCTGCAGTGCTTCGTAGTTCTTCTCTACCCCCCATGCGGTGGATTGTATACCATCATTGGATGAAACATCGGAACCAGTGCTGGGTGAATGGTCCGAAAAGAGACCCCAGGTCAAGCGCTTTCCATCCGAGGGGACGGAGAAAATAGTCCAGTCTTCATTGGAAGGATGCTCCAAGTTAGCGCGGTGCTCATGTGGCTCGAGTAAGTCCGATAGCTCGAAGCGGATCCGGTCCGCCGCTTGAGCGAGACTCTTATCTGGAAGCGACAGGAATTCAGCATCTGTAGAAAATATTGAATTGTTATTGGTAGATTCCCTAGCTGTACTGGGATCCACTCTAGATCGGAAGAAGCCAGGTTGAGCGCCAAGACCGTTGGGCGAGGAGCTGAGAGGCGACCCAATAGACGGGGTTGAAGGCTGATACACGGGAGTGTGTGCTCTGGGGAAGAGGACGTTCAGAAGGGATAGGACATCTGTGGCTGACAACATAAGGAACACTGAAGACGACTGGCGTACTTTTTCGGGGGCTGGTGGGGAGCATTTGTCATTCGACGCCAGTTTAACGTTGGAAGCCACGCTTTGGAATCGATGAAACATGCTGTCAACATGCTGCCGAACCATGGGAAGAGGAAACGCGGAATGGTGCCTTCGGCAGAGATAAGAGAGTCAGCCATGAGAAGAAGAGAAATGTGCGAGTCGGAAGACGGTACTCACGCTGACCGGAGTACGGTAAACACCTGCGAATAAGCTCGTAATCCGACCTGGCCCAACAACTTTTCTCGTGCATCTTTTCGGATATGGAAATCGAGTAGAAGACCATGAGCCTATAACAAAAAAAAATAAAAATAAAAATAAAAGACACTTAGCTATCTCCCGTCTTATAATATCGCGGATTGACGAATCCGCAAAAAGGGCAAAATGCATACCTCCGGATAAGCTAAGGCGCCGTAAAGAAATTTGGAGAAAAACCAATGGACAAAGAGATACTCCATAAAACGGTTGCGTAAGTCAGTGTGGCCCAGTTTCTGCAGAATAGCACTGCCAAGTTCCATGATGGAATGGGGCAACCCGGCATCTGAATCATCCAGAAGATTGAATAGGGAGTTCACAGCAGAAGCAAAAAATTCCTCGGCCACATTAGTCTTCAGGGGGTCTATAGGCTCTGCATCCACACCGGCTGGCGCGTCTATATGTTCCAACAAAAAGGCACCGGTTTGTAGAATATCCATCAGGTACAATTCGAACTGGGGCCGAGCCTTCCAGTCGCTGCAAAGGGCCCATGCAGACAAAATATGACCGACCAGCGGATAATAACGGTTGCCACCATGGGTTATCAATTTGGCGCAGACACTGGACCACACATCCACGCGCAAGCGCGCTTCCGGCGAACCTGCATCCAAGGGCGCTGCGAACGTATTAAACAAGAGCGTCGCAAGCGCGTCCGTTCTCTCGCATGCCAAGGCATGGTCTTGGAAGGGGGATCCAGAAGAAACGCGCTTAGAAGTAAAAGAAGAAGCAGAAGAAGTAGCAGAAGCAGAGGAAGCAAACGGGTAGGTTCGAGTTCGGGGATTCGAGGGCAATAACGGATCATGGGCCTCCAACGTCGTGGCAGACGACACCAGGGTGGCCAGTTGCGTAGCAGTCAAGCTGCGCAGTCGATCAAATAGAAACTCGGGATCCGTACGGACGGAGTGTAGAATGTCAAGCAGATCGGTCTGGGACTGCGGACTCAACTGTCGGAAGAAATCCGGGGAACGGTCCAAGACGGAATCCAAATCGCCAACGGCAGCGGCATCTTCCAACAACGGATCCTGCCGGTGGTGAAAGGGACGCCGGGTGGCAGACTCACAGGATTCCTGGAGCTCATGGAGGGTGTTGTAGAGGTTGACAAAGTTTATCTTATCATCCTGTTTCAGACTTTCGACCATTCCACGCTGAACCGCGGCACCAATGCGCGTCAAACGTGCGGAAACGGCAATGGAAACCTTGGTAGCATGGAGACGGTGTTCCAGGCGTTTCCGCTGGGACTGCTTGTGCACATTCTGGCGATAGCAGACGGCAAAATTCTCAAAGGAAACCATCGGGACATCCACGGACTGCTCCTGCTGGGACACGGCCACTGGCATAGGGGAGAAAGAAGAGGAAGAGGGAGAAGGAGAAGAAGAGAAAGGGGCGTGCACGGAGGAAGTAGTAATCTCGGACCCAACGGGAGGAACGGTCGCGATAGATGGTGCCGTGGAACGGCCCGAAGCGTCGGACTCACCTGTGGACGGGCCAGACGGCGTAGGGGATGCGCAACGCTGAACAGACCGGTCTGGAAGCGAGAACGGAATGCTGTTATCTTCAACGGATTCTAGAAGCACAGGAGAAATGGGCCGTGGCAGCGACGCGGAAACATGCGGAGGATGGGAGGAATCACATTGCAAAGAGGGCTTCTTGGCCGAGGAAGACTTGGACGATGAGGACGAAGGCAGTAAGGCTGAAAAATGGAATATATTAATTAGCAGTGGTTCATTTCCGCGCAGGAATATAATTAGAAAATGTAGAAAAAGGGGGCCCCCGAAAGGGGAAAGAGCCATACTAGTCACATACGCCCAGGTCGTGGACAGGCGATGTTGGGCATTGAACATGGTGTCGTCGTAGCAGCGATTTTTGTGTTTCAAGTCAATCAATATTCATGCCGTATGGGCAAATCCATTCCCTCTCCCGGACACAGAGAGAGAGACCGCAAGCACCAATCTATCGCATGGTTCTGTTCAATAATACCAGGTGAACTGTGCGCGATAGTACGGGTAATATGCGGAGAGACAGGGAACTCCGGTAGAGACAGAAGAGAAAGAATAATATTGGAGAGGAGATATAATAGACTGAGATAATCCAGGCAAAAAGTCCGAGCGAAAGCGCAAAAGTCGCTGATGAACTGGCAATCACCTGCAGCTGCGAATCAGAGAGATCTGACAATCCCGTGATTCAGATTGATGAGGACCGTATAGGTATCGTATGGCTAGGGCGATGAAGATGAATGACAACAAGACGAAGATATTGAAGATATAAGAAAGCGGATTGAAAATGTAAAGAAAAGAATGTGAAGGCGAAGAGGGGCAGCCAACGCAAGAGCGCGAGCATGATGCGCTGGCACTGCAGAGAGCCAATAACCACCGCCGCGGATGATTTGTTCCTCGCAGAGAGCAGCTGAAACACTTTTATGCTCGCCAGTTATGGTCTACATATATTATCTACATATTTCTACCGCTGGATCGTGTATAATGTGGCAAATTTAACTATATTGCTTGTACTCTGTGTGGAGGAGTGTGTAATTTATCCTGATATGAGAATACCTAAATTTCAATTATACCTCATTCGGTTAGCGCATGCGATCACGTGGATTAGGCGAACGGTTCTGGACACAAGTGCTACGCGACTAAATACTTTTTTCTAGTGTGAGGAATGATATGATACGCTGTGATCTGTAGATGATTAACAGTGCAGATGAATCGTGTTATAGGGCTATGTGCCAAGGGAGTTGACATATCACATCCAATATGTATCTCCATCAGGTGGTAGTAAGTGGCGCGACAGACTTTAAAGTCGTCCCTTCTTCCTCGCTCTTCGACAACTGCATACACCCACAGCTCAATTCTCTCCATGCTGCCCCAATTCATTTTCAAACATGGACCTCCGCGTATATATGTGCCACCCGGAATGGATTGGCTGCGCATATGCCTTCTACCTCGGCATACGATTTGTCTACGAAACAACTATAAAGATCAGAGCTGTTATGGATTAGAGTCCGATTCCTTATGGTTATGCATAATCAAACAAGGTTGATGTCAGGCTCAAGGAGGAAAGGATGAAACTGAGGGAGGGAAATAAGGAAAAGCATCGATAACGTGCTAATTCAAGGCTATCGACTACTGCTTCTTTTGACAATGGCTCTTTAGCCTTCTTTCATCTCCAAAAGAGTCCATTGCATTCAAATGTGGGTGGGGATCCGGGACTTGGCTGACTTCACATGCAAGCAATATCTCGACCATAAAAATGGCGAACCTATCAATGGCAATGGCCGTATTGTATTCTCATTAGACAGTCAGCTTCTGGGGGTGCATACCGATCGGATGGTCCATCTCTAGAAGAGAACCCCGGGGACGCACAAATTTGCTCCAATACTCAGCATCGGTTACTCTAGGGAGGATGGCAAGCTACTGGCTATATACACATGGAGAAAAGGGATTGGGTATGGGAAATAGCATCAAAACATGCAAATGCGTATTCAACAATACCCGCATGCTCACCTATTTCGCCATCTCACCAGACAGCCATACTCTCGCATTATCCTGTAGTTCCATGCTGGAAGCTTTTCAATTTGGAAAGGGGGGAGCTAAAAGGAAGATTTAAAACAGAACAGATGTTTATCTTGACTCCTATTCATCAGATGGCCGATATATTCATACCGACAGGGGCGCACTGTCTGTCGACCACGAACCATCCCGGGCGTTTGATAGTAGAAACAACGGCCCCTGCTATATTTTGGGCATGACTGGATATTCAATCATGGGAAGAGGATTCTATGGATTCCTCCAGGGTACAGGTCCGGCTCTCTTGAGGTCCACGGATCCAACGATGTACTTTTTACGTTGGAACGGCAGGTTAGCACTAACAAAGACAAGCCTTGCTTGAGATCCTTTCAAATGATTATGTACATTGATTATATTTCTACATAATAATTGGCATACTTTCCTTTTCAGTTAGGGCTCGACCATCGTCATCGGCCTGTGCCTGAAGTATCCGTCAATCTGTTTGGTGACACTATACGCTGCCCTTCTCAGTCAGCATTATTCCCTCGTAGCGGGCCGTGAAAAGCGGGGCCCGAGATATATATCTCACCATCTCAGCTCAAGCACACCAAACAATCAACCATGGCTGATCCCAATGACACCCAACTAAGCGACGCCGTGACCAAAGAATTCACGGCTGCTGGCTATAAAGCCGACCATATAGCTACCATACTTGCCAGACAGGAATCCCTCAAGCATGAAAGAGTTCGCGACCAGGAGACATGGGTGACGATCCACCGAGAGCATCTGCTACCGGAAACATTGGACGCGTACCAGCTTCCTTGGGAATGGGACGAGGTGAGTAACTATCCTTTCACTAACCAGACCTTTGCTAGTGACACCACTTTTAGGAGGATCCCAACTACATCATCATCAAGCATTGGTTTTCGCGGGACGTGCAGGAGGAGCTGTTTGCGCATACTCGGCGTTTGCGGAAACAAAGACTGGACGGGCTACAAGCCGATCTCGGGGATTACGAGTTAATCGAGAAAAACAGAGATCGGAAGAGACATGATGAGGTCCTTGGGTATTTTAGAGGACGAGGACAGAAGCCGAAGAAACGTTATGCCTATGCCAAGGGTCGTGTATAGCATATTGAGTGGAAGAATGCATTTACTCTTATTTCTACTTTTCATCCTAATTCTTAGTAGTATCATGCTTATTCTCTGAAATTGCTGAGGTGCTGAGGCGGGGTAACAACGCGGCACTTCTGGCCCCCAAATACGATTTCCCTATCTTTTGTTGCCAGCCCCGTCAATGCTTGAGTTCTATCCAACCCATTGCTGCAGTGAAAATGGCATTTGCCAATACATTAGAGCAAAATGAGAAATTCCAATCTATCTTTGCCCGCGAAGCTGATAAGAGACGAAATCTGGCTGGCGTCAAGAAAGCCGCCTCTCACGGGAACGGGAAACATGAGGTGCCAACACCAGGTCTTCTTCGCCGAATGACGACAAACATACCCAGGCCGGGGGACTTGGTACTGCCTAGGGAGAGTCCTCGAAAGGGATATATTGCGCCTTTGTATCCAAACACCTTCTCAATTGAAGCTACAGCCCGAGAAAGGTCGACTTCTGACGACGAAGAGCTTGTCCTACTAGCGATCAAAAGCACAAACCTAGCTCGCAAAGCCAAAGATCCTGCGACTCTGAGATGGATGTAAGTTACATCTTATGAAAATGAGCTACCACCATTGACCGTATGTTAGGCACCTCCCTCATGAAGGGATTGAATTCGAGGCGTTTCTGGTATGTGCATATGGAGTCTGCTAAAGCTGTTACAGAGGCTTACAACTCCTTTTTGAAATTATAGAGGAGCGCTCTGGAAGCATACGGGCTCGATAAGCAGGCAGAGGCCATTGCTGTGTCCCAGTTCCTCGATCAAATTGTAGCCTATTTGGAAAAATCCTCGTTCCAAGGCAAACGCTTTCGGGTGAAACATACATCCAAATGGTTGAAAATACCAGGCCTTTCAAAAGAGATTCAAACCAATTTAATTACGATGCCCTACTTTTGGCTCGGAAAGACACCAGAAAGAGGGAATAGACCACACAGTTCCAAGGTTCACTGGATTCAGCCTCTTGTCCAATCTGCCTACCATCTAGACTCATCCATACCTCGCGAAAACCAACAAGCAATTAGATGTTTGTACGACCATATAACTGATGTTATTCATGTGCCACAGCTCTGGATTCTTACCATTGATGATAGTACGTTAAATCTTTCAATCCTAGTACGCTTGTTGGTAACATGGATTTTCTAGACTTTATCGCTACATGCTCACCCACAGCCATATATGATAACCAGAGCTCATCAATTGTCACATGTGCAGCTGGAAAGCACCCGTTCCCCACAACAATCCGCGTAACTTTGAGCTCTGGCTTCGTCTTCTGTCTAAGGCGTGATCAGTGTGAGGTGTGGTCTGTAAGTCCACAGCATTGCCTTGGTAATTTACCATTTCATGATCTAACTAGTGGGGACATATAGGAGTTTCAAAATCGAGTGAATTGTGTTGTCGAAGAGTACCAGACTTCTCCCATCACCTTTATAAATTGGGTATATAAGCTCCAGAAAGATGGGAGTGTTATTGAAGGAATCCGTTGGCCATCCATCTTGCAGTCTCATTGCAGCAGCGAGCCATTGTCAGTCCTTGTTTTCTTTGAAGCTGCTCGATCAGATCAGAAACTACCAGCCATGATCTCACTAGAAGGGAAATATGTTTGGAACTCCGCAGCGAATGACCACCCAGAGTACCCCAGGGCCAGTTTGGAAATCCTTAGCCCGCAAACACTGGATGAGTACAGAATACCTTATTACTGGGACAATCCGAAGCCTGGGGTAGGTATTCCCATAAATATCGTCATTGGCCAATTTGGAAGTTGACATGATGTTTGTTTTTTAGGGAGAAAGAGACATTATTATTGCACAAAATCTTACTGAACTCGACCTAAAGATACTTTACGAACATACCGAGCGACTACGTGCCATGGAAAAAACTGATATATTAATTCAACGGCCCGAAACTGTCGAGGATCCATACTACATTCCACCATTATATGTCCTCGAGGCTGCAAAATCTCAGGCCGAGGTTGAAGAAACCGAACCGGAGAGCCATCATATAGGTCAGGGAGAAGGCATACCCAAAGCCTCAGCAGGAGTCAAGCAGCCCATATTCAAGTGGCCGATCAAGGAAAATATCGACGATAAGTCAGTTGATGGCTCTCCGCACGCAATCAGAACTGAGGTATCTTCAGAACACAAACCAATGCCGAAGCAGCAAATGAAAGCTTTACTGGCGCATTTGCACTATAAACTTATCCATATTTCAGGCCCGTTCGTTGCACAACAGTACAATAACCTGCCATTGAAAACGAAGTTAGACGTGGAGAAGGAGATTACCAACCTGCGTGAGCACCACCATCTTAATAAGCACATATATATTCTCCTGGCTTCCTTTGTACGCCACTTGGACCACGTCCTGGGGTGTTTCATTGACGAAGACTATGATTGTATCGTTAAAGGGAAGGTTTGGGCAGCAACGCACGCTTTAATTCAGGTGAGCTTCCATTCCTCTATATATAATGCCTGAGCTAAATTGAGAGAAACCGTAGACATTCAAGTCTCCTTACAAGGATTTCTTCTCATTTCATTGCAGCGTCTTTGCCATTCCGCTTCATACCATCACAGATCGGATCCAGAAACTACGTGATGGATTATTTGGCGCCGAGCAATTCTATATCCCACGTTCCTTAGAGAAGGTGTTCCTTGAGACTGTGCTACTTCTTGTAAATACATCTCAAGAGGCCTCCAGGCTTATGTGCAAAATCGACCAAGAAGGTGGTGACAGCAGTTCAATGCCGTCTAGCCCTGTAAACGAAGAGCCGCCAGATCAACAATCGACTTCGGCTCCATCGCAAACAGGGACGGTTCCTTTCCAAGAGCGGGGGACACAGACAGAGTCATTTCGTGTGGATGTCGAGGAAGAAGACACCCAGGACAGTGAAGGCAACCGCTCTACAAAATCTACACCTTCGACGAGCAGCCTACGACTTCATAATCCCGAAAAGGCTTTTTTGAGAGAAATGTGCCTCCAGGTCAATCTAATTCTTGGGTATCTCGATGGCGCACAAGCCGAATGCTGCGCAATGTTCAGCCTAAAAAACGAAGAAGAACCTTTCTATAACGGGATAGACCGTGGAAAGATTATCGCTCTTGTGCTGCAGTCCGTGCTGCAGGGCCATTCAACATGTGAATCCATACCAAAATTGGATATTGAAGAGATCTATGCGACATACACCACTCACTTGGTGTGTTTCATATTCTGTCGATAAATGCACTACAAGCTGATATAAATTCCATGTCTAGCAACTCAAAGCACGGAGTACACCTAGCAAAAGCTTACTCGTGGACGTGAACCTACTACGCGAAGAGCTGGCGATAATCATCGAGAATATCTCTAGTCAGCTGTCCGTAATAAAAGGCCTATGCAAGTCCAGGTATGTCTCTCTTAAGTATGGTGGAAGTGACACAGGGTCCGATTCTGAGAGCGATATGACGCTATTCGAATTGCTGTTTTCTGCTACTTTTGATGGCGATGCAGTGCCTAACGTGTCGACTCGGAACACCCTCAAAGAAATAAAAAACGACCTACAGGATAGACTGGATGTATTCAAGGAGTTAATGCAGCGCACGAAGGATCTAGAAAAACAGGTATGCTAACATAAACGAAACAAGACTCTGAACTAACAACATCGACTAGATATGCCAACGCGTAGAGATCATCCAAGAAGACCATGGAAAAGCGATCCTCGTCTTCACCATTGTCGCAACAATCTTCCTACCCCTCTCGTTTGTCTCGAGCTACCTCGGCATGAACACAGCGGATATCCGAGACATGGAACCAAGTCAAGCGCTTTTTTGGGAGGTAGCTGCTCCGTTCACGGCTGCTGTGGTGGTTGCTGTCCTCATGGTTGTATACAACGTGAATCGTATTATAGGATGGATACCTAGGGCGACTGGCACTACATAGCATTCTTCTAGCCACACAACGATGGTGTTAGGAAGGGGAATACAATGCATCTTATATTACATAGTGAGGTGTTTGGCTATGGGCGTAGGAAATAACGTCCCATCTCAAATTAAAGTCCATGATCTCCATACTATTGCTCCCTTAGACTGAAAATAATATTAACAGCTTGGGTGAGCTCATGTCAGAATTAGAAACTTGCCACTTTAGCGACTGTATTCGATCGTCAAGATGTCCGAGCATTTGCTATTAAGAAGAGAGCGACACAACCTGAGTGCCAAATAACAATGGAAGCAAGATACTGGACTATTAGACACTAGACACTTCTGCACATACAACTAGGGTCGTTATTGCCTGTAGTCACCTGTATCGTTATATGACTAGTCGATGTCATCATGACCAACCTTCCCGGCTTTGTAGACTTATTTGCTTCCCTTTCAATATATTGCGGTCTAGTGCTGTTGCCAATTGTTTTCTTCGGTACATTTCCATACAAGACTTTGCCCAATGTTAGCCTGGCATCAATCAATGGATTATATACCTACATCCTAAATCTTCCAGCTCAGCTAACAAAATATTTCTGTAAGAGATGCAGGGAAAGCGTCGACACGAAGGAAGGTGACCAAACAGCGCTTGTCCTAAGTGGACAGCGTCTGGCTTCGGGGGGCTCGGCCATGTTGGTTTGAAGATATAAAGTGGAATATTCGGGAAATTGTCGCTTTTTTGTGTGTAGTAATCGGCATTTAGTAAGCTATCTGGTGATTTATAGAGGCTACTAGGCAGATATCTGCCTAGTAGTGATATGACGTGTGTATTTCCCATCTAGGGTTACGATACCTTCGACCCCGGATCTCGAATGGTGCAATAATGATAGTTATTTAGTTTATCACTAGTGAGTACCGGGGATGGCATGAGAGCTCGTGTGGCGGTGTTTAATTGAGGCGCTTATATGTGCAACATATCTGTTTTATGACCGCCAGTTAATTGACTAGGCTCCTTGTTGCTTTCTTTTCTCCGGATTTCCATGTCCTGGAACATCCTTACTCCCTGCAGATTCGGAATAACTAGCCAACCATAGACCCATATGGCTGGATGCATACAGTGTGGTAGCTCTATTCATATGTAGGTATACAACGGAGTAGCTATTCTTGGATTCCAAATCAGTCCAACGTGCAACCACTCCAAGCTGAGCTGGCACCTCGGCGCCAGAAATATAAATACGTTGTCAGGCCCAGTCCTAAATTCTATCTGTCCACCTTCCATACTCCAAGCTTTAGCACTCAATTTAGTACCTCAACCCAGAATAAACCTGCAATATGCAGCTCCAGGTCCTCGTTGTGTCCGCCCTGGCCTTCATGGTCAACACTGTAGCCGCCTCCCCTGCTCCAGCTGCGACACCAGCTATCCCTAAGCGTCAAGAGTCTGCTTGTTGGACTTCTTGTTCGAAGGAAGTGTTTGAGTGTCCCAAGCCATTTGTAAGTCAAACTGTTTGGTAAATTCATTAGTTGAAGCTTTGCTAACTCATTATTATAAAACAGAACCCGAAGCATCGTGGAGTATGTGCCCATCATTTAATTCTGCAGATTAGTCAAACGATTGCAGGTTTTGGGCTCGGATTGCTAATGCCTTATCGCGTTTAGGATTGCTGGACATGTTGCTTGAATTAGGAGCATCATCGACAGACAAAAAAGAGGTTGAGACTCCGAGCTTGGGAATATACTAGAGCGTTTCCTAGATGAACAATGGTCTCTTACCTTGAAAGACAACATAAAATGGATCAGTTAACAGGTAAAGGTTGCTGGAGCTTTTGTCAATTTAGATATGACGGTCCGCAGAAAGCAGTCTAGAATAATGAATGAAAATATCACATCTTGAAAATGAATGATAGTACAAAGATCTCCGTACAATTTTACATAGTAATATTTTTCATTTTATGGCTTTTAGCACTCATGACGCATAACGCAAACAACACATCAAGCTCTGAGTCATGAATCCTCCATTGTACCACAGCAATTTGGTTTTCTTTCATGGTATTAGATGCCATGTCTAGGAAGGACAATATCCCCTCAAGCGGAAATTAGAGTGGCGACAATCCATTGACATATTTTTCGAATGTCTTCCGGGGGTAAGATCCTAAGCATGTAGTCGAGCAACCGACTGAGTAATGGAAGGATTCGCTCCGTGTCTGGCGTCTTTTGTCCCGCACACCCTTCCATAGAAGGATATAAGGTATCATCAATATTCAAGGCTACTATTACGAGCCCATTTGGGCCCTTACCCTAGCTATATGTCTTGGGAGGATTTGGGTTCCGCTGTAGAGCCCGGGGAGCCCTTTTCTCCTGCGAAATGCATATCTCGCTTACGAATACCGGGTGTTAATGCTAATGTCTTCTTCATAATTGCCGACTTGCTGCAAGGCTACTTAGGGCATTACCGACGTGGGAAGATAGATTTGCGGGATATGAGGATGGACTAAAGAGCTTTGGATACTGATGATATTACGTTTGAAATACACTGACATATGTGTTGCGCAATTATCAAGTAGTAAGTGAACATTAAATTTTTATTTGTACAAAATCTCGGCAGCATTATCACTTTTAACTCCCATAAACCGACGTCCCCGTCTGGACATTCTTTATAAGCCCAGCCTCATATAACTTCGTAATCAAATTCTGCACCATAAAATCACACCCATACCCAGCGACAATATCGACACCATACGGCAAAGCCTCAACCTTCATGCTCGCATCGGAAATAAGGTCTGGAAGAGCGATCTCACCCAACGTAACCGCGTAGTCGGGGAGATCACCTAGCGAGGCTAGACGGTTGGGTGCAGCGGCACTCTGCTGCTTTCCTTCAGAAGAATTAAGGTCGGTGCAGGCTTTTTGGTCGGCAAGCTCGGTGCAATTGCAGTTGAGGGTTGTGTTTAGGGCAGTGACTTGTTGTTGGGCGGAGGATAGTTGGTCGGTTAGTTGGAAGATGTAGGGATTGTTTGTGCTGTGCCATGAGTTAGCTGGGAGCTTTCGGTGTCTAAAATCTGATTGAGGCTTACTCTTCTGAAACGTCTGGCTTGTATGATTGAGAACCCTGTGGGTAAGAAAAGTACAAGAAGATGGAATCAGAGCAGGTTTCCTCATCCGGCTTGAACACATTCTTGGAAATCCACTTAGTGAAGTGATGTTTTTTTCTGAGATCCTCCTTGTGGATAGTAGGGGACATGGACTGATTAGCTGTCTGCCAGCCCTGGAGCGTACTGGGCACCATGTAAGGATATTTCCCGCCGTGGCTCTTCATGTATGTGGAGAGATAGTCCTTGCCAAATGCGGTCCATTGCTCGTACCTCGTTAGGTTGCCGTAAAGATTGGAACTCAGATCGCTCAAGGTCGTATTTCCTGTGTCATTGGAGGAAAGCCAGAGGTCGTCAACTGATAGACTTTCAGTGTTGCCATTTACCAATGAAGCGAGAGCCTCGGTGAAGTTGTTCAATCTGTCAGCCAGCTTCCCAGATCCTGGACCAATGAATTCTTCTGGTGAAAGTGCACTTTGGACATCAGCGGCATTGATGTAAATTTTCTTCGGAAACTTTGTGAACTCTTTGGAAAAGCCCGAATACAGCACCTTGTTGATTCTGGACCACACCCTGGGGTCCCGGGCCAAGATACCACTCGTGTCCATTGAATCGGCCAACACCAAGGCACCGGTCAGATTGACTGCACCATGAGAGGGACGGTTTCCATGAACGCCATTTTGCGTCGCTGGACCGCGGATGGAACCACCCGTGTCACTACCCATGCTCGCATCGAGCCATTCATAGCTCGCCACGGCAGCGCCGGAGCCGCCGGAGCTGTCACCAGGGGAGTTATATCCGTCTCCCCGAGGGTTGAAAGGAAGGAGGTAGTCGACATGATCGGTAATGTAGGGTCCTCCATAAGCGAACTCGGACAATTTGTTCTTTCCGATGACCACGGCTCCCGCATCGATGAGCTTCTGGACGGCGACGGCTGTGGCGTTCTTCGGTTTGCTGATCTTAAACAAGGCACGGTTGCCGCCACTTGTCTTCATACCCTTGAGGTCGTAGAGGTCCTTGACTGCAATGCGCACACCTGCCAGAGGTTTGGACTTGGAGGGGGTGAAGTATAAGCGAGACGGCACGGCAACAGTCAAGCCGCCAGCCGAATCTGTTGCGACACGGAGGTTGTGGTGCTCTCCATCGGGATCTTGGTAGGAAGACTGCGCGTGAGGTCAGTTTATATGCGATATACATGCACGTGAGATGCAGACTTACCTGAAGAAATGCCTGGCTTGTATCCGGGTACAACCTGTACGCTTGGTACACCTTGCCGGTGTACTTGTGGACAAAGTATGGCCCTTGAGGAACAGTTTCATTGGCAGCGATTTTCCCCGTACTCGTAAAGACGTTGTCGACGGGGCCATTTGGCCCTAGCGAAACTGTAAGGTTCTTCTCGGAGGTTGCGTTCGAAGGATATTGGACATAGAGAGCTATACAAATGTTAGTAATAGAACTGAGAGCACGCACCATCTGCATCACTTACCATTTGTAAAAGCCGGCGTCCAAACATCATCCGCCCACCGAAACTGGTCCAGCGTCGCTTTGATTGACTCGGCGCCTTGACTGGTAGAGTTCAAATGAACGACCGTCAAAGGAATAAACTCCTCCTCCGAGTCCACAAGGCTAGCCCTCCATCCCAAAAGCGACCAAGCAGGTCGAGGGGGCAGGAAATACTCATGGCTCCCGAGTTGGATGTGCCGAGAAACAGAAGCTGCCCCGGCCAGTCCGCAAACCCAGGATATCGCCAACACAGCCACAAGCATCGGAGATCCCATATTGAATGACTGGGATTTGAATATGCTTTATTAGCTTATGGCCCCCACGACCGGGGGAGGGGGGTGGTCATGGTCTTTATATATATTCATCCTCAACCCTCAAGTAGCGCATCATTGCCTGAAACAGATGAGTGACTGAACCATCCACAATGATGAGTCGTACGACGTCCACTCAGAGCGGCCTGAATATGGATGCCTTCAATCCTTTACGGCTCCATAGTTGCATAAAGGTCCGTATGACGCCGAATCAAGTAGGCTGAGCGCGCCCGATCTGGGCGGACACGGGGAATATCGTTCGCTTGTTTTGGACCCCACTGGAGCCTTATTCGGCCTGGACGAACCAGAGCTCGACAACTCATGGTGATCGTCCGTTTGTGAGAATCCAGATCCTTTCCTTTCGGTATTTTGGCGTAGTGCCGTAGTTGTTGTTGGTATTCAGGCAGCTGTATGGTGGACGGAGAGCTTGGCGTTGTGCGGCAGGGCCCGGATCGGACATTGACTGTGTTTTTTTCTTCAATTGATGCGTTATCCCCCGGCCAGATGGTAGATGAAGGAACACTTGGCTCCGGACGACGTCGATCGGGATGAGTCGCTCCTTGCCGAATACAAATTCTTGAACCTGGACCGAGGATTTTGCTAAGAGACTGACCTCGCCCAATTGGACTGATGATATCGCCCGTCGTAGTATGCATTGGGGGTTTTAATTGGCTGCTGGTGGATCAGCCTGGTGGATTGTTTGCTGGAGCCATGAATGGGGGCTGGGGTGCATGTAGACTTTCTTACCCAGATGGTTCTTGAAGACTACCCCGGTAATGTAGTATCATAGGCTGCAGCTTATTTAGACCAACAGTCTCACATTCTTCTCATCTTGCGAGCTTATAAGGAACAGGTAGCATGGGCTGTCAGCATTCCACCCAAACCCGGGCCTGTCAAGACGAGGATGTCAGTCTAACTGAGGAAAATATTGCTCCAGGATATTGTCATTATCCACACAAAGTTTTCATCATCCGACGCCGCTTCAACCTGGCCATCGCGCTTCCTCATGAGCATGGACATAGACAAAGATATAGCTCTCTTTGTCGATGTCACCGGCTCTAACTCAAAGCTTGCAGTGCAGCACCTGCAGCTAGCCGACTTTGACGTTATGGTTGCTATGGAGAGATAATTTGAGAACTTCGATGCACCTCTCGACAGATGAGCCCAGTCTCGAAGAAAGACGAGGGCCGCTAATATCGAGCTTGATGGTGATAAGGATGATACGTCTCCGAAAGGGGAATCGTGTGTACCAGCAGAGGAGTACCCGTGTCGGGGTGCAGAATCGCAGAAAGATCATTGCTGGAGTTTTTCTTGTGTACTATCCAACGGAAAACCATAAATACATTGATGTCAGCTTTTATCTTTTTATCCTCCCCAGGTTTTTTACTCATTTTGAACAGTACCCCAGCCAAAGAAACAGATTAAAATGCTATTCTGCCATGTGGTTGTCTGCTAAGGCTATAGCTGTTCTCTCCTACCCATCGTGCAGCTGTACGGAGCGTTCTCGAAGGTGTTCTTTCTAAACGACAGTGTAGATACGGCCGCATTGGCCTCATGTAATCTAGTTCCTCATCTGATATAATTAGTTCATTCCTTTCCATCAATCTTCTTCGTACATGCCCTCCGGCATACTTCTTGCGGACACCCTCCTATCGCCTACAGTCTGCCTGCCATTTCGTCCGCTTCGACACCGAAATCACTCCACCTTGCGCTTAAGCTGGTTTGGTCCACTGCGCTACAGCGTCATGGCTACCTGAGAAAACTAGCCAAGGAACCGCCGTAGAGCCTGTTTCATTGTGGACCTGTTTCCTCATTCTGGAAAGACTCATGGCTTTGTAGCTCTAATGTACTATGTGGCTTTGTGTAAGGCTATCCATGGAATGGAGATCCGGGGGAAAACCTGTCCCGGGTAAGAGAAAACAGCCTAAGCTTTCGCGGGCCAAGCGTCCTCTTTCCCCGCACTCACAGCTCTCGGTCAGTTAAAACTTCCTCTGGCTTCGGAATTCCAATCATTCCACCTCTATGCGCTCTGTTCTATCTTCATTGTGCCCGTGGAATTGGTTCCATCATGTATATGGCTCTGGAACCCCTACATGGTGGGAGCATCAAGCGCATCCGGCAAGCATGTGCTAACTGCAGGTGCGTTTTATATGAGACTGGGGATGAACCACGACCGGACTCTTTCATTAACCTTCCAGTCTTCATTGGACCCGACAGGCACAAAAAGACCAAATGTTCAGGGGAGCGACCCATATGCTTCCATTGTCGCCGCAACCGTCTTGCTTGTGTCTATGAAGCATACTCGACGACCGTAGGCGATGCGAACCCGCCAGCCCCTCCCCCATCGGCAATTGCGAACAATCCGAACAATGTCTGCCACGGTCCAAACGACCCCTTTATCCATGAACCTACTAATATGATTATAGGCAGAGCTGCTGCAACGGATTAGCACGATCGAATCCCGCCTAGCGGAGCTGAGTGGACGAACGGCGCGTTCAAACGAGTTTGTCTCCATGAGATTCGATATGTATGCCAACGCCTGTTGACATGTGCTTGCTTCAGAAACGACTTCCCGGATTTTACGATTTCTGGAGAACATAGCCCGCCATTGAATAATGCGACCGATGCTGGCGTGTTTTCGACGATACCGAATTCCCCTATAGATTATTCGTAAGTCACCAAGGGCTTTTGGATCTGTTGAGTGTTGATCTTGATTCTTTGACCGCGTCTGATAGATCTTTTCCGCCGCCTCCTGTGCTCCGCTCTGTCATCGACACATATTTTGACCATGTCCACAATAAACCCTATTCTTACTTCCAGGAAGCCTCCTTTCGTCAAAAGCTTGAAGCCAATTCACTACCACGATGCTTGGTCCTGGCTGTCCTATCATCCTCCGTCCGATTCTCAACCCATGAATACTATGTTGGAAAGAAACACGAGGCGTCTGAGAAATATTCCAGAGAGTCTTGGCTATCTGTCCTGACTGAGCATTTGACGGTGGAAGACAGTCTGAATGTACACGTTGTACAAACAGTAAACTTGCTAGCAATCGTGGATTACACAGGTATGGTTCACTTTGGTCACTTTGGGCGATGGTTCAGCAGCGCAGTCTGCTAACAAAGTCTGCGATATTTTAGCCGGCCGTGTCAGCTCTGGGTGGCTCAAGATCGGTCTTGCCGCGCGGATCTCCCAAGATCTTCATCTAATGACAGAACCCGACAAGTGGCTCTCTTACGCGGAGCAAGAAGAACAAAGGCGGGCTTTTTGGTCTGCCTATCTTGTTGACAAACTCATCTCCTGTGGGAGATCACGACCGCTCGTGATTATGGACGAGGACTGTACTGTCCAACTTCCCTGTGATGAACAAACATTCAGCAGAGGAGAATGGAAGAAGACAAATACCCTTGATCAGCTTCTGAACTGGAAAACTGAACTCATTGAAAGTCCCAGTGGCTTTGCCTTGGTCATTTTGATGGCCTCGATCTTTGGACGTTGCACAAGATACGTCCATCAAAATCAAAAGCCGGACGAGATTCCACCTTGGGACACCAAATCCGAATTTGCAGCAATCAACTCTTCGCTGTTGTTGCTGGAGTCCTATTCTAAGATTGGCACGCAGCCGATCTCCGAGACTATTCAACAAGCTGGTCAATCATATACCAATGTTGACGGGCAGCAAATTGGACATTCCATCTTTGCTCACACACTCTTTCATCTTTGCCACTGTCTGTTGAATCACCCATTTCTGGTACGCCTGCGTCTCAAGCCCTTTGGGTCAAAAGCCCCACCGAGCTTCCCCGCCAGAGCTCTTCAGGTAGGCTGTGATCATGCGAAGCAGCTGATGGATCTTCTGCTGGATGCTACTGAAAGTGGGTATCGAATTGAGTCTTCGTTCTATGCCTATTGTATAGCTGTAGCTGGAGGTATTCACTCACTAGCATCACACTTTGAGCATCAGAGCACGGCGCGTCGGCAGTCAGGCATCCTACACTACTTCAGTCGGAGCCTGGACGCATTAGAAAGATTAGCAAATTTCTGGGTGCACGCAGCCAACATGGTAGGTAATTCAAACCAACTGACTTTCTACGTACTATTAACCCATCTTCAATCCCAGGCCGTCCGGCTTCGGGAGTTCCATGGCATATCACATCGGTTTGCGAGCCTGCTCGATCCGATGTGCTTGACAGACAATCTGGACCCTGCCTGCGAGCAGATTTGCTGGTCGATGATAGACTACGCTATTCTAGGCGCAGATCCATACAAAAAGCCACTTATGCCTAGAACCGGTATCTCAAATCTCCCGTCTCCAAGCTCGTGGGACCTTGGATCCGGTGTTCTTGGTACTGAGCCGTCGAGATTCGAAGCCACGAATCCGGATATTTTCAGTGGTCTCACTCCGACTATGCGTTTAAATGAAGCCGAGTACCTTTTAAACTGTAGCCCTGGAACTGATGGATTGGCCTAGTCGTTCAGTCCGCTCGGTCCGACGCTTCGTTCTGCCTGCCTACACAGAAAGGGAAAAATGTATGAACGAATATGAAATCTGGTTGTGTTTGACCTGAAATCTAACACTAGTAGTCCTGATAATATTGTTATAGGTGGCAAAAAACAACTTTCGCCATGGAACGGCGTGGTCTCAGGAACAACCGCGGCTATTTTAGCCAAGTGTACTCCCCTTTGACATGTATGCCATTCGCGTTCTTGCGATCTATTTGAACATCAAATTAATAGTTTTACCATGTCAAGATCCGGCTGCAGGTTCAAGTTCAACGACGAGAACAACAAACGACACTCAATATAGCAATGCAGTAGATGCGATTCGTCGAATTCTGCGGGGAGATGGAGTTTTGGGTTCGTACAGTGGACTTGAAAGCTTCATCGTTAGCACTGCTTTGGTGAACGTTGCCTACTTCTATTGGTCATCAGCTGTGCGAATTCATTCGAAATGAGGATGAATAGACAGACCTATGGAGGGGATTCAAAGTTAATCTCTTCCTTGTCATAAATCCCATGATCACATATGGCCTCTATCGGTGACGGAGTGGGAGACTGATAGTTGTGAAAAAGGAAATCGGATCTCTCGAAGCCTTCTGTGAGTCTTTACTCAACCCTGTCCCAGGCCCTGAAACTGGTCTCTTCCCCCTCCCTATGCAATAGTACTTGATGCCCTGTCAAAAGCCATGGCAACCATTGCAACCCATTCATTGGTAGTCACCAAGACTATGTTACAGTCAAGCTTACCAGAATGTCGCCAGGGAAAATCTTTTCGGGGTTTCACAGGAGTTCTCTATATCGTTAAAAATGAAATGAAGGGATTTTGAGGGTCTACAAGGGCCTCGTTCCACAAACCATCAAAGGCTTCTTCATCCAGAGACGAATGATGACGTTGAAAGAAAGGTGAGTGCAATTGAATAGTGTCTTTTCATATTATGAGTTCCTGATCATGATTCGTTCCACCAGAACTGAGTTGTTATTGCTGTACAGGAGGCGGCTATTACAGAACTCATGTTTGAAAGTAAAGCCATAAGGATTAAACCCCCGGAGTTCGAAGAAGAGAAGGCTGGAGTCTCCTGACTGGCGATGAATTATGAAATCAGTAACACGTCTGTAAGTGCGTACCATGTACAAGGCACGCGCTCGCAGTATGCAGAGCATACGTACATGTACTTGCAAAGTTAGCGTCTAAAAATTCCAATCCAGGTACTTTGTACCGGTAACCACAATTCTATCTTCAAAATGAGTGGACCTTGTCAAGTTTTAAAGGACATCCAATCACTGGAGGACAATTTCCGGTCCTGGCGGTCCGGTCCGGATTGAAGAGCACTAACATGGGTGCCGGTCCGACGATTACGGAGGGCGGTCCCAACGGGTGTGGAGAGCAGAAGGTAGCCCGGAAAGCGATTTAGTGAACAGAGATCCGCAGCATTTGGTGAATCATCAGTCCTTTATCTTTATATCATAGCCTATGCTACTCGTTGGGATGTTTGATCGAATCTAATTTTCCAAATTTGTACCAACGCTCCTTTGCAAAGGCCATGTCTTCCGTCTCAAATATCCCATTCGCCGACCCACTTTGGCTCAACCGCTACTACAGCCCCTACTATAATGAATCTCATCGGCGACTGCAGAAAGAGGTCCGAAAGTATGTGGACACCCACATCGTACCATTCTGTGAAGAATGGGAGCGGCAGGGATCTGTACCACCAGAAGTAAGTCCTAGTTATGGGTGTTAAGTCTGCGGTATACTGTGAACCTGTTGAAGAAACTAACACGGGTTGTAATCTTAGGTCCAACAGCGTCATACGGAACTCGGATATACTGCCGTAACTGCGTTTCCCCTCGCAGCCGATTACCTCAATGGTCAACGGCTTCCCGGTGACATCAACCCCCGTGAATGGGACGGGTTTCACGATCTCGTAGTTATCGATGAGCTTGCTCGTTGTGGATACCTTGGGATCATTTGGGCGTTGGGATGTGGCAATTCCATTGGCGGACCTCCTGTGATCAACTTTGGTAATGCCGAACAAAAGCAACGGTTTCTTCCGGACATGCTGAAAGGGAAAATTAGATTCTGCCTGGGAGTGACGGAGCCAGATGGTATGTGGTCCTTTGTACATTCTCTGTCAAAGGAAGGCTTGGAAGCTAATGTCCGAATTTCCATCTCAGCGGGATCCGACGTGGCCGGTATTACGACCACCGCCGAGAGGAAAGGCGATGTGTATATCGTGAACGGAGCCAAGAAATGGATTACAAACGGTATCTTCGCGGATTATTGTACAGCAGCAGTAAGGACCGCTGGAGAGGGAACTCAAGGCATTTCAGCACTTGTCATTCCTCTGAAAGCTCCAGGGGTGATGTGTAGGAAAATCGAGAACTCAGGTGTCCATGCGAGTGGTGAGTAGTTCTTTCCTTGTACCTGCCTGTGGTGTCTTTCAGTACTGATTCTTCTTGGGACAATAGGGTCGACATACATCGAATTTGATCAAGTCGAGGTGCCCGTAGCAAATTTGCTTGGGCAGGAGAATAAAGGGTTTCCAATCATCATGAATAGTAGGTTTTCCTTTGTGATTTCCTTGCAAGTAACAGTTCAACCCGTGGGAGCACTTTTCGTTAACTTGAAGTGCAGACTTCAATCATGAGCGCCTCTGGTTGGCCTGTACTTCTCTTCGCATGGCTCGCGTTTGCGCAGAAGACTCCTACCGACATGCAATCACACGTGAAACATTTGGCAAGAAGTTGATTGAAAACCAAATAATCAGGTCCAAGTTTAGCGCAATGGCTCGCAGTCTTGACTCTACATATGCATGGATGGAACAGCTTGTCTACATTTCAGAGGCTGCGAAAAAGAGCAAAACCGATGCTGTAATGGGTGGGTTGTTCGCAAACCTCAAGGTACTTGCAGGACAGAGTCTTGAAAAAGCCAACAGAGAGGCGCAGCAAGTTATGGGTGGGCTTGGTTACTCCAAGAATGGCCGGGGTTCGAGAATCGAGCAAATCAGCCGTGACCTGCGAGTGATGGTTGTTGGTGGAGGCAGTGAGGAAATTCTGTCTGAGCTGGCAGTCAACCAGGAGGCTAAGGTGATGAAGAAGCTGCAAAGCAAACTTTAGACGCTTGAATTCATTATTTTTATTTATCAACGAGACAACTTATCATTCAAGTACCCCTCTACCTGCATTATAAAGAAAAGCCACTCCGCAATTATCTGATAATCTAAGAGAAGTAGTTTGGATTCTTGGGTGACATGCTATAATCCAAAGCAAATATACTATGTTTGATGGAATTTCCCCCCGATCATTCGTTCTGCACCTTTCCCATGATTGATGCCGAAGAGCTGGATTGCACAATATTTACAAATAGTCTTCTAAACAACCGAGCAAAGGACTTTCCCTTCCTCTACTGCATTCCCTTTCTTCCATGTTGTTTCAAACTTACCTGCCGCTGCCACTGCAATACTAACCTCCATCTTCATACTTTCAATGACCATAACCGATTCCCCGGATTTGACCTCATCCCCATTGTTCTTCAGAATTGACAACACCTTGCAAGGCATCGGCGCTGTGACTGTCTTCTGCCCAGGGTCATTCTTGGCTTTGGCGACAGAACGGGTACTTTCCGCAAACGAAAGCATTGTATCACGTTTGAATTCGACATAAGTACCGATTGCAGGTAAATGGCAAAAAATTCGTTGGCTGCGGCTGATCTGCCCTGCGATAGAATAGGAATGAGCGGACGGCAAAGCAACATACGCAAGGATTTTAGACCCGTTGACTGAAACCTCTAAGGTAGACGCAAGCCAGGATTCGGTGAGAGCGATATTTCCCTCTGCCGGACGCCAGCTCTCGATGTTGACTCGGTATGGGTCCATAGATAATGCTTTTTTAGTTCGAAGTGCTTGGCTGATACTGTTGTACTGAGCGGACACTTCCGTGGCCGTTGATGTAGACTTCTCCTGTGCCATCTTAGACTCTGGCACAGTATAGAGATATGCTTCTTCGCTGCCCACACGGGGTCCCGCTCCCTGCGGTTTCCAGATGCACATGAGCTTTGATGAGTCGCTTTTTTCATGTGTTGTCCAAGGCCAATCAACCTTCGTAATAATGTCGCAATGTATATTGACAGGGTCAAAGCGCTGGTTCCGGAATTGTCTGCGGACATTTCTAAAAGGTTTGCGATGCGATGTAGCAGGTATGTAATCTGACAACCTCCGGGTTACCAAACTTGGAATAATTGAGAGCGCTTTCTCTGTTTCAAGCACATTCCGACCTAATGGCGGCTGAAGAAGTTCCTGCAGATAAGTAGTAATAAACGAAGTCGTGTATGCCGGATCACGGAAAGCCTTGTTCAGTAAACAGGCTTGCATAAAGAGTTGATTTGTTTTGACCCCTACACAGGCTGTGTGAGCGAGTACCTTAGCATCTTCTCAATGGCAAGTGCTCTCGTGGATGCCCACACGACAATCTTGGCAATCATAGAGTCGAAATAAATTGATACTGACGATCCAGTCTGAATGGCTGTTTCATAACGAATGTCTTGACTGGGTGCTAAGGTACCAGTTGCTGGGAGCCATAAATGAACTTTGCCATGCTCTGGGAAGAAGTTCTTCTGAGGGTCCTCGGCGCACAGGCGGCATTCAATGGCGTGCCCTTGTTGCGATACATTCTGCACAGCAGAAAGGGTCTGTAAGCTTCCGCCTGCGGCGACAAAGAGTTGCAAAGACACAAGGTCCACGCCAGTGACTTCTTCTGTGATGGGATGTTCAACTTGCAGCCGTGCGTTGACTTCAAGGAAGTAGAATTGACCAGTCTTGACGTCGACGACGAATTCGACAGTGCCGGCATTTTCATAGCCGATGAGCTTGGCAATGCGAACTGCAGTTGCACTCATCCTTTGACGTGTCTCATCTGTCAAAAACGGACAAGGAGTTTCCTCAATGACTTTCTGGTGTCGTCGCTGAACAGAGCAGTCCCGATCAAAGAATGACACAACCTTGCCGTGCGAATCGCCCATAATCTGAATCTCCACATGCTTGCTGCTTTCGATATATTTTTCCAGGATGCAATCACTTGACCCGAATGAGCGTTGTGACTCAGATCGTGCTCTCTCAAGCTCGTCCTTCAATTGACCCGCCTCTCGGACAATACGCATGCCCTTGCCACCTCCACCAGCTGAGGCTTTCACCATTACTGGGAATCCAATTTCCTCGGCTACTTTTCTCAGAGCTTCGGCATCTTGACTAGAGCCTGAAAAGCCGGGGATGAGAGGTACGTCTGGCGCATGCTTTCCCAGATATGCTTTCGAGGACCGCTTATCGCCCAGGGTTGACATGGCGCTAGCACTGGGACCGATGAATATCAGCCCTGCCTCATGAATGCTGTTAGCGAAGTCGGCATTCTCGCTTAAATATCCGTATCCTGGATGGACGGCTTGAGCACCGACAGAGACTGCCGTCCGGACTAGAAGGTCAACATCGAGGAACGGATTGTGGCCGCTTCGATCAATGCTTCCGATATTAACGGCCTCGTCGGCGTCGCAAACATGGCGCGAGGATGAATCCCTATAAACTCTTAGTATTTAATCTGACGCAAATTCTCTCCGTGTATACTTACTCATCAACATATACAGCCACAGAGGTGATATTCAGTTTTCGACATGTCCGAATAATGCGGCAAGCGATTTCGCCACGGTTGGCGATCAGGACTTTCTGAATGATCGGTCGGCCATCGTCTCCAGATAGCGGCTCAGCAATAAATAATGGTTTGCGAAGGGCTGAGCTATTGCTGCTATTTTCGCTCCTCTTGGGAGTGCTCGTGGTTCCAGTCATCTTTGGAGGGACACTTGACGCGTCGGTGATCGAGGGAGGCTGTAGTTTGACAATATTGCAGAAACCCCATTAAGCGACGATTAGCATGATTAAAGGCAATATCTATTCCATGGACTTTCCCATATGCTTGCCATATGTGTCTATGGGTTCCGGGGGACTTCCTATTCCGAGGCTCACCTGCTCGGTCCGGCTTCCGTACAAGAGGACTATGGGGTCAAACCGCAGGCCAAAGGTAGCAGCGCTGGCCATGAAGTGTGCAACCAATAATCAATTTCCAGTTGTGCCATCATCCATGTTCAGTAGAGGAATTTCCATCTAATTTCGACTGAATTGGTGAATATTATGATTCCAAACAATGTGTTAAATCCGAAGTGTCAATTGATGTTGATTTGTTCATTTGTACATTTCCGAGGTAAATAAAACATAGGTACTAGGTATCCTCTAAATTCTCGCAAGCAATCTATGAGACTCCGTATCATTCACGCCATGGAGAGTCACCACTTCCAGACACATTCCCAGTACGTCGCGCGTATCCCGAGGATCGATAATACCATCGTCGATAAGCATCGAGCTGGTCGAGTAACATTCCGCATCTCTCTGGACCCGATCCCTGAACTTCTTCACCTGCTTCTGTAGCTTTTCCGGAGACAGCGCCTGTCCCTTAGACTTGGCGCTTGCTTGCTGTACCCTCTCCATCACACCGGATAGCTGGTCCGGGCCCATAACGCTGCAACGACCAGTCGGCCAGGTGAACAAAAAGCGTGGCTTGTAGGCCTTGCCGCACATCGCATAGTTACCCGCTCCATAGGATGCTCCGAGGATGACGGAGATATGTGGCACTGTAGAGCAGCTCACTGCAGAAACAAGCTGGGCGCCCATCTTGATAATTCCTGCGTGCTCGGCCTTGGCCCCAACCATGAACCCTGTAACATTGTGCAGAAAGATGATGGGGGTATTTCTGATGTATTTCAGTAGACATTCGAATTGGAGTGACACCTTATCCTTACTGTTGGTTGCACATTCGGATGAACTGGGCAGCTTTTGCGGCTTCATTGGGGTTGATGACAGAAATCTGATTTGCAACAATGCCCACGGGGAAGCCTAATTTCTCAAACATTAGCTCTGACTCCTTTCCAGTATTATTTAGACACAGTTCACAGTAGTCGTACCCATGATGTGAGCCCAGGCGGTGATGATATTTGGGCCATACTTGGGCTTAAACACAGAGAGTCGAGAGTCATCCACAAGGCGCAAAAGAACTTCGCTCATGTCAAATGGCTTGCGGATATCGGGATTTACGAGAGCAAACAAATCTTCAACAGGATAGCGTGGTGCAAGTGGTTCAATCAACTCGAGTCGTAGGGGGCTGCGCATCTTCAGCGAAGCAACCCACTCTCGGGATTTTTGAATAGCATCAAATCTGAACCATCTCCGCGTCAGACTTTAGTGAACGGTGGAAGGGGCTGGTTAGTTATCTCACTCATCAGTTGCAATCTGGTCCGCAAGTCCAGTTGTAATGCCATGCACCTTAGCACCTCCCAGCTCTTCTGCTCCAATGGCCTCGCCTGTAGCCATCTTCACAAGGGGCGGCCCACCCAAGAATGCCTGGGCCTGATTCTCAACGAAGATTGTGTAGTCCGACAAGGCCGGATGATATGCGCCGCCCGCGGTTGAGGATCCAAACACAATTGCACATGATGGCTTACCATGCTGCGTGCGAACAGCGAGGTCGCGGAACAGCTGACCTCCCTTGTGGAAGACTCGAAACTGCTGAGGCAGGAAGACACCAGCCTGGTGGAGTCAGTCATCATGAGGTGCACTGTTCCGAAAGAATTTTCTTACAGATTGGACCAGGGAGATAAGAGGAAGATCATTCTCAAAAGCGATTTCCATCATTCGGTTAACTTTCAACACTAGGTAAATTGTGAGCGGAGCTCGGGTTGCTGGTAAGAACAAGTATCATACCTGTCATTTCATTCCAGGCGCCACCACTTTGTGTTGGGATATGCGACATGAGCAGACAAGGACGTCTACTATGGATTTATCAGAGAAGGATTCCTGTTTGATGAATTGGCTATTCCTGAGAATACATTTTACTTACCAAACGTTTCCAATGCCCGAAATCAAATTCGCGCATGGAGTCGAATCCTCATTTTGATACCCAGCAAACACTCCAAGTTCCAAGAATGGCGAGTCCTGGTCCAACAAGAGTGCGACACGGTCCCTGGCTATCAACAACGTTAGCCGCAGCAAGCACATCCCCCAATACCAAAGGAACTCACGCAGCAGTTGGCCCCGGGTTTGATGTCTTTGCAGAGAAACATCGTTGCCTTCAGCGGAGACTTGCTTTAGAGCTTTCTCGAACGTGTCAAGCACGGGTGTCCAGCTCTCTTTGTTTGCTTGAAACTGTTCACCCCGGAGATCTAGATTCGCGCTCAAGGCCGGATAGGAGGATTCGATAGCCATGGTGGAAGGATGTAACCCCGAGATTCCTGAAACCGATGGTTTTGGACGGCTGATCAAGTAGCTCGGTTATAATCTGTTCCAGGGATGTAGTTGACTAAGTTAAGAATACCCAGCCTCGATATGGGTAGGCATGGTCGGTCCGCAGCCCGGGGACAAGCCGGGCCCACGGTCCCCACAGTATAGCAGGGAGCTGGAACAAGATATATAATCTTTCAGTTTTGATGCAGTTTTGAGCACTCTTCAAACCACAGTCTTGTTTTCTCGAGTGCCTAATTCATGAAAAATTTCCCCATGGGCTTACCATCACACAACAATGGACTCCAACCTCGCGCTTGTCCATGGTCCCACGGAGCCTGCTCTGTGGTCGAAAACTCTAGGTAGCTTTGTGGATGAACAGGCATCTCGGTTAGACAATCGAACTTCTATCATATTCCCATGGCAATCGGTGCGACTGTCATACAGTCAATTGGCCGACCGGAGCAAGGTCCTTGCCAGGGCAATGCTAGAAATGGGCCTGCGCCATGGTGATTGTGTTGGTATAATGGCAGGAAACTGCTATCAATACATCGAGGTATTCCTTGGCGGTGCGAGAATTGGATGCCCGGTAGTGGTTTTGAATAACACATACACACTTGAAGAGCTACAGAATGCTGTGCAGGGAAGTTGTAAGTCACATAGGCATATTTTTTTACTATATCCTTGCGCTTACTCACGAACCAAAAGCTTGTCGACTAGTCTTCATCGCCTCTCGCATTGGCACACGAGATTTCTCAAGCCATATTAAAATCCTTCGGGGAAACCGGCCTACAAACCCAGCACTACCGGAACTGCGGCGTGTTGTCTGTCTTGGAAACGATGCAATTAGACAAACCGGGGTGGAAATGCAATCATACAACACATTCGCATCCAATGGTAATTCTGTTTTCATGAATGATCATGTACTGAAACGCGCCGAGAATAATGTTACTCCCGATGATGTCCTAAACTTACAATTTACATCCGGTATGAGCCGACAATCTCTAGGCTAGGATCAACGTTACTGATCCAGTATAATAGGTACTACTGGCTCACCAAAAGCTGCTATGCTAACACATGTGTAGGTCCATTCTGGCCTTGATGGAATCAGATCTAATCGATGGCTAACTATCAATAGCAACCTTCTCAACAATGCTCACTTCGTTGGTGATGCTATGAAACTTACCCCCGAGGATGTTATATGCTGCCCGCCTCCTTTATTCCACTGCTTCGGTCTTGTACTAGGCTTCCTGGCTTCATTCACGCACGGAAGTTCCATCGTATTCCCGTCCGATTTCTTCAACGCTCAAAGGGTTGTCGACGCGATCGTGAGCGAGGACGCCACCGTTCTTCTGGGCGTCCCAACAATGTATGTGTCCGAGCTCGAGGTCATGGCGAAAACAGGCCAGAGGCCTCGACGACTGAGAACAGGTCTTGCCTCTGGCTCTGCAGTGTCGCAGGGTCTTATGAATGAGCTGCAGGCAAAAATGGGCGTTGAGAAGATGTTGATTGCCTATGGCATGACTGAGACGAGTCCTGTCACTTTCATCACTGCACTTAATGACTCAAATGAGAAGGGTACTACAACTGTTGGGAAAGCTGTTCCGCATACAGCTGCAAAGGTTATTGATCAGAGTGGCAAGGTCGTCGCTAGAGGAGAGCGAGGGGAGCTATGTACAAGCGGTTTTGCTTTGCAAAAGGGATACTGGAACAATGAAGAGAAGACCAAGGAGGCTATGAGGCGAGATGAGAGCGGAGTGTTGTGGATGAATACTGGTGATGAAGCTCTTCTCGATAGTGATGGATACGCACACATCACCAGTCGAATCAAGGATATCATTATTCGAGGTGAGCTGAGTATCCCGTTGGACGGGGTTTTAAAACGCTGACTGTATTTTTTCAGGTGGTGAAAACATCTTTCCGCGAGAAATTGAAGAGCGACTTATGCAACATGCCTCCATTAGTGAGGCCAGCGTGGTTGGGATCAAGGACGAAAGATATGGTGAGGTCGTTGGTTGTTTCCTCAAGGCGACTGAAGGAACTTCCAAGGTCACCGATTCAGAGGTGAAACAGTGGATCAACGAGACACTAGGCCGGCATAAGGTGCCCCAGTACGTATTCTGGATCGGAGAGCCCAAGGTTGGAGAGGATTTCCCTAAGACGGGCAGTGGCAAACATCAGAAACACATTATGCGGGATATTGGGAACCGGTTGGTTGAGCGCAGTACAATGAAAGCAAAGATATAGATTCTCATTATATTCATTACAACACTTATTCAATACAGTATTTTCAAGTGTTAGTAAAAATAGAGCCTAGCTTACTAGCATTTAGGGTTCAGCAACCACTCCTTGCCAGCCTCGCTGCCAGGATCCTTCGTATTACGGGTTCAACTATATGCGCATACAGCCTCAGTTGAGATTAGTACAGCTCAATATATGCTGGAATCTATTTCGTTGGTCCATTCGTACACCAACCCGTACTGTATTCTCAATTCCGTCATCAAGTCCTAGAATTGCAAGGGTGTTTTGTCTTCTCCTTGCAAAATGTCGTGAATTTTATATACCGTTTGCATTGAGCAGTTAAAAAAAATCTCAACGATCCCTCGCATCTAGCTTTCTAGGGATATACAGTCTCAAATCCCTCCATCCAACATCGTGACTCGATGAGATCAAACGTCGCCAGGAACTCGGTCCGGGCTCCGGAACCCTCATAAGCTTATGTCGTTGTGGAGCCTTGGGGGTATTCGGGGAAGCCCCCCGGTCCGGCGGACGGACTGGACCCAACCAGGGCTCGGAATCCGGCCATTCTGTTCACCATAGTCCACTCCGCAGCTTACAGGAGCTAGTACTCATTAGACAAAAAAAAGTTCTTTGTAGCCTTGTTCTGTAAACTGCTCAACGCTCTTCAACGAGTCCCCTCGAAATGACAGTGCAAAGCACCCCTTCAGCCGTCCGGATCGTGGAAGTTGGGCCACGAGACGGTCTGCAAAATATCCGGGACGAAGTCCCCACTGCGACAAAACTTGAGTTGATACGGCGGCTAAAAGGGACTGGGTTGAACATAATCGAGCTTACTTCTGTTGTTTCGCCGCGTGCGATTCCCCAGCTGGCCGATTGTCACGCAGTCCTCGGGGATCCCGGGGTCCAGACACTGCTAAAGAATGGTTCTCCCCGGCTTCCTGTGCTAGTGCCAAATATCAAGGGCCTTGAGATTGCTGTTCAGCATGGGGCAAAGGAGGTTGCTGTTTTTATCAGTGCAACCGAGGGATTTAGTAAAGTGAATATCAATTGTACGGTTGAGCAAGGAATTGAAAGGGCACGACAGGTTGCAGCATTGGCTTTGGAGTCGAATGTTGTTGCTAGAGGGTAAGTTGGGCATCCTTGGCTAAGCACCTCCCTTCAGTGGTCTATTTCCAGGTATTGGGATTATCTCTGACCATCTAGTTATGTTTCGTGTATCTTTGCAGACCCCTATGACGGCCCAACCCCCGAACAAGCGGTTCTTCGCTGCATCAAGGCATTACTTGATGCAGGCTGCTACGAGGTCAGCCTTGGTGACACACTCGGCGTCGGCTCTCCTTCAAGCGTGCGCGCCCTCGTTAAATACTTAACCAACAATGGCATCCCCCTAGAAAGGCTAGCTGGTCATTTCCACGACACATACGGCCAGGCGGTAGCCAACGTCTGGGAAGCATATAACTGTGGAATGCGCGTTTTCGACAGCAGCGTTGGCGGTCTTGGTGGATGTCCGTTCGCCCCTGGCGCAAAAGGAAACGTAGCCTCAGAAGACCTAGTCTACATGTTCCATAATGCCGGTGTCGATACGGGCGTGGATCTAGACAAGCTGGCAGACACAGGGGTCTGGATATCAAAGAAGCTTTCCAAGGCCAATTTTAGTCGTGCTGGCACTGCCCTCGCCACCAAGGAATCCATCAAGTCATTCAACACCAAGACGACTACTCACAAGAACGTGTCCCTTCAATGGACACTCATCTCCAAAACAGAAGGCCTGCAACTCTATCGGTCAGGTGTGAATCTGAAAATAATCCTTAACCGCCCAAAGAACGGCAATGCTTTGACAGCAGCAATGATATCCAACCTCACAGCAGCCATCAACGACGCCAGCAAAGACCCCCAAATCTCACGCATTGTCATCACCGCGAACGGGCGGTTCTTCTGCACAGGCATGGACCTGGGCAAGGGGAGTACACCCGTAGCCCAAGGCGGTTCGACGAGCGACACGCAATTCGAGCGGCTGACCGGGATCTTTGAGGCCATTGATCGATCGCCCAAGGTGACGGTTGCTTGTATGAACGGCCCCGCGTTTGGAGGTGGCGTCGGACTAGCATTTTCCTGTGACATCCGGCTCTGCACCCGAAGTACAGTCCTGACGCTCAGCGAGGTGAAACTAGGTCTCTGCCCAGCCACCATTTCGAAATATATCATCCGGGAATGCGGGGTTGCGTTTGCGCGGGAGGTAATGCTCTCCGCGCGCCCTGTCACGGCCGCGGAGCTGAAAACGCGTGGGCTTGTATCTGATGTGGCGGAAAGGTCCGAGCAGCTGAATGAGCACCTAGATGCTCTTCTGACCAGGTTGAAGATTGCGTCTCCCAATGCATCACGTATGTCGAAGGAGCTTGTGAAGCTGGCCTGGGCTCACGCCGGTGGAGAGAAGCAGGCGTCGGGGATTAAGTCGCTATTTGAAGAGATGATGTGCCCGAATTCGGATGGGGCACACGGAGTCAAGGAGTTTCAGGCGGGAAGGAAGATCGACTGGGATGCATATATCCAGGGACTGACCAAGTCCAAGTTGTAGTGGCAGTAAGAGAATAGGTTCGCGGTTGCATAATATTGTTTTCTGCTATTTCTCCTTATATTTGATGTTGTATCCCACGGCAGAGATTTTATATGAGTATCCAAAAAAGGCATAGGTGCTCGGAGCGAGTTCGCTCTGCATGAACGTTACACATAGGGCTGAGCAAGATGTCGTCCGGTGCAACCGCGCGTGGCTCAGTGGACTTATTGACACGGCCTTGGTTATCTTATCGTCGCGTGCGAAGCCTTTATACTTTATGATTAAAACGTAGAATGGGATTTTCAATGGATATTGTATCTCTTTGCTTGCCGTAAAATCATGGACTCGACCACAGTATCAAGCTTAGGGCAGCATCATTGGGCAATAATGGCATCAAAAAGTGGACTAATTATAGACCTACATTAGGCTGGGCAGCAGCCATGCAACAAGTGGCTGCCATCCCTTTGCAATCTTCAAATAAGGGAACTGCCATATTGACGTAGCCCACTATAGCTAAGAAAAAGTTATACAAACCCTAGCAGAGCTATCAAACCCGTAAATCAAATCAGTTTCACTGCCCGAAGTTTGACCCTTCTATTTCACGAACACTAAGTAGACCGACAAGAGGAACCCGGATTTGGATTGATGTACTCTAAAGTCCCAGGCCCAGGCCCGTTAAAAGCTGCACATAATGGAATGTTTTCAGATACAAATCATCTCATTGAAGTGAAAGAATCCTCAGGTGAATCTCAATTGTCCACCTTCCGGTCCGACCCGGGGCCCTCATAGACATTCTGACACGTTAATTACGACCAAAGGTAGGCAAACTAAGTTCGGATGACTTTATGTTCGATAGTCCCGTTGAAAAATCAAAATAGTTTCCGTATATTCCGCGGTGGGCGGGCCCACATCGCTTTATCTAGGTTTCCCTAATCCGCGGCTAATACCCAGCCGTGATCAACATTAGCCATAACGCAAGGTACGAGGCTGGGAAATTCATGGCAGGTAGATGTAGATGGAACAGGCTTGTTCAGGATGGCTTTGTTGCTTCAGTGAGCAGGCTGAAATAAATCCTGCAGTATACTTCGGGGTTGTCTGAGTATTGGGAAATGCACCGTGATTCAAGGTGAAGATCAGATTGGTATTGTGTCACGAGTTCGGACTAGTAGATATTGACGAAGTGATATTGTGTTATCCCTGTCTAAATCAGCGTAGCCATCAACGAGAATATCGAATGTGGGGGAGGGAGAAGAGGAAATCTATCTGGAGGAAGAAGGGGTATTATAGGCGTTTGTGCGACCTCGCTAATGCCCGTTTGTTTTCATTGCCCAGTTGGTCCTGTTTGGCGTGTTGACTTCGTTAGCCTATATTGGCTTAGGTGTGGCATTGAGCCATCACATTCTCTATGAAGAGGCTAGTGAAATGCTGCTCATCAGGTAATTATATTGCAGTAGAGCATGGGCTTGGACAATTCAAGGATCTTCGGCACAGCCTGAGCTATTCATATACCAAGACAGAAGCGAGTTGGACCTTATTGCAGCAGTCCTTTTAATGAATATGTTGACTTGCCTTCGTGGTAGTCACTGCTGACTTGGAGAGCATTTCAACGCTCTCTTTGATACTTTCAGAAATTACAGCGATTTAGGTATTGAGTGAAAATCAAGGCAGTGAAGACTAAAGTGATGTAAACCATACCCTACTATACACGCAGCTACTCTATCAACTTCTCAAATCTCAACTATTACCACTCCCTATGCTGCTTCAATACAGCCAGAAACCTCAACTTCTCCCTTCCGCTCCTTGATCCAATGCTCAGCCATGAATCATCTTGTCCTGGTTGCGTTGATTATTGAAGAGTTCTTCCAGTATCTGAGATTATCCCTTTGCCCAAGCAATTTCCCATCTGATGGCTGAAAATTGGAAACCCCCTAGAATTCACAACATCTACAATCATGGCCTGGAATGAGAATGAATGGCAATCACTGCTATTTTCGACGAAAATGTTCGAAACTCCCATTTAGAGCTTCACAAGCTGCTCCAAGACGAAGCATGCCATCCAATTGCGTACAATCATTATTAAACGGAAAATATTTAAAATACTTGGCAAGATAGGTCCAAAAGTCAACCGCAAGTCTCTGTTAAGATTTCTGTTCAGAATGACTGGCATAATACGTTTCATTTCAGCAACTCGAACGAGGAGATACATAAACTAGTATCATCTCTCCAAGATCGCGTGATAGTGGATATGACCGAACAGGCTTGTACTGAAGCTTGAGCATATTCAGCCGCTAACTACAAAGTATGAAGACATTTGTCTATAATTTATGTCGTCAGGTTATCGAGTGGCGTGTCCTTAGATCCAAACTTCCAAGTGTATCCAACCCAGTATACCGATAACGTTTCAATTCGATTGGCAGTCGAATCAACCCAGGTTCGCCATCGCCGAGTCGAAGCCTATCAGCTTCAAGAAACTCCGTAACAACTTCTTTGGGGTATTTGGAATTGGTAGATTGGTGACATATCTCTTGCTCTAGGTGTGGTTTCTGCCCACCGGGTTTTCCCACGCACCAACACAAATATGGGAGCTACTTCCGATTTTGGCTTATCGTGATTGTTTTCAGCATGAATTAATTATGACTTTTTTATATGTACCAATGATAACACTATAATCATCTAATATAAAAATCAAGTTGGTTCCGCTTTGGGGTTCGAGTAGGGCACGTCAACTACATGAACAAGATCCATGCCGATGTTGATGGCTCTAGGCTGATGTCTTGGGATGGCATGAATATCTGAATTTACTGATATTTGGTTATGGTGATGGGGGTAACGCCCAGCAGCCGCGCACATATCGTGGGATTCGGGAAAGATGAGCATGCTACTTTTGTGCCGGAGAAGAACCCGGAGAGGGCCTTGTATGCGTTCGGAAGCTGCATTTTATGGGAGCGAACAGAATTTCACTTCACTCTCTCCCATTTCTTCCCTTCGTGAGAGACTATGCTAAAAAAACGATAGATCTTCCACAACTGGAACACCGACCCATGGTCTCTAGGCGGACCGGCATGGTGGCCACCCGAGTTCATGACCAAGTATCAGGAGGAATTACAGAGACGACACCGGCTTTTTTTTCCTTGTTTCGGCGGACTGGGCGCATGACTGGCGAGTTGCGATTGATGGCGCGTTGAAGCAGGGGTCTCAAGTAGCTTTGCAGCTTGTTAAGGAGATTAGGGAGATGATGGGGGATATGGCGAGGATTTAGCCCATGTCTGGGTGTATCGACAAGTTCATCAAAGTCTTGTCAAGTCTTCAAGTTCTGCGTGAGTAATATCGATACAATTAACTTGTAGTTTTACTCTTGCGGGGTCAGCGTATAGCCTACAAATTTCCTAAATAGGCAACTGAATATACATGGGGGAAGCGTCGGCAACGATATGCTACTATGTACTTCACGATATAACCCATCCGGAAATCGAGTATCAGTGAGACTACCATATAAACAACCCTCCTCTCACCATTCCCTCAACGTCACCCTCCACAAAAGTATCGAACATCCCACCTAAGACAATAAAAAAAGGCCGCCATCCACACACTCTCCGAAATCATCGCCCTAGCACAAGATCTCAATGGCATCCCCGTGTGCGAGCAATACGAAGCCATGATTTCCGGCATGATATAATTCTCCCCTCCACACTCTAAAAAGAAACCAACTCTTAACAGAAAACCCAGGTAGAAACCCAACACTTCCAAAATGCTCGAAGCGTGCCATCACTGCCGCGGTGTGACAGCCGAGTACACCTCTTTGATACGAGAACAGTCCCGTACGACCAGATCTTCACAAGATATTGGAGAGGTTGCGCCGGGTCGTTGGGAAGGTTGGGGACGGGACGTTCGTGGAATCGCCGTTTCTGCCGGATTATGGGTGTAACGTGATTATTGGAAACAATTGCTTTTTTTGATTGTAAGTTTGTCTTCCCCCTTATCCACCTCCCATACTTTATGATGTGTGCGTAGCTAGTAGCAATAGCCCCACAATCCTCGACACAAGCCTCGTAGCAATCGGCGACGGGAGTACAAATCGGCACAAACGTGAGTATCTTCAGCGCAGGCCACGACACGAGCGTCCTTTAGCGATAGAAGTTCGTCGAGTTTGGACACCCATTTTCATCATGATTGCTGGATTGGTAGGAAGATGGTTATTCTTCTTGTTGTGCGAATCGGACGCGGGTCGACTATTGGGGTCGGGTCAATTGTTATGAAGGATATTCCGGCTTTTTCGGCGGCTGTGGGGGGCCCATGTCGGATGAAGAAGACGATTCCGTTGTCAGAGGATGCGGATGCGGAGAATTCGTATCGAAACTTGGTAAGAGATGATAGGAGGGTGTGATGGTGGACAATGTCGTGTGTTTAGATGTAATCTATTGCATTGGTAGTTTCCAGGATCTAGCCCTAGTGTCATGATAACAGTAAAAGCTTTATCATTCAAAGATAGAATAAAGCTAAGACATCACTTGCAAACCCATTTCTTTTCTGATTCCTTACTCCCAACACGCGTGGCCGTACTCGTCAGCGTGTCCTTCAGTACCTCCTTGGAGACCTTGGGGAACCTATATCCAGTTAGCATGTATCCTGAGAAACCAGTCAAAAAGAAGACATACCTCTTCTTCAAGATTTCCACCAGTCCGAGCTTGCTCAGGTCACTCCCATTCACAGCCGACTTGAACTCCTCAAGCTGTTCAGGCGGGAAAGACCGCTTGGCCTTTCCAGGCCCACTCCCGAGTATGGCTAAACCGTTATTATTGCCAGTTTTGTTGCTGCCCTCTGTTCCTGTGCCGTTAGAATTGGATGTCTGAGTTGCCAGCGCGGCATCATTCGTTTTAGACGGTTTCTGCCAGTAAACCGTGGAAAACGGATCAATAGGAAAGGTAACCGAATCTGAAATCGTCTCGATCTTGTACATGTGCAGAGCCGGGTCTATTTCGTTCTCCTGCCAGCGAAGACCGGAGCTTTGCGGTTCAAGATCACCCACGATAAGCCGTCGTTTCCCGTCAACGGGCTGGTCATCATCGTCATCCAGGAATCCATCCATGTCGTCCTCCCCGTCATCGCTCATTTCCTCTTCTTCTTCCGAGTCTAGATCCTCGCCTTCTTCGGGTTCCTCCCATTCTGCTTCCGATTCGTAGTCGTAGTTCGTTTCCGGTAAGCTTCGACTGAACGGATTGCGCGAAAGCTTCTTGGCTGAGTGTTCGGGGACATTTCTTGTAAATGTTCCCTGGTATGGCGGACGGACATCCTCGCCAAATCGTAATGACTTCATTCGAACCTTATTAAGGAGATCTTGTGGCCGTTGGCCTGGCGGTGGTTCCGCTGTTGTTGCTCCCTCTCCACTGCTTCCCATGTGTTGAAGTTGTAGAAGGATGTCCTTGACCGTTGTCGCCTGCCTCCCTCGTCGTCTCTTATACGGGATCATACGGAACAATTCTGATGGCCGGAAGACGGGCGGTTCTTGCGAGCCGTTATTGTTCTTCAATGATTCGTCCACCTTTTGTCGCATGATTTCTAGAGCTTCTGAATCCCGTTGGAATCGGTGAGGCGGGGCGACGACGGTATGCGACTGCAGAAAAAATTCGGGGAAAATGCGGTAGTAGTCTGATACAGTCTTAGCTGTATCCTCATTCGCAGCGCTATTAGATGAGTCCTTGGGCGCCGCGCCGGAAGTTGGACTAGAAGACTCAGTCGAGCTCTTCGGCTTAGCGAAGAAGGAATTTAATCTCGTTTGCGCCTGAACCCGTTAGCAAGTCCCCCATCAACTATCCAAAAAGAAACCATACCCGCGCCTTCTTCGATTTCTCCTCCTCCTTCTTCCGCTTCTCTTCTTCTTTTTGGGCCTTTTCCTCCTCCTTGGCCTTCTTCTTCTCCTCCCTTCGTTTCTTCTCCTCCTCACGCTCCGCCTCTTTTTTCTTCTTTTCCTCTTCACGTTCAGCCTCCCGCTTCTTCTTCTCCTCGTCCTTCGCCCGTTTCTCTTCCTCCTTTTTCAACTTCTCTTCTTCCTTCTTAGCCTTCTCTTCATCTTTTTTAGCCTTCTCTTCATCTTTCTTAGCTTTCTCCTCCGCCTTCTGCCGATCCTTCGCCTCCTTCTCCTGCTGTTTAGCCTCTTTACTCGCAGCGGACACCTTCCGCCTCTTCGCGGCAGGCGTGGTAGATTGTTCAGAGTGTTCTGTGGTCGTATTCGGCGGGGGAATGGCATTCAGTGGGATTTCCACCCGCACATTATCTTTTATGACCTCGCGCTGCAGTTTTGTGGCATTTGCTATCTCGGCTTCCTGGGCAGCTGGTTTCTCTGCACTATCAATCTCCGCAGGAGACTTCTGTTCTGATGCGGTAGTCTCCTTCTTCTTCTCTCCAGCGGAGTCCACGTCCATACTATCGTCGACGTCGTTCAGGGAGCGCTTCCTAGGTGTTTCGTATGTTGTTGATAACATCTGTTCGGGCTGAGGAAGTCCCGGGCTTGTGTCCATTACTTCCATCCTGCTGCCCAACGAAGCGGCTCTGGTAATCATTGGTTTCGCGAGCCTTAGCGTTGACTCGATAGTAGTAACACTGGGTATGCGGTCATGTGTACAATTATGGATTAATGCAGTCGGGTTCTGTCAGGGGTCGTTGGGTATCCAAGACGGGAGGAAGGGCGCCGTCTCAGGGAATTTCGCTGGCTTTCGTTGTATGTCACTGAGCCTCGCTAGCTGTCGTTCTTAACCAAATTGACCCGTTGTAATAACAGAAATCAATGGTATGTGTGTTATCCTGCGTCGTGTGGAGTTATCGTGGAGAGCCTGAGGTTACTGGAACGCGTTCTAATTGAAGTCGCGGGTTCGCGTCCCATCACGTGATTTTTAGTCAGCTGTTGATAGCATACGGAATATTCTGTGATGTTTGCCCAGTGCTCTAGCATGAGATCTAGATGCTATGTACAATCTTATTATTATATTATTATATCTAGTCACAAAATTCACCACCGGGCCAGAAATATGCCCAAAGATATGCACCAAGTGCAAATGCAAGTTCCGAGCCAATGTCTCATCAACGCGGTGCTCCAGTGCCATGCAGCAAAGAGGAATATAAAGAGACAAAAAGCAAGAAAGCGTCGATTCCAAGGGACCATGCCACCTGGTTGAAACAAAACGAGAGACGTGGGCTTGACAGATAAGGCCATGGTAGTAGTGGTCTGTATGCTGCCAGTCCTGGTATCAATCAAAAGACGGTATCTTCAACATAATAAGGAGAAAACGAAAAACGTGAGTGAAGGTTTTTTTCTGATAAATCCAAAGCTCCTGTAGGCCCGTCTACTCATCCGGGTTCGCAACAAAGAGACGAACACCACTCATCGACGTTGTACGATCGTCGACACTGCCGCGACGTTTCAATTCCTCGGCCCTCTTGGCTCGCTCTGCAGCCGACATAGCAGCACTGGGTGCTTTCATATCATTGACAGTGCCAAAGTATTCCTCGGGCTCACTTCCATTGAAGCTATTGGCATCATCATCGTGGTGCGGGTGGGTATTTTCCACGGGTGGGTTCTCCGCTGGAGACGGTTGTTCCGGAACCTTCTCATCTGGAGTCTGGGCATGGCTGCTCCCTGACGGACCTGGTGGCGGTCGCTGATATCCACTGGTGTACCGGTGAGCACTGCCCAGAGAGCTGCGGCCGCTACCTGTCCGGCGATGGACAGGGACAGTGTCACTGCGAGCATCATCCTCGGCATCGTCGCCGACTTCGTTGGCACTGAGACGCACTGGCACGCTCGCACCAACCAAGGTTGATGGAGAGAAGTCCGTAACGCCTTTGTTTCCGTGTTTGTTTTTCCCGCTGCCCAGGGTACCTGTGCGTCCGGCGCCCGCGCCGTGAACCTCCAAGTACGCCCGCTTCTTTTCCGCCATTTTCTGTGCCCTCATGCGCGGGTCTTCCGGTTGCGACCGGTCACACCAGACGGTGGCCTTCTGTCTCCGCATTAGAGCGACATAGCCCAGCTGAGCATTGGCGGAGCGAGCGGAGGTGCTGCGACGAATATCCGTGGTGGCGCCAGCGGAAACGGGTTGGTTTCCGGTCGAGTTGGTCGAGGTGGTAGCGGTGGACATACGTCGGGATGGTGGATATAGAGCCGGGCCGTTCATCGAATGCTGGGATGCTGGGCTGGCGGGATATTGCGGACTGGTGTTCATGTAGGTAGAGGGCGCAAAGGACATTCGGTTACGGTTGCTGGCCATAGACGATCCGACAGAAGGGTGAGGCGACAGCTGCTGCGGAGGTTGCTGTTGCGAAGGATGCAGAGGCTCGTAGGATTGGTACGTGGTGTATCCATGATGAATGGGGGGAGCCGGTTTCCGGGCTGGAATGGATTGCGGCATTCGAAAATCGGTCATGTTGGAGATTTGCACGCCGGCCATATACGAGAGAATGGAAGAGAAGAAGAAGGGAGGCAGAAGGAGAATTAAAAGAGATGAAGAAATCGACAAAGGGACGGCACTGAATCAGGCGAGTCGGACTCGGGCCCAGTTTAGGTGACGATGATACACAGCGGGATCCGGCGGCAACAGCAGCACAAATCAGTCGCAGAATAACAATCAGCGATTAAGGACGGTTCCGGTCGTCCAGCAGCAACAGGCCATTCGCTGAAGACAAAGTTGATTGTTGAAAGACACACAGGGAACGAGGTGGACGGCAGTACTTTTGACCCAGAGTCACACAGCGTCTTTTGGGATGAATTCCCGGTCGGGCTGGGAATGCAGGAGATAAACAAATGAAAGAGTATGAGGATACAGATGGGGACCAAGAGAAGAAATATCAAAGAAAATATCAAAGAGAAGAAATATAAAGAGGGATCGAAAAGGAAACCGGGAAAGAGTGGAAGTGATTATTGAAGTTGAAGAAGAGGGGGAAAAGGGTGCGATTCCTTGAAAAAAGACCAGGTTACAGTCGTATTCGGGGTACCGTGTTATATCGTATGGTATCGTACAGTACCGTCTGTCACTGTGGCTGATGGATGTGTGCACAGCCACATGACTGAAACATGAAGTCATGGCGTTCCTGCTGTCAGAGATCACTTGCATATCTATAGTCCCTGTACCGAGTAAGCAATGAGCATTTATACGATGATATGAGTTCATTGTATATATGAATTAATTTATGCCGGTATAGGAACATTCGCCGTCCCATCGTGCCCGTCTGTATACAACGATAAACACTCGACTATCTCCGTTCCGTGGAGCAACTGAGACACTACGCCACACCCGCGCGTGGGTTGCATTGTATCATTTCCAGACTTCAAGGTCAGTGACATAAGGCCTGCCGGAATATCCGGATAGTTTATGCATTGTTATTGATGCATTGTTGGAATGTTCCTGGATTGTGGATTTTAAGCTCACCTTCATTCATTTGGCATGTATTCACGTGATATTCTGCAACCTACCTTTTCCATCTTATTTGTTATCAATCATCTCCCTCTACTCTTTATATAGACTAGAGATGCTTTAGTTAATGTAAATAGTAGTGTCCCTGGTCTTTATGTGCGACTATTCTGTTAGAAGCGCGCCATCACCTAACCCCTAATACATATATGAAAGCATCAGAATAGCTTGATACGATGGCCTAATAGCTTGTAATATGCAGATTTTATTTTATTTATTTTTTTTTTTTTTTCTCTTCAAGTACTAGGCAGCCGGTCGTTCGGGAAGTACACGCACCAGAATTACTTCATTGTGTGGGATAGATCTTGTTATCTCGACCTCCATTGATTCTTCCTCGGCCTCGTCAGCCCTTCAATATACATCCTAAACATCGATCGGAGTTAGCAAATGATCACATTCGCCCCAAGCCCACCACGCTGAGCCATCTCCCCAGAACAGCGGATCACCTAGCTCCATGAGCAACTTGAGCTTCCCGAAAAACAATTGCAAGTCCAAGTTCAGTTCGAGACATGAGCAGGCCATGGCCACGCCAGATCCTCGGTGACAACGGTTACAAGGGTCTGAAGAGTTCACCGGCATCATGCAGATTAAAGACGCGCATTTATCAGACATTTGATGCGTGCTCACCACTTCTCAGGAAACGTCGCGCTTGAATGGGCGATTTCAATGAGATGACATGAAGCCATCAGAAAGAGGAGCGCAGCAAAATGCATGCAACACCAGAGAGAATGTGCTATGGGAACTATATCACAAACCAGGAAACTCGGAGCGAATACAGCAAACGAGGACGATGAAAAGATCATAGATGATCAGTTCCGTTGGACTAAGTGCAGATAGCCAAAGTGAATCTTTTGTTTGGTTTAATCATTTATTTTTTTTTGGGAGGATGGCTCTGATTATTCTAAGGGGAATTCATCGAAATGTGCTATGCTTGGTGATCTTCACCCGATTACGAGGCGATCAGACAGACGTTCAATCGACTGACACAACTAGCGGAAAAGCACCGAAAGGATACGACGACAAGCCGACCCAAGATGGACAGCTGATCTTTGGTGGTTTAAATTGCAGCCACTCGACTAGCATCTACACCTACGTCCAGCTTACATTGGTATGCAGCATACTTGAAGCTCTCATGGTAGTGAGTATGAAAAGACAATCACGCTCATTCTACACGGAAGCCATACTCCGGATACAGCGCAGCTGAAGTTTATTCTAAGACACATATCGCGGATGGGTAGGTCCACATTGCTACTCAAACAAAGAACGGCAGGGTGCTCTGTGCTTACAATTGCATTAGAGATCCGACATCTCCTGGGGAAAAGCGCCAATTAACCTGGAATAGTGTTACCACCCAGATGGGAATTCGCGGTCCTCTCCTATTATCAATGCCGTCTGGTCTTTCTGTCTAATGTTTTGGACATGACCACCGTTCAGGGAATTGAAGGTGCAAATGAGCGCAGGATCGAATCCTGTGGAAGTAAGCTTCGAGATCCGCAAATCGCATCACCGGCTCTCAGCGTGCATACGAGGCGCAAAGTCCCATAAGACATGCAAGACAGCTGGTCAGCACGCATAGGAGAACTAGCAGGTATCAGATTCGGTTGCAGATGTCGTTCAGGAACTCGTTTGGTCCAAGTAATACGGGTACACATTCATCGGACGATCTCGACAAGGCTATACTGGATTGAGATGAGAGAATTGTGGCTTGACAAATGGCTCGCTTATTACCGCGCAACTTGTGAGATCTTCGCCCCTGCCACTCGAGTGGCTGGTGCATCATCCACTTGACATTTCCCACTGTTTCAAGACCGGCTCCGAAGTGTGGAGCAAGTCCGACATCACTTCATTTCCCCGGTATTTACCTGTTATATCATAGAATCTTCGAGCCGTAGCTAAGGGGTGGCTGAAGGGAGAGCATCGCTCGTCAATTGGACGGTAGACTCAATGATCCGTGGATTCTAATGGCTTACTGTGAGCGTCATTATGTACCATAGTTTGTTCCTATGCATGTTTCTGCCAACTATCATACGACATAGCTTCTCAAATAGGAAATGCTGCCATTTCATCGCATACCGTATTGGCTCGTACCTGACAATACACCGTAACACATCAATACGGCATATCCGGCCAATCACATTACATATTCAGTGGATTTCAGCTCGCCATGTTTGAGGCACCGACCAGTTAGCATCCGTCCCATCGACACCGTTTCGGGGTGTCCGTCATGACTCTCTATGGGGAAAGGTGCAGTGGATTACAACTTGACCTTGGTCTTGACACTCCGCATCAAAGTTAACGCCCCGTCCTCTCTCGCCTCAAACTCCCGTCCCAACTCCCATCCAAGCCACTTCTTTAGCGTCTTCTCACCTTCCGTCCCGGGAGGCAGTATTTGTCCGTTCCATCCCCCGTCATCGGCCGGGATGCTGTATCCCGGCGTCGCAGTCAAATGGACCGCGGGGCGTTGCTCGTACCCGGTTTGTTCCAGCTCGTCCTGCTCGAAGACGGGTGTTGCGCATGCGTCTGTTCCGTCGAACACGGTTTCCCATTCCTGTCGCGATTTCTGCTTGAAGCGTTCCGCAAATGCGTCCCGTAGAACTGGCCAATTTGCTTTGTCGTCGCGCGGGGGTAGCTCGTCCTCCTTGAATCCAAGGCCGCGGAGTAGGGCGGCATAAAACTGCGGCTCCAATGCCCCGACTGCAAAGTATTTACCCTTGTCTCGTGTCTCGTAGGTATCGTAGTACGGACACCCGCCGTCGAGAAGATTCTGCCCCCTTGGCTGATTCCACAGCGGTGTCTTCCGCGTGAGTCGCGGCATCGCAGCCAAATATGCCGATCCATCAACCATATTCGCTTCAACGACTTGCCCCCTTCCCGTATGCACACGGGAAAGCAACGCGAGTAAGATCCCGACGAAACACATCGCCCCACCACCCGCGAAATCACCGATTATATTCCCCGGTGCATAGGGCGGTTCGTTATCCCGTCCCAGCATTGAGAGAACCCCCGACACAGCAATGTAGTTGATATCATGCCCCGCCATGTCTTTGTATTTCCCGTCGCGGCGGAAGCCCGTCATTCGTGCGACTATGAGACGCGGGTTGTGTTTCAGGAGCGTTGCGGGGGCTAGGCCGAGGCGTTCCAAGACGCCGGGGCGGTAGGGGTCGATGAGGATGTCGGCATGCTGGAGGACGGAGAGAAGGAGGGCGTGGGAGGATTTGTCCCGGAGGTCTAGGGTGATGGAGGTTTTGTGGCGGGTGAGTTGGTCGGGGGCTGGAGGTGCTTGGGGGGGTTTGGGGCGGTCAATTCGGAGGACGGAGGCGCCGTAGTCGGAGAGAAGGAGGCCAGCGAAGGGACCTGCGCTCATATTAGCATTGTTTACTTCACTGTTAGAGTCAGTGGACTCACCTGGTGCTAGGCCTGCCAGTTCGACTACGCGAATGCCTGTCAGTGGGGGTGCCATTGCTGTCTCAAGTTTGATGTCTATACTTCTCAAAACTCACTCCCAAGTAGTTTAGCAATGCGAAGTTAAATGCTTTGAAAATAACACTAGGGGTCTGCAAGCAACTCCGCAACCGAGGTCCGGAATATGCGGAGAACCGATCTATATCCAGGATCACCAGATCGCCAATGTACATATTTGTTATGTACAATCTAACAAAAGGTCTTGTATGACAGGTGAACAACCCCAAACCCAATTCTTGAAGTTCGTTCACAAATGTGAGCAGGGTCACCAACAACCCCCATGTCAATTACTCTTTTTGATATATTCCCTCCTTGCCAGAGTTGAACGATCAGCACAAGGCTGCTCGTACCCCGGCTCAAACATGTCTCGCTTGGCCCCTATTCTCAAAATCATATCTCTTGGTAAATCTTCCATAAACGGATTTGGCCCCTCCCCGTAGAAGAGTTCGTGAGTTTCCTTCTCAGTCTAGATGCCAAAGCCAACGCGACGCTGCAGCGTCGCGAGACTTATAGTGACCTTGGGCTTTGTGGCACGCTCCCGCCAGCCCAATTTATTGCGTATATCCGCGATCGGGCTGTACTAATGGCCGCCATGATCTAAAAATCTAAAGTAGCTCAGCTCCACCGGATGCAGCGTCGATGGCAACGCGGTAAGAATGCGAGAGGACATCGGGATGTGTAACCAGGAAGCCTAAATGTCCAAGTTTTGCAGTTGCGACCATTTCTCAACCGGGAAGATTGTCTGCAGGGAGATCAAATGGCTCATCCACCCGGCACTGCCTTCCACCGTGGCTTCGAGATCTAGATGAGGCTCGACGTTGACCCTTAGTTTGGTATGGCGCAAGTCTGGCCTGGCCTGGCCAAGTGCACGATGAAGATATCCATTGCGGAAAGATGGCCAGCCCTTGTAGTCTTCTCGTTGGACCAGAAGACTGAGATTCAGAAGCGAAAAGCCCGAGCAATTGAGTATTCAGACAACATTGTCGTACTCCTTGCACGGCCAATCAAAGATGCGGCAGTGCAGTCCGGTATCCAGATTTTTAATGTCGACGACGAGTTCGGAAATCTGATGCTCCTTTTCGTACTGCGCTGGAACGCGCGTTATGATGCGAAACCCACGCCATTTGTTTTTCTCTGCCTCGTCGCAATCTTCCCAAGCTTCAATTTCCAGTCGCACTTCTCCATCTGGAGCCGTTGGCCACCCGCGTGTAATCGGATAATTAAACCCTTTTGGCAGTGCGCGGATCATAGGAGAATCGTATAAAGGCGCAAAAGTCGACCCATGCGCTGCAGGCGGAATTATCATCCTCCTCAACGCCGGAGACCGCTTCTGCCCATATACCAGAACATCCACATCCGTTCCCATAAAGAGCACATCCTCCTGCCACTGTACCAGATTCTGATGAAACTGCCAGCACAGTTTCAGCGACGGCTGCATAGCAACTCGTTCCGTGCGTGCAAGATTGTCAAATCTGTCCACGTCCTGGCCCTTACGAGGAATCAGCTCCTCGATATTTTCTCTGCATGCTTTTGCAAAACATTTGAGGTAACCTTTGCCCTCGTCTAGATTGCTTGAGTCTTCGTATTTAGGATAGTAGTATTCTGCTTGATGAGGTTCTGGTCTGTCTGCAGACTTGGCTAGTCGTGCGTCGTCCCAGATTATTTCGGTAGTTCCAGGACGGTAGGCTTCGTGGTCTGCGATTGCGCGGGAGACGCGGATATTCAGTGGGTTGGCGGATAGGAATACAGGGGTTAAGTTTAGACGCGCTGTGCTAAGGAAGGACCTGCATGTTAGGCGCAGGTTTGTATGTTCCGGTTGGACGGGTCAGATATAATGAGCATTAACAAAAATGGATGGGAAGCCATGGTACTGTCAAAGGTATTGGAGTCGCATCTTTACAAGCGGTCGAGCTCGTATTTATGGCCCCTCGTCTATTAGGCAAAAAGGCGCTAGTTTACCGTCTAATTTTCGGGGTCATGAGTAAGTGCCGCGTTCTTAGATTTTGATGGTTCCATTTACGTGCTGAATCTTGTTCTAAAATAACAAACCACCTCGTCCCTCAGCCTCAATTTCAGATTTGGTGCACATGGATTATACTAAAATGGTCCATGATATTGCGACTCAGTGGTTATGTTTCCTTAGTGATGCTATTTGATATTTGAGTAGCAAATATTTCTAATGGTGTGCATTCGCGCAGGCTATCATGTTGATTTGTTTCCAGCATGGGAGAGGGTCAGTCACTGGCAATCATTCACAGCTCTGCATGTCTTCGAGGGCTTCGCTTGGTTACCCGATTAGGGAAATTCAAAGCAAGTATCCCCTTCAACTTCAGCCCTAAGTTGGTTTGCCTTGAAATTCATCCTACATATATTAATCCTAGGGCATATAGCATTCAAGAAGTACTAACATCTTGGTTTATTCCTCAGCATTTCCTTTCTAACGCATTGGATCATTTACGCAGCGATGGATACCGACAGTTAATCCGCATTGGCGCCTTGGGGGAGTCCCAAGTGCTGGCAGATCTGGCTAGCGGAGCCTATTCGAACAGGTTGATGATTTCCCTGGCTCAATGGAATGGGAAGAAGGGCAGCGTAAGTGTGGATCGAACCTTGAGGCCGTATCAAAGAATGCTAAATCTCTTCAAGATGTTTACCAGAATCGAGTCAACCAGCAAGGACAAGTACAAATGCATGTTCCAAGACCAACTGTTGCTAAGCATAAAAGAGATAGGAATGGTTGTCCCATACCTCTGGAGTGTTGAGATATGGGACAAGTTTTACCGCCCATACAAGGCCATCCATGACTTTCTCGCTCGCTGATACATGCAAATGGGCTGTGCAGCACATAGACGACAGTAAGTCCAGCGGCCGTTCTTCCTTGTCATTTGACCAAAGTTGGCATTCCCTACGTCTTCGAGACAGTAATCTTCTTGGCGATCCGCCTTTCACATTCCATTGGCTCAATAACCGTTTTACCAATTGGCAGTTGATGAAACTATCATTGACATACAAGCAATTGGACGCTTCAAGGGCATAGCGATTCGTACAATTCGGACTGCTGCTCAAGAATTCAGCAGTAGCGATGAGACCTACGCCGACTGTCCTTAGCACGACTGGCATCAACCATGGACATACTAGAGGCTTGTGGGGGCAGATTTATGCTCAGGATAGGGTATGGCGGCCATGGATTATGCTTAGATACTTCATCCTATATAGCACCGATATGACAAACGGCAGCTGAAAGACAAACGACTTTTTTCACGGTTTTGTTTATGCCAATCCCTAATGAGACAGGCAAGCTTTTTTGTACTCTATATAGTGAAAAGAACAGATGCAATTATATTGCCCGGTAATCATATTCTTCATTTGGATATCAAAATCTCATAACCAGTCAGTGCTATATTTATGCACTTGTATACCAATCCATCCCAAATCTCAGTCCTCATCTCGCGAGGCGATCACCAGTCATCTCCATCCCGTCCCTCAGCCTCACCCTCATCATACGCATCTCCAATATCATCGCCAAACGACTCCACAGCCCCGACCTTCTCACCTGTCCATTCGGCGATGTTCTCGGGAGCGTCCTCGACGTTTTCCACGGTGTTGTCCCAGCCGTCCTCGACCTTGTTGCCAAAGCGGTCCCAGCCTTCTTCGATGTTGTCGGGGATTTCTTCGGCTTCGCCGACCTATCGATATTGATTAGTCTGTGTCCAATTCGATGGTAATAGAGAGTAGGATAGCGCACCTTTTCACCAGTCCAGTGGGCAGCATTCTCGGGGAAATCATGCACACCCTCTTCGATATCATCCTTTTTGTCCTCCCATCCATCGTCTGCCGCCGTTAGCCATACTTCCAAGCACCGTAGCAGGGTAACCCACGAATCTTCTCCCCCTCATGCATCGCCAACGCACCACCCGCCAATCCCAACGCCGCACCCCCAACTCCATAAAGCATACTGTGATCCTTCTTCTGCTCCTGTTCCTGCGGTGGATATCCAGAGCTCTCCCCATATCCACCACTACCACCGCCGTATCCCCCTCCATACTCCCCACCGCCGTATCCCCCTCCATACTCCCCACCTCCGTATCCACCACCACCGCCGGATCCAGGATGTTCCCAGCTCGTCTCACCGGTCTGCTCGTTCACATAGTATTGGCGTCCGCTGTTCGGGTCATAGCGTGCGACCCAGGGATAAGGGAGGTCTCCGGGAGGAGGAGGGCCAGAGCTGTAGCCGGAGTCACCACCGCCGCTGTAGCCGCCGCCGCCGCCGCCATAGGATTCGGAGGATTGTCCGCCCCCGCCTTGGGCTTTTTCCATGACTTTGTCCATGATTTTGTCCATGAGGCCCATTTTGGCGGTTTATTTTTTGGTATTTGGATAGGTGTGAGAATAAAAAAAAGTAGGGTGATGAAGATGGTGAAGTGTCAGAAAAAAAGACACCCCACTTATTTATATAAGAAGCGACCCCCTCTAAACACGGTGGCTAAAACGGGGTCGGCGGTGTTTTGGCCCCAGTCGGGGGTTTTAGTTTTCAGTTCAGCCAAACCACACCGACCCCGGGATCTGCCTATCATATCATGCTAGTGTGGGGTCACTTCTGTACTCCGTGCTATGTATGGTATGCAGAGAAAATATACATACATACTCCATAGCATTAATATGAATTCGTTTACAGAGAGCTATATGTTACATTAAGTAGAACAGCTGGGACTGGACTGGACTAAACCATGGATGTATGGTATTACCGCGTGAGCCCTACCGGATCCTCCCGTCTTGGCCGGGAGCTTCTATAATGGCGATCTGATTGGGTAATATGGCTCATCCGCCAATCCGATTACCGTATGATAACATATTAAAAGTACAATGAGCGTACACTATTATATTTAAAACAGCTTCCCCTGAATTATATACCACTGTTTATCAATCCCACCTACAGAAGAACCGCAGCAATAGCCATGACGACCGCGACTCCACTACCCACATTCTTTGCCGCACCACCGGTAAACAATGGCTCGGTGCCAGTGGTACCGCTAGGGGAAATAGGAACTCCCGACGCACTTCCCGTGGGTCTGGCCTGCAAGGTCGATGAAGCACGAGCGGATCCAGTGCCAGTAGGGACGCGGATCAATGGGGTGCTAACGGGTCCGGAAGGCGTGACGACGGCGGTTGGGACATGGAGGGAAATCCCCTCAGCTGAGCCCTGAGACTTGTGGCTGGGGCTGGAGGGCTGGCTGGGGAGAGCACTGGAGGGCTTGAGCGTGGAGTCATTGCCAGTGACGATAGCAGTGGCGGTGTTGTCAGCGTTGCTGCTACCAGTGTTGCCAAATCCGTTGCCGCTAACTGCTCCAGTAGACACGGCACCAGTTGGGTTACCATTAGCAGTAGGAGGCAGTGTGAGCGTCACGGTAGTAGGTGTTGCTGCACAGTGAGTGCAAACAGTTGCGACTGTGGTCCATCCCGCGGGAACAGATGGCTCCGTGGTCGGGGTTGCCGGCACAGCAGTCTCTGGGCAATAGGTCGTGGTGTACGTGGTGGTCACCGTTGTAAACCCAGTAGGGCAGATATCAATGTATGAAGTCACAATTACAGTGGTAATTGTCTTGGACTCTGTAGTAGTAGTGGAGGGAACACCAGTGACTGAGGCCGAAGGAGTGATTGCAGGGCTGGATCCCGGAACGCCAACCAAAGACGAGAATGCGCTGGGAACAATAGAGCTCTGCGAGTCAACAGCCGGAGTGGATACCAAGACAGACGAAGAGGACTTTGTGGAAATCACGGTCTTGCTGGTTGATCCAGTTGGCACCGCGGATGAAGCGATCTTGGAGTGAGAAGCAGAAACAGCCACGGAATTTGGTGGCGTAGGCTTGTCAGATGTGGTGGGCTTGTTGGAAGCAATCACCGAGCTCGATGACTTGACTGGAGTAGAAGAGCCAGAAGCAATCTGAGAGCTCGACTGCGAGACTCCAATCGAGACAGTGGAGCTAGAAACCTTGGCCGTGCTCGACACAACTGGCGTGGATGTTGCCAGGGCTGAAGAAGAAGTCAAAGAGTGCGACTTAGTTGGCTTCCCTGAAGCAATCGGCGTGCTCGAAGGAGCAACAGAGCTAGAAGCCTTGGTGCTCGAAGTTTTCGGGGCAGAAAACGAAGGAGTAAATGCAACGGACGAGCTAGAGGGGGTCTCCGAAGATATCAGAGAGCTTGATGAGACCCAGCTACTCGAATGAACAGGAATGTTGGACAACGAGGGGCTTTGAGAAGGAGTATACGAGGGAGTAGACGTGGGTATGGGCGTGGGCGTAGGCGTAGGCGTAGGTGTGGGTGTAGGCTTAGGTCCGTACCTGTAAAGGATTGCCTTCATGTTGTCCGCATAGGTCCCGCCGTTGATGACATTGTTGTCAGATGCAGTTGCCTCCCAGAGCATGATACCACCAAAAGTCTGGGGATACTTGTCCATGTACTTCGAAACCAAAGGCTCAACCTCGGCAGGATTCAAGTAGAAACCCTCAATGGCCATGTCAGGACTGGCAGGCAGACCGACAAGGAGCTTCGCGTCAGGGTTTGCGCTGCTCATGATGACTTTCACCCAGTCATCAAAGTTGAATCCCGGGTTCCCATTGCCCTGCACAAAGTTTCTAGCAGAGCATCCTTCAGTATTGTAGAACTGGACCCAGACAAAATCAAATGCGGCGTTGGCGATGGCGTCGCCCAGTTGAGCGTCGGGAATAGGGCATTGTGGTGCACCTGAGATATAAAAGGCCCGGGAGGGTTCCTCTGCGAAGTGCTCACGGAGACGGTTGATCATGGTTGCGTAGCCTGCGGCATCGGTTCATTAGTTTCAGGTCTACATACGTACACATTTGGTCAACGTACCATTATCACCACCAACTTCAATATCAAAGTCAAATCCATCCACGACAGCATCACCAAAAGGACGAGGGCTCCCAAGAAGTGCCAACTTGTTATTGTTGGGACCAAAAGAATCCCAAAGTAAGTCGGCAAACTTAATAGCCGACTTATCAGACTCGATCTTTTGCACCGAGCCAGAATCACCTCCAAGCGAAAGGAAGACCTTCTTGCCAGCCGCCTGACAGATGGGGATATCCTCCGCCAATTGATGGCAGCCCGTGAGGAACTGGGTCGAGGTGTTGCCAATGTTCAAGGTCAACCCATCACACTGGTTACCGAAGTTCGTACCGGGCATTCCCAGAACGCCTTGGTCGGGGAAGACATTGACGAAGCCGAGGTTGATAATGTCCAAGGACGTCTCGTGGCAGAAGTGGCTCAGGCGTGACTGGTTGGTACCTTGGCCCTAGTGAAGTCAGCACAGCGCCAGGAGGCCTGTCGAATATGGACGTACATAGTAGACGGCAACGTTGGTCTTTGCCTGTGCGTCAAAAGCCGAAGCAAACGGGGCCAGTGCCACGGCCCCGAAAGTGGCGACAAATGTACTGGACACCATGGTCTAAGTTAATGAATGACTACCAGTCAGGTTAGGTCTTGCTTAGCGAAGGACAAAACAAGAAAAGAAAGGACGCAGACGAAGGCCTGCTTGAAGGGAATACCGCGCGAATGAACTGACTGGCATTCAACAGCAACCGGTTGAGGACCGTGTATATATGGCTAATTCGCCTCCAGGCATCTACACCCCTCCAGGCTCCAAACTCATCTGTAAAATGAGCATTCAGGCACCGCAATCTAAAATGAACTCAAATCGGAGCACCCTGCATGAACGAACCTGGCACGGCGGCTTTTCGCGCTCAACATCCCCGTATAATGTAGTCACACAGGGACTAAATAATACGAAAAAGCTTCCAGTACCGCGGCTATTGGTCAATGCCAATATAACAACATCCGAGTGGCCACAGACTGGAAATATCCACGACCGATGTCGTCGATGGGCCAGTGACAGGCTCTCGCGGCGGGATTAGATCCGGTGCCTGTCCATCGTGGGGCCATGGAAGAGCCGCACCCGTTGAAATAGGACAAAAAGGGGGTTAGCGTGCTTGAATAGGGAAGTGTAGGAAAAGCCAAGTGCCCACCTGGTCCATAGCGGAGGACCTTAGATTGGTGAACTTCCAGACTGCCGTGAGTCAGACCTAAACAAGCTGACCTGTATTAACCAGATCCTCAGCTGAACTGCTTTCAGCTGCTCTTCGGGGCTTAAAGGCAGAGCGTTGACGACAATATTGACAGTGACAATCGATGTAATCGCCAGGTACCGCGATACTGATCCACGGACAAGTCCCGTGACTAACCAATAAACCCTGTTCTTGGCATCCCGATATGGCTAGCTTGTATCCTTCAGGAACACCAATAAGAGACTATCAAAGGCCTCTTGTTTCCCAATCGGGCCGGTTAGCCGACTTACATGCACTAGGTACAAGTACCACGGAGACGCCGGGTACGAAATACGGATTTCCACAAAAGACAAGAAGTCAGAAAAGCTTGGAAGTCTCCGGTGTACTAGGAATTGCCATCCAACGTCTATCATAATTAAACCCTCTTTGTGTGTTTGAGAAAACCTCGCCGGGATCCTCCCGGATCAACGTCGGCCGGTCCACTGTTCTTTGGCGTGGCTGATTTAGGTATGAGGAAAGTTTGGTGTGCTTTGTTCGACTCTGAAATGGTGTGATTTGGATCAGCCTCATGCTACAAGGAATAAAGAACGGTGTATAGTCCAACAATTGGACCCTTAATATCGGGCTCGTAATATGCATCTCGTATCAATGCGAGAAGCGAGTATCTCCGAGATAAACCCATTGGGCTGGCCGGGCCTGAATTGTCGTCTGTGCACCGAGCCTCATGTATGGAACCCTAAAGCGAACTAACTCGGTGGCACTCGTTGTACCCACCAGTAAAAACCACAGGATACAACATCAAGGAATTGGTTTGCAGCGTATCAGAATCTAGCACGAAGACTGCTCTAAACAAAGAAAACAGAAGGAAACAGAGCCCCTGAACGGCTAATGGAAAACCAGATTGAGCATCTCAACCATCAAGCTAATCGACCGTCTCCCCTCTTCTAATACCCCGTCCATCGCCAGAAACGGATGCGGCATTCCCTTCATCACCTGCAAATTTACCTCCACCCCAGCGCTCTCCAGTTTCGCACCATACTCCTCCCCCTCCGCCCGGAGGACATCAAGCTCGCCTACCATGATCAGAGCAGGCGGTAACAACGACCAATCCCCGGTATAGAACAGCGGACTGGCCTCGGGATTGGTACGGTCGGCCTCGTTGGGGAGATAGTGGTTCCGGTACCATTCCATTTTGGCGGCGGGGAGCGCGGGCGTGTGTTCGTATAGCCGGAATGCGGGGTTAGTAGATACCGTCGCCGTGTTATCCGTGACAGGGACGGAAAGCAATTGTGCCAGAAACCGGACAGGAGGTGAGAGCATTAGGGCTTTCTGGGTCATGATGGAGGCCAGGTTACCACCCGCCGATGAGCCCCCCGTAGCCATTCTGGAAGTGTTGATGGAAAGTCGCGAGGGGCCCTCTGCGAGTAGCCATAGTAGTGCTTCCCAGCAGTCGTGCACAGCGGCTGGCCAGGGATTCTCTGGTGCTAGGCTACATGGACATGAGTCAGTTCGCGTATACGCAAGTGTGGCAAAGGAAGGGAGATTTTGTAGGGTAGACGTACCGATAGTCCACTGTGACGACTACACAGTTACCCCTCGCGCAGAGATTCGTGCACACCGTATTTTCCGTGTTAATGTTTCCCAATACCCATCCTCCGCCATGGAAATATAGCATCACCGGCCATCCACCCCCCGGCTTTTCGCCTTTGGGCGTGAACACGCGAGCATTGATATCTGGTCCCTCGGTAACCCGCCGTTGGATGGTGATATCCTCCGTCTTACCCACCTCCAGCAACGGACCACCACCCGGGATCAAGACACCACTCGTCCGAGACGCGGCAACAGGCTGAAGATGTACTTGCTGAAGGTTTATAACATGCTGGTTATAGAAAGCGACGTATTCAGGATTCAAAAGGTTCTTGACGGAGTCATGCAAGGGATATGGCGGTTGAGGGTGGGAGGCGGACATTGTCAATACGTATACTCTGTACTTAGTGTTGTTTTCAGTCAATTGTAGTAAGAAATGTTACCGGGTTCGGACGCTCTTTTAAATCTGGCGAGGTCATATTGCGCTGCCATGGATGTTGCATTCCAATGCGGTTTCATTCCTCGGTCTAGGTTGCGTTGCATTGCGGGGTTGACGATAAGAGACGTTGCTGTTCAGACCTACAGGATTGCATTACCCCGCCAGTTATTTAAAAGGGAACTATCCTGTTCAGTTCTTTTCCCAGTTTCTATTTTACAATTGTCAAGGTTTTATAGTGGATATACACAATGTCTACCAAAACCCCCATTCTGACCGATAAAGCCCCCAAGCCCTTGCCGGGTATCTACTCCCAGGCCATTGTTGCAGGAGGCGTTGTCTACTGTTCCGGCGCAGTGGCCATGGATCCTGAGACGGGGAAGATTGTCGATGGAGATGTCAAGGCTCACACGGTGCGTCTTTTGCATACCCATTGTTAATCGCGGGAGTATGCTAACAGTAACAGCACCAATGCATCAAAAACCTGACCCACATCCTCGAAGCCGCCGGTTCAAATATCAACAACGTTGTCAAGGTCAATGTGTTCTTGTCTGATATGGATGACTTTGCCGGTATGAACTCGGTTTATACGCAGTACTGGGGTGACGTGAAGCCATGCCGGACGTATGTATTCCGTTTGTGGTACATATTCTGGAGAGTATACTAACGCTTTCTAGATGTGTTGCCGTCAAGACACTGCCTTTGAACACTGATGTGGAGATTGAGTGCATTGCGACACTGTAGATGGGTTGTGTATATAGATTGCATGTGGAATTAAAACTGAAGACCATTCACCCCATACTATGAACACATTCGGACCGATCATAGGGCGACACCTTTCAAGTGTGAACGGACCATCCTCAATGCGCTCTCAAAATCTTCTGGTATAGCGTATTTGTGCCGCTTCAGCGAATCAACATCCACACTTTGCGGATTCGCTCCTCGCTTCAACAGCAGTCCCACCAGTTGCGGCTCTCCCCAAACAGTCACCCAAGGAAGTATCGTGCATCTATCTCCATATCGCCCCTGTATAACGTCCAAGTCTGTTCCGTTATCCAGCAGAAAAGACGCCATTTCCTTATCTCTCCTTACAGGCCAAAAGCAGCGTCGTTTCTTCAAATTTATCCCTCGCACAGATATCTGCTCCTTTATGTAGTAGCAGGGATACAATCTCCTTATGGCCGCGGCACACAGCCCAGTGGAGTGGATATTCTCCCCGGATATTTTTCACCGTCATGTCGACCCCCTTCTCCAGCAGTAGTCAGACAGTGGTTTCTTCACCTTCGCAAACTGCATTGTAGAATCGTGTTTGTCGGAGCCACTTCTCAGCGTCAGGATCAAAGCCTTTGTGCTTTAGGATGACCTTCACAACCTCCTCACTCCCATTCATCACTGCTTTTTGCAGAGCCGTTTCACCACTGTTGCTCTGTATCTCTGCCTCTGCGCCATTCCTGAGAAGCAGCTGCACCATCGCAGTCTTCCCTAACCCAGATGCAGTATGCAGAGCTGTTGCGCCCTGGTCAGTTTTTGCGTTGATATTGGCTCCTTTAGTCAGCAAGAGCCGAGCTATATCTTCAAGCCCCCAGCATGCTGCTAGATGTAACGCTGTCCATCCATTATTAATGGGTTTTTCGACTGTCCTCGTCACATCTGCCCCATGATAGATCAAAATTTTAGCAAGTTCGAGCGGCTTATATCCGTGATGCAGAGGGGTATGGCCATCTTCCAGCTGCGTTTGCATCTGCTCCGTTTTTCAGCAGCAACTTCACGGTTTCAATACTTTCGAACTCGGCGGCCACAGTCAAAGCAGTACCGTCATTACAGTTTCGCTCATCTGGATTGATGGCTCCTGGTAATAATGTTTGTGCCACTTCATGGAAATCCCAAGCACGTACTGTAATATTGGATACTTTGATGGACAGAGACTAGCATTTAGCCTATATTCCAATAAATCAGCCTCGTGAGGGTGTAAGCTCTGCAAAGCAGCTGGTCAGATTTTCAAATCTTGTGGTAAAGCCATTTCTAATCTCTCCAGCGACCAGGAACTTCTTGAGGAGAGCCTGTAGTGGGGTTCCTTTTCCCTCATTCACCAATGCGAAGCTATAATGGAACGGCCAATACAATGCTGTAAGTTCAAGCAACTCGTCTTTCTTGCCGGTGTCAGTGCCATTTTTAAAATTACTCGCAAGCAAATATAGTAGGGAATCCATTGCTGTCTGGTTGTGTGCGTCGACGGTGCTATACCCGTGCTTTGCGCCGTTCATCAGATATTCTTGAACCGAGAGATGTGCAAAATGGACCAGCTTATTATGATCGACAATGATGAAATTGCTGCAAATATACAGAATATAGTCTGTATCGACCTCCTCATCGACAACACTATTGGAATCGAGAGACACCGCTTTCACGAGCATTTCAATGCTTAGACGTCTTTGGCAACACATAACCCATTTCAATACCCGCTCTGCAACCCTGCGATCCTCGGGCTCTGGCGTTTTCACGTCGTAAATGTCGTTATATACGGCCCCTAATACTGGTATCCCAACTTCCTGGTCAAGTTTTTCAAGTTTTCGTCTGAAAGCGTCTCGGCGCTTTATGTGGGATTACGAACTAAAGAAGGTGTTCAATTGTAGCTCGACCCATCGGAACCTATGTTACGTATTAGCATAAGGCGTGTTAATATCTGTTTGAAATTTACGCATTCACATCCTTTGAGCCCGTTGGCTCAATGTTTTGGTCATTTGATCTTGAAGATCCAATACATTGCACTGAGCCAGACGCCGCTTATTCAGTATGCGACCCGATAAGCTTCTTTGTAGAGCGAAAGTGATTGTTTCAAGAAATGTTCAATAATAAGACAACTTTGATTCTTTTGTTAGTTTCTCGCCTTGAATAGATTCTAGATTGGCTTACACTAAAGAGCTCTTGCCTGTGCTAACCAGATATGCAGTCAGAGCAACTTAGCCACGTAATTCAATCAGGAAGATGAGTTTAACTCACCTGTCCATGCAGCCACAGTACCGATAGACTGCCATCGTCGGAATTGCTCCACGGCTGGAATTCTTCCCGAAAAAGAGCCATTTCCCTGAGTTTGCGTAATCGCGGTTCAGCTTCCCATCGTCTAGAGTCCGGGTATGGTCTTCGTTTGGAGGTGCGCTTGAAATCCAATCCGGAATTACCATATTCTCTGTTCAAATATTAGCTGTCTGTGCAAGAATTCATGGCTTTTACATACCACGTTGGTTGGCATGGTTTATGAGCACTTGGCTCTGCTCGTATAACTGTCCCAACTGACGAGATACATTTCCCATCAGTTGATCCTGTTCCTCCAGAATGTCCTTCAGCTCATGGTGTTGAACCGTCTGCACTGTTCAAATCTATAAGTGATTTCTCAAGCTGATATGAAAAGTACCACTCAATACAAACTGTTGCACTTAGTCATGTCTGTTAAATTCGTGGAATGCAAATAGGTATCTGCAAAACTAGATTGACACCTGCCCAGGTAATTCCCACATGCGACGGATTGAGGCTAGCCGCAGCAGAGTCCATATTCCTGAACACAATCTCGGCTTTGAGTATACTGTCCATGGCTTTCCGTACCCTAGCCTTGTCGTCCTTGTTCCGATTTTTCCAAGGAAAAGGTACATTCTGATCCTGCATTTGATTTTTGCTGGTCTCTATCAAGTAGGATATCTGGTTTGGCATACCTGCGCGAGGTAAGTGCTGTTTTTGCGTTGCCAGCATCTCCTCCAACTGGTGGTATAGTTTAGGATCTTCCGCGCGTATCTTTTCTGAGGCTTCTTGCCAGCATAATTTTTCACATGCGATATCATTGCAATAGGATTCTTGCTTGTCCACTATGCCAAATTCAATTTGCATGTATTGGACCTGATCTATGTCATGAGTAAATCCTTGTCAATTGATATTTTGAAAGGCGGGGATTCAAGGTGGGATGGGGCTGAAGACGAGGCTGGTTTTTTTGCGTATTCTATAGGTACTGAGATGAATACGACCACTTGCAAGATCATTGCTCTAAGTGGACTGCATTTTGACAAGTACCCAGTGAGAAAGAGAAATAAAATTGGTGCTAGCATAATGAGAGCAATTATGCCTGTATTAGATGTATCAAGTACGGTAATCATATGTATTTATATCACGTGGGTCTTTCCTGTTCGGGACATCAACACCATGTAAATGCGTTATGCACGTCACTCCAATGACCGATTATTGCTTTGCCCAATTCGATTGCTCGCCAGGGCCCAAGTCATGATACAACCCAACATCTGTGCGAATGCTGGGTCTGGTGGTTATCAAAGGTCCTCGTATCGCTCCGTACTGAGTACGGAGTACTTTGTCCCCGAAGGATGACGACTAGGGTATAGATCGGAGATATCAAAGTTTCTGTCACGCATGCATCTAGAGAACTTATTCTTTCCTTTTTGCCGGGGAAGGTGGAGCTTTATTCTCATGCAGATGTATAGCTACAGCTAGGGGAATGAAGGGATAAACCTAGGGATAACGGTGTGAGTATTTAAGAGAACTTCGCTCCTCTTCTGGCGAAAGATAACTTGTTTTGACCGTCTCGATTATTCCGTATCCATCACACCGTCATGTACCTCCACATTACAACCATTGCCGGTCTTTTGTTGGGACTGTGCTCCGCCTCGGCAGAGGTATGCACATCAAGAGATGTGCTCGAGTCTCTGAACAAGCTGGAATTAGACGCTCATAGATCGATTGATATCATCCGCTCAGAAGACCCAGACTCAAACATCGTGGCTAAACATCCGGTATGTGGGATATCGCTGTTTTGTTGGCATCTGTTTCGTAAGCTAAGACTGGGCCTCTGTGTCCAATGCCTTCTAGCCAACTGATAATACCTTCGACAATCTGGTCAAGTACGATAATCGCGATTTGAAGTGCACTGCCGCCCCCCTCCCTCCGCAAGAACAGCAGGTGATCTGCCATCAATACAATGAGGTAAACAAAGAGACGCATCTGTGTGACCCATGTTCCCAGACACTAATGATTCTGGTCAACCACAGTATGCCAAGGTGCAAATCCGACCATTCCACACGGCCCTGCACGAAAAGTTCTTCTACACATTAGTCTCCAATTCCTCCGCGGCAGAAAGTTTGTACAATACGGGTGAGACTTTCAGAGCGTTTATACTGGTAAACTAACCCCGGATTCTAAGTGTTTACCTTGTGCTCAAGCTAATTTGAATCAGCCCTTCTCTAGGAAGCTTGCCGTCATTGCACCTGACTGCGCCGAGGACATGCTTAACGGCAGGAAATTGATCCTGGCATATGTTTATGGCTTTCTGGAAATGTATCTCCCACCCAAATCGGAGCTCAAATCGGAGCTGTAGTTGATGTCTGGATATCAGGGAGTCAGGTTCCTGTAATATAGGTTACCACTCAATCAATTCAAGACTAAAGCTTCAAAATATTATCCAGTTGTGAAGATTGGTGCTGGCATAGTGAGCGTAATAAATGAAAATACACAGGGGTAATTGTGTTTGTATTATATGTATTAAATACGGTAGTTATACAATATTTCCTGTTTGGGATTGAAGGCATCGCTGAACTTCACTTCTTCTTCACTACCATCAAAACATCCATACAATTCCGATGGAGCCCTCCTAAAAATCACTTGAATCCCTGCGAGGCTTTTTTGCCTTGTATCCTACATTCACAGGAGCGTTGGTGTGTCAAGGTTGTCTCTCCTCTCTGACGGGATGGATGGGATATCCCTCCAGGGACCGATGTCTCAAATCGTCCTTACACGCAGTGACAGATGGGATACTACTCATAAAGCCTCCTGTCTAATTCTTTCTGTTTGAATTGTAGCTGTCAACATTCTTGTTCGATACCAGGGATCCCCCATCCCAAGTACCGTCCTGACTCAACGGCGTACTCCTGTGACAGATGGCATTCCAATTATGACATCTTTCCCTAGGAGATCGATCCTGTGCAGTATTCTTCATGCACCTCACACGCGATCAGGTCCGATAGGATCTGTTGGCGCATTCCTGCCCCTCGTGCAGCCGTGTTATTGCGTTTGATTCTGTCGTCGGTGTCTTCTTTTTAGACGGCATGAATCTCTATATCTTGCTCTCTTCAGTCTTGTACTATACTTGAACATTTGGAAATTATACTATCCTTTCTTTTGTTCTATTAAATTTTGATGTTCCCTCTACCTCGCATTGGCTGTCTTCTCATCACTGTGCCTTTCCAGCTCTAGGAGCTGTTGTCGTCTCATGTTCCGCGCCAAACCCAGCACGATGGTGAACAGACCGGTATTGCCAAAGAATAGAGGAGCCTGGACAAGAGTTGTGATTTTTATATCTCTCTATGCCTTGCTTCTTGAATCGCTCATCGAATGGGTCTTGGTACTATATCTCTACGGCATTGGACGGGTCGATTCGAAGATGATGCCGAGTCTGATCATTTCCCTGATAGCGGTATGTCACTAATGTCCAGAAGTAATAGGATAATGGCGCTTACCAAATGTCTAGTCTTTCCTTACGGTGCTGCTTCTGTTCATTCATAGTCTGCTGGCGTGGAAGTTCAACAAGGCCGGGCGTGGGCCACAAAAGAATGTGCTAAGCATTGTCTCTGTATACGCTCTTCGATTAAATGTCGCCGTCTGGCTGGCAGCCAGTGTTGCGGGTCTAGTCATTGTTTCGCAGCAGGCTTCTTGTCTTCCGGGTGATTCAAATGTCAGTTATTGGAGGGTTGGTGTTAGCTGTGCACTTCACAGAGCAGCAGTTATAGTGGCAGTCTTGTCCTTGTAAGTCAGACGGTGACCATTTATATAATTCCGGCTAATGTACTATTCAAGCATTACTATCTGCATATACTTTTGCTCGAGAGAGCTCTGTGACCGTCCATACGACGTCTCGTTACTTGGTCTCTACAACCAACAAAACAGGACCCGCGATGGAAGCATCACATCCAACACCAGCTGGGACAGCGAGAACACCCTGAAAAACGACATGCTGTATTATTGTCGCCGTCCAGAACCGACATACGGTGGACCAGGTCTGCATTGGCCATCAAATGATGGTACCAAGTTTGAGAAACCCGAAGACGTCACTGCTATTCAGCCTGCACCATTTCGGGCAAAGCCTCAACTGAAGCTCAGTACGACTCTCGTTCCTGAAGCTGCAGAGTTTAGATCGGGATCAGTTTCTCCCATGGCTGTTGCGTCTGATACGGACCCTGTCTCTCGCACCTCTACGGTCCTGACCTCTGGAGCTAGCGAGCCTCCTTTGATTGCAGAATTACCAGCTCCAGGGGTTCCACAGATCCCTGCAAAATTCGGTCATAAGCGACAAAAGTCATCCATGTCACTCAGAAAATTCCTCCCAAGATCTCTTCCAATATCGCTGCCCCTATCAGATGATCCCCAAATCCGAGCCCTCTCAAACCCAAATATATACTTCGATCTAGAAAAAGAAGCAGAAAAAGCCTTTCTCTCCGACTCATCTGACTCAGTCCAAAGACCAATCTCCCCGCCAAACTCACAGCCCATGAATATCCCCAAACACCAAAGCTGCCCCATCATCCAGCTAGACCCCCCACAACAAGAAAACCATCAACGAACAATGACAATGTCCTCCACCGACGCCCCCGAAGTTATCGACTCAGAACCGCAGAAGCTCCAACGATCCAACACCAACACCGCACACCTAAACCAGTCCTTTCCTCGCTCTACGAACCACCCGCATCATCCAAGCAAGCTACGCTCCGTACCCTCGACTCCTGTTATGCAATCGTTAACCCGGGGGCCAAGCACTGCTAGCGTCCACTCAGGCGCAAGACTCATCACTATCTCTCCCTCGCCAGAGCCACAACAACAGCAATCCGACAGATCCCGCCGTCCCCCCTCCCGCCGGTACAGCAACAGCATGAGCAACGGCAGCAATGCTAATTCCAACAGACGATCAAACCAGTTATACCAATTCGACCAATCCCAGATCCCCCGGCAATTCCACAGACCGCATCCACACTTTAACTACCCGCTTCGTCATAACATCGGGACTGTGCCGCGCAGGAATGATGTTGAGATTATTTATCCGAGTACGAGACGATCGAGGAGTAGCACGTACGGTGGGACTGGCATTGTGCCGTTGGATAGTATTTTGGAGTCAAGGGCGTCGTTTGATGAGGTGCCTGGCTGTATGAGTCCGGATGAGAGCGGTGCTAGTATTGGGGTTGGGGTTGGTGTTGGTGCTCATATAATCGATGGGAATACTTATCGTGGGACGAATTGGACGGGTAGGCCTGGCTCTGGGTGTTGATTTACAGGTCTGCTGGCGGGCCATGCTTACTTCACCGCTTCGAAGGAAGGGGAGAGGAAAGGGGAATATTGTTCTTGTTGAAATTTCTCGTTGTATTAGATAGGGTTTGTGTTGATTATGTTGTTTTATGATACCACATCATTATGCTTAATCTTGCTTAATTATATCCATTTGAATTGATTGGTTTGATTTGTTTAACAGTTTTACAATTGAACCTTGCAAATCGATATGAACACGCATGCATTGAATATATCAGACAATACCCAGACAAACGCCAACCCATCCCTATCTTACCCAGTGATCATTTATATAATACAGTCACGCCCCAAAAAAAGGGGACAAAACGAGAACCAGAAACGAACTCAACTATCACCTCCGCGTACTCACACTCCCATTACCCTTACCACTACCATTAGCATATTTATACCGGTACCCCTGCCTAACCTTCCTCCCATCCTCCCCATGAATATTCACCCCCTCCTTATCTCCAACCTCCTTCTCCCCCCACGTCCACAAAAGCGCCTTCCCCATCCTTTCTCTCTCTCTAAGCAATAGCTCAACCCTCTTCTCCCACTCCTTCTCGCGCTTCTCTACGGACCGCGCGATTTTCGCGTCCATCGCTGCGGCTGTTTCATCCTTTGCTGCGATTATAGATTTTAGACGTTCGACTTCGGAGGATAGGGTGTCGAGGCGCGGGTCTGCGGTGGAAGTGGAGTTGGAGAAGTTGCTGGTGCGGAGGGATTGGAGGTCGGAGCGGAGGCGGGATTCGCGCCTTTCGGCAGCGGAGAGGAGGGATTGGAGAGTTTTGAGTTGGGTTTTATGGGATGCCTGGAGGGTGGCAATTGTTTGGGCGTTTGTGTTGAGACTGGAGTTGATGTTTTGGGTGTGCGGGCCTGGGGGTGAGGGAGGTGGGCTTGGTTGTTGAAAAGTGGTGTCGTCTTGGTGTTGGAGGCGGTCGATTGTTTGAAGGGCGGTGGAGTGGTCGGTTCTCAACTGTTGGAGTTCACGCTGAACTCTGTCAAAGTTGGATTTAAGGTCATCGGCACGTCTGGTGAGACGGGTGTTTTCAGTTTCAATTGATTTGAGGAGGGATTGGGTTTCTGTGGCTTGTTCGCGGGCCTGCGATAGTTCGGCTTGCAGAGTCTTTTCGGATTGTGATTTCTCGTTTAACTCGTTCTGCAGCTTTGCGGTTTCCTGGCGGAGATATTCAAGTTCATATTCCCTAGTAGAATTTCTAGGCCCCGGGAGGAAAGGTTCTGGTTCTTCCTCCTGCGGATCGAGATCCTTGATTAGGTCTAGGATCTCTGTAAAGGTCTTCTGTCCTCCTGTTCCGGAGGGGAGGTCTGCAGCCATCACCTTGAGGGCGTTCTCCTGGGCTGTCACCTGAGACTGCGCGCGCGTCAGGTCAGCTTCGAGGGTACTATTTCTCTCCTCCAATGGGGCATTTTGGGTCTCGAGGGAAGCAATTCGATTCTCGAGAGTCTGGTAATCCGTGTTCGCGCGGTCCACGTCGGTCTCCAGCTTCTCGATTTCCAAGGCTTGGTCATCGACCTGTGCCCTGAGGCTGTCGATCTCCCTGTTCTTCTCTTGAAGCTGCTGCTCCTTGCCTGTGGTCACCTCCCGGAGCTTCGCCATGGTTTCGTCGAGAGTTGCATCGCGTTTCTTCAATTGATCCTGGGACAAGCTGAGCTGCTGGCGGAGATGGGCGATGGTGTCCAGTCTTTCAGCATCCAAGCCAGACGTATTTCGATTTTGCAATTCCTTTTGCATCTCCTCCATTTGTCTCCGGAGTGCGCCAATGTCGGTCGAATTCATGGAATTTCGGAAGGACGTCTCTCTATTCTGGTTCTGCTTCTGTAGTAATTGTACTTGTTCGCGCAAGAGTTCCTCGTCGCTGCCTTGCGCCTGGAGTTCGTCAAGCAATGAAGACTTGCGCTGCAATTCTGTCTGGAGGTGGCGGATTTGTTCGCCAGCAGAAGCGGCTTCACGGATTCGGTTGTGGTTCTTCTCTAGTTGTTCATCTTTGTCCCGCAATGCCTGTTGTAGATCCGCAATTTGTTGGTGTAAATCTTTGGTCCTCTCCTCTTCGAACCTGCTGGAAAGACTTCGTTGTCGTTGTTTCTGGACGGACGGGGTGATTACTGGTTCCATTTCATCGTCTTCTTCAATACCCTCCATATGAGTAACATCTTTCGCGATTCCACTCTGTGTTCTGTGAAGGAGGTGGGAGGGAGTCGACATGTCGACCGGGGGGCCGAATTCGCTGTATTCACCAAGTTCCGCCTCGTTTTCTGCGGATTGCAATTTGGAATTCTGCTCTTGTTCCTGCGCAGGTTCCTTTTCTTCGTTATTGCCCTTGCCGCGTTCCTCCGTTTGTACGCGCTGCTCTTCCAGTCCTTTTTCAAGACTCTCCTCATCGTCGTCATCCCCCATCAAATATTTCTCTAAATTCGCCGTAAAATCCTCCGGCCCACCAACTTCCGACACCTTATCCTCCTCCGCAAACCACTTCATACCCGGTAACATGTCATCATCCTTATCGCCCCCTAGCCTCCTGAAATCAAGCGAATATTCCGCAAGGCGCGCATCCAAATCGGCCATCGCAGCACGATCTGGCGACGACGCCCTTGACAACACCGGCGAATCGATTTCACGTTGCCGCGCAACATCTCTCTCCTCCTCATCGTCATCATCTGAATCTTCCGCGTCATGTTTTGCCAAGCGATCGAGAGTCGGGCTTTGCGGGACGGGCGAGCCCAGGGGGGAGTGAGATGGGGATTCGGGCGCTTCGCGGGCGGGTGTTGGCGGCGAGGAGGGCATGTGGAATGGTGTGATTAGGGTGGATGCGCCGATTGTATCGTGCGACGTGGGAAATGGTGAGGAGTAGCCGGTGTTTGCCATGGTTGGTAGTGGATTTTAATGCGCGAGTGGTTGAGGTAAGGGGAAATAAGGTGGCTTACACCACGAGCATAGTTCGGTGGTTTGGTTTGTTGTGTGATGTGTCAGATGGTCTATGCTTATGCGAAAACGATAGATAGCGATAATAGATCTTCTTTGCGCAAGCTATGGTACTCGAACTGATGTTTTGGATGTGGTCGTTGGGGTCGAAAACGCGCGGTGTTGATGTCTTAGTGCCTTGGTGGTGAGGCATGAAGAGATAAAGGCAAATTGCCCATACCGCCTACCGTAAGTGGATTAGACAGACTTCCCAATCAGGTACTTTGTTTACTATTTCATTTCGATTAAACTAACGACTGCTTCTTGATATTAAGGCTCTGTATTCGAGAATGGGTACTCCGTGCTAGTACTGCTCTATATTGTACTTCCTACAAATGGTCACTTACGGTCTGTAGCCCGTAGGCCTGGACAATGTCCTTGGGTATACCCAAGAATTTACCCAATACCCAACTTTTTACTAATTACAGCAATCCCCGTACTTGCATAATTTATGCAACCGTGGTGGTTTTTTCCTAATTAAGCTAGTAATCTAAAAGTATGGTGGTATTAACTATCCATAGCGTAGAAGATACATATTCTAACTTAATACACAGCGAAAAGACCACTTTCTAAATTAACCGACTTCCACTGATCGGAAATACTTTGAACTTAACATACACTTAATTTCCACTGTAGTTTATCGTACAATAGCTTTCTTCTTGTAATATTATAGATGGTTAGTGAGAAAGAGAGATAGATCATATGATAACCGTTGACGGGATAAGAACAGAGAAAAATACTCACTAGTGACTAAGGATTTTTATGCAGAAAATTATGTAGACTTGGGTATAAGCGTACCCTTGGGTATAGGTATGAGACCTGTACCCAAATGGGTACCCATGTCCAGGTCTAGTAGCCCGCATACCGACTAGAATGGTTAGCAGTCTCTACTCGCAATCCATCTTCCATAACATTTACTTGACGAGTGGAGTGCTCACAAGCTCAAGCAACTTGATCGTATGGCCAGTTGCTCTTAATAGCTACCGAGTGGTTTGGCCGGTTTGCACACCCAAAGACGACGGTGTATAATTTACCAATGGAATATCATTCTTTATCCAATGTTTTGAGCTAAATACAAGCGACATTAAATACACCCAAAACTACGCAGAAGCAGACCTTTCAAATCCCGGAGGTGCTGTAGCTGGATCAACAGGTTCTTCTTCCGGAACTTGATATTGTTGCTGGGCTGCTTTTCTAGAGGCATGTCCTCCGCGAGAAGCTATTTCATGCTGCAGAAAATCAGGATCCACAAATCTGGTCACTGGAAAGTGGCTGAACATACCTGCTTCTCCGGATCCATATTATGGAATCCACCCCCACCATGCGCTTTTCCGCCCTTTCTGCCACCTTTGCGGCCGGCTTCAGAGAGTTGTTCCCTGGGGCGGTTGGCAAAGTTGCCGGGATTAGGGTGGTGGAATGCGGTTGCGAACCGGCGCGCAGTCCAAGCAGTGGAGGGGTTTGGAGAGCTGCGGAAGAGGGGGGTTGGGTGGAGGATAAAACGTTGCATTATGTTATGCTTATTTTAATTGCTTGAAATGGGATTTTAATTTCCGTTTTGGTTTGTATCTGCTGTAGAGAGCATGCTGCATGCTGTGTTGTATATATAAGTCAAAGTTCTCGCAATTTGCCTCTAGCATGGCACTATTATATCAAACGCCACGGTAAAAACAGGGCAGAGATATTTCTAGAAATATGACGGATGCTTTCATTCATCAGGTGACTGGACTATTGGTCGGGAATGTTGTCCGTCACGAACGTTCGATGTCATGTCAAAATTGACAATGTGGTGGAGATATCTCTTATCTCCTCTTCCAAACTATCACTTACCATGGATAACGGTTATCATATAAAGGTCATCGTCTAACAATTTCTTGTAGTGATTGACCCTCTAAACTGACATCATCTTCGCCTTCTTCGCCTCGAAGGTAAAGATAGCGGCACGAAGGCATCAAATAATAGCAGACAGCCAATTTGATTCACATTGGCTGATTATGGCCCTAAAATAATTGTTCAAAAAGAGATTTGATGATGATGGTTCAAGATGATAAGGGCATTGAAAATCACATGCTTGACCAGAATGACATCATGTGCCTTGATAGCCCAGTAATCTATATCCGTCAATGCAGTGTGCGTCTCTTAACACGATTCCCTCAAGAGAATGATTTTAGGTGCATTCAAGACAATCACTTAAAGCATATTGGGTGGCAAAGCCACGAGTCCACTTCAAGCTTTCAATTTCTATAACCAGCATGCAAAGACCAGCAGCCACGCTTAGAATCCCATGTGTGAGCATGCCACCTGCTTAAATCAGATAATTCCAAAACCCAGGTACTGATGGTTGTAAGACCACTGCAAGATCCGTCCATGATAACTTCTAGGTTACCAGGAGCTCGAACAAATGGCAACCGAACTTATAGAAATGAACGGAGGCGAAAACGCGTCAATTCGTGAAATGATTGTTATATGGTATCTCCATGGAATATGGGATAAATACGCCACCCTGAGGGATACTCTCCTGAGTTGAACATCACTCTGAATGAAGAATAAGTTCTCAGACGAGCTGAGGTGGTAAAGATGCTCCAGGAGATGCAAAGCATTGACAAGAAAAAAAAAATCGCGGACCAACCACAACGGTGAAAGGAAGAAAGGCATCAATTGCTTTGCCTGTAAAGGGTTCCACGCCGAGAGAGAGGTTGTTGGAGCACAAAGTATGACTGAGGCTGAATATATGGCCATCTCAGAAGCCACTAAGCAAGCAGTTTGGACACGCTATTTCCTGTACACTATAGGAAATGGAGAGTAATCACCATATTTAATGGTCGGCCTGATTGGCGAGGTAGATGGCTAAACATTCTTTCTATTACCGTTTCTATAGTAGATCATATCACCCTTTTGATCCTTGAGGTAATTTAATTTCTTTCACTCTATATAGTCTCGCGGGGGCTTGATTATCGACTTCCCGATTCCTGAGTTATCTCATGAAACGGGGAAGCTTCGGGGCAGCGGTGCCGATTCTCCGGATAACCGTACAAGGCCTTTATGACAGCTGAGAACTATGGCGACAGTATGGCGCAGTAGAGAATGTACGTAGTATTGAGTCTGCTGTAGAGTGCTTGCTAGAACTAAGACCTTTATCGCCATACGATAAAACCTCCGGAGCTCACTAGATCGGCCCGATATTCATCCGATATTCCTCATCTCACGCTCCGCAAATCAGTCATGTGATTCTACATTCAGACACCATCACGATGCCTCCCATTTCAGGATCACAGACACAGCGTCGGATAATCGTCTATCACCAAACAATATGTCCGGATGGCGGTCCAGTTGTCTCAATGCTTCCGCTGGTCGAGAACAACACGGGAATCACACATGTCATTTTGGCCGCTTTCCACCTGAACGATACCCCGGGCGATATCTCCCTCAACAATGATCCGCCAGACCACCCCAGCTACAATGAGCTCTGGGCAGAAGTACCTCGAATGAAGGCAAGTGGCGTCAAGATAATGGGATTACTAGGTGGGGCTGCCCAGGGTAGCTTCCGCAATCTGGACGGCAGCGAGACGCAATTCGAGCAGTACTATCAACCGTTTCTGGCGATGATTCGACGGTATCAATTGGACGGAATTGATCTTGATGTCGAAGAGCATATGTCTCTGGAGGGGGCTATTCGGTTGATTGATCGTCTCAAGTCAGACCTGGGAAATGAGTTTATTATCACCCTGGCACCCGTGGCTGCCGCTCTCTTGGGCATGGGAAACCTATCCGGCTTTGACTATCGGCAGCTAGACGCCGCCCGGGGCTCCAAGATCAGCTGGTACAATGCACAGTTCTACAATGGCTGGGGTCCAGCGGACGATCCTCGAATGTACGCCGCGATTATTGCGCAGGGCTGGTCCCCGCAGCGCGTGGTTTTCGGGCTGTTGACGAACCCGGGTAACGGATCACAGGGCTACGTGCCACTTGAGACTATGAACGTTATTCTGTCCATGTTAGTTGAGCAATACCCCAACTTTGGCGGCGTCATGGGCTGGGAGTATTTCAATTCTATGCCTGGAGGACGCGAGAAGCCGTGGACTTGGGCAGCTGTAATGGCGCTCAGTATGAATATCAAAGATGTGGTTTTTGCCGCGCGGCAAATGGTGGGAGCTGGGTTTCTTTTGAACATGATGCGTCCACGTTAAACAGAACATTTGCATAAAGTACATAGCATGCTTAGATACCAATGTGTTTTATTGGACCCTGCGTCATCGCCTCAGGCAGGAATGAATATAAATGTCGTCATCTCCGCCTTTACATTTAGACCATTTGGCAATGCCAATTGTACTCCTTCAACCATCTCCAGGGAATTGATAGTATTGAGATGATTCCTTAATTGTCAACAGCAATATGTCTTTGCAGTCAATAGCTGCCATTATCAGCTCGTTTCTGCTCAGATTCGCAGCCTTTGTTTTTCTCCGATGGGTAAGCTCCAACCATGAGTTCAAATAGCTAAAACGGCAGCTGATATAACCTCAGATCCCTGGTAGACACTTTCCTCCAATTGTATTTACCTCGTTAGTTGTCTACTTCTCGACGTGGTCATCCTTGACCCAGCAGAAATCCTCTCGGCGCTCCGACAATAAATACGATGACCGCAGTAAGAGAGACCTCGGATTTATTTGATATGAGGAGAATACTCATGAATATCGCAGAAAACAAACGGGTTGGTTCTAACAGCTCAAATCAATCGGTTCTTAAGACTCTCCTTACCGGCCTTCCATCCCCCAGGCTTCCACGGACGTCGCGTGTGACTGCCTTGATCAACATCGTCCTGACTCTATTCACGTTGGACTTTCTCCTTCGTGGCCTGGTTCTCTACTCGGGCAAAAACCTCGCGCTGTCCCGTGTTGGATATGTCTCGCCAACTACAGCTAGCTTGCTCATCCGTGAACCCGACCCAACCCAGCTTCCTTTAACCGTTTCGTACCAGGAAGCGGTTGAGGGAAATAATCCAGTGAAATGGATCGAAGAGGGCATTATTTACAAACTCGATATCACAACTGATTTTACGACATCTATCGTCCTAAAAGAGCTGAAGCCTTCCTCGCAGTACCGCTATTCGCTTTCCAACAACCGCACAGGCACCTTTTCTACAGCGCCACTACCAGGCACGGAGTCTGCACACGAGCTCATATTCTTGACCTCAAGCTGCATGAAACCAAACTTTCCCTACAACCCGCTGTCGCATGCACTGCGCTTACCGGGAGTTGAACAGGTGTCCGAAACAATTTCAAAGTTGTTGTTTCGGCCAGCATTTATGCTGTTCCTTGGAGATTTCATATATATCGACGTTCCCATGCGCTTTGGATCTTCTATTTCGCACTACCGCAGCGAATACCGCCGAGTCTATTCCTCTCCATCGTGGAGTAGCTCCCCTGAAACCCCCGCCATCGACCTCCCATGGCTTCACACACTCGACGACCACGAGATCGAAAATGACTGGTCCCACGGCAAAATCACAGCACCATATCCCGCCGCAGCAGAACCCTACATCCACTACCACGTCAGCGTCAACCCTCCAATCCCGCCAACCCCATTCGCCAAACCCGAAGACACGTCCTACTTCTCCTTCATCCACGGCCCAGCCTCCTTCTTCATGCTCGACAGCCGCTCCTACCGCTCCGAGCCTGCGCAAATCAACTCTACAATCCTAGGCTCTGCACAGCTCCAATCCCTCCTCGCCTACCTAGCCCGTCCGGAACCTGCAGAGGTCCGCTGGAAAATCATCGCTTCTAGCGTCCCTTTCACGAAGAACTGGCACGTCGGGACGACAGATACATGGGGCGGATTCCTAAACGAGCGCCGCACCGTCTTCGAAGCAATGTGGCGCGCAGAGCGGGAACTAGGCGTCCGCATTGTCCTGCTTAGCGGTGATCGCCATGAATTCGCATCAACCCGGTTCCCAGACCCCACACTCGGTTTTGATACAAAGGACTTAGAACCGAATACAGCTGGTGAGGGCCTGCACGAGTTCAGCGTCGGCCCGCTGAGCATGTTCTACCTTCCCGTAAGAAGCTACTGGCAGTCAGACCATGAAGACGTCACAGTGAAATACGTCCCAGATGGGAATGTTAAGTACGGGTTGGTTGATATCAGAAATGGCGAGGAGCCTGTCGACACGGTCTCCGGGACTCCTGTCCTTGTACCGAGTTCTATATTAACATACTCGCTGTATGTTGACGGCGATGTGGTCTGGGAATATAGACTTAGTGTCCCGTTACCTGAAAAGCAGGGCCGTTTGCCTGCTGGGTCTACTGCTAAGCATCCGAGACTACCCGCGGGGAAGGTTGTTCGTGACGAGAGACAAGCGGAGGGGTGGGATGTTCCTGTTATGTTTATTATCGAGAGACTGGAGGAGATGGTTGGATTGGTGAGGAGAAGTGTGGTGGATTGGTGTTATGAGGGATTGGAGGGGGCGAGGAGGGCGGAGAGAGTCGATTAGTTAGCTTCTTTCTTTGCTTCAATGTTAAATGTGGTGATTATTGTAGGATGTATTCTCGTTATTTATGTTTTGATATCAATTGAGTGCACGCCCAACGCCGTCCCATGCTACAGTCAAACCACAAACCATCCTAGATCATAAAACACATATTTATAGACAAACGAACAAACAGGACGACATGAAGAAAGAAGGTAAAAAGAGGGATCACCGTCCCCTCCCCCGTCCTCCACCTCCACCGCCACCGCCCATCAACCCACTCATCTGGCTCATCATACTCTGCAAATCCATTCCTCCAAGCCCCGGCATCCCACCACCGCCGCCGCCACCGCCGCCGCCCATCATCTGCATCATCTTCGCCATATCCCCCATCCCAGGCATTCCTCCTCCCATCCCAGGCATTCCACCACCGGCACCACCCATACTCGCCATGCGCTTCTGCATAGCAGCCATCTGTTGCTCCTTATTTCCGCCCTTGAGCATGTTCTGCGCACGCTGCATCTGCTTCTTCTGTCCACCGACCTTCTTCGCCATACCAGCCATCATGCGGTGCTGGGAAAGCAGGTCTTCGACTTCGCGGACTGTTGTACCGCTGCCACAGGCGATGCGGACCATGCGGGTAGGTTGGTCGATGAAGCTTTTGCCGTCGCTGTCGAGTTCGGCGGTTGTCATGGAGTCGAAGATGTAGACCATGCGGCGGAGTTTGAGGGAGCCGTCTTCATCGTCGAGGCCAGCGGTTAGGTTTGAGAGACCCGGGATCATTCCGGAGAGTTTGGAGAGAGGGCCCATTTTCATGATCGAGGTGATGTTTTCGCGGAAGTCGCGGATAGTGTAGATTCCTTCGGAAATATGTTTGTAGGTTTCCTTCGCGCCGGCGGAGTCCTTTGTTACGGCTTGAACGTGCTCGACGAGGCCGGCGACATCACCCATTCCGAGGAGTTTTTGGATGAAGGCTTTGGGCTCGAAGCGTTCGAGGTCCATTAAGTGTTCACCCGTACCCAAGTAGATTATGGGCGTATGTGTCGCTGCGACAGCGGAGATGGCACCACCACCAGCCGCATGGCCATCTGTCTTGGTGATAATGATAGCACCAAAGTCTGCTGTAGCTTTGAACGCAGCAGATTGCGCTTCCGCAGCCTGACCGATGGTGCTGTCCAGCACAAGAATAGTCTGATCTGGGGTCACAGCCGTTTGAATCTGGGTCATCTCAGCGAACAACTCCTCTTCCTGCCTGTGACGACCACTAGTATCAACTATGATAATCTCAAACCGCTCCTTCTTAAACTTAGACACACCCTCCGCCGCCACAACCGCGGGGTCCGTCTGCGTCAAACTACCGTAGTACGGAATCTTGGCCTTCGTCGCGTTCTGCTTCAACTGATCGAAAGCACCAGCACGGAAAGTGTCCGCACACACAAGCGCCGTCTTGAACCCACGCATCTGGTAATGCCGGGCCAGCTTGGTACAGGTAGTTGTCTTCCCGGCACCCTGCAATCCGACAAACATGATCACATTCGAGCGGCCTTTCTTGGGGCGGAACGGTTCAGCGTGCGGGTCAACCAAGGTTGTCAACTCATCGAAGACGGCCTTTTGAATTAATCGCTTCTTATTGACGGCTGGTGGGAGAGAGGCGAAGTTCACGCTGGACTTGATCGATTTGCGCAGCGACTGGACGAGGCGGACATTGACGTCGGCTGACAGTAGTGCAGCACAGATTTCTTTGATCATGTCATCGAATGCCTGACTATTAGCATCTATCTCACCACAATAGCTGCGTAGAACTCACCTTCTCGTCCAAATTGTTGGACCGGGTCAGGTCATTGACGGCGGAGTTGATACGCCGCCCGAGATCCTGGAGGACCATATCGACGGTTTTGACAGTATAAAAGAGGGAGAAATAACAGATGTAGCAGCAGTATATTACCGAGGCTTGTAAGCTGTCGCAGTGTCGAAGATGACAGCCAAAAAGGCCACCCGAAGCGATATCAATGCGGAGAGCCTGCAGGCCAATCAGAGACCGTGCTACACTCTCCGCCTAAAAAGTTCGATGAGAAAAAAAGAACGCCGACAATGAAACAACAACTCTCGAATTGTACATTTTGTCTCTAATTGATTCAAGATGGCTCCCTCATCGGTCGCCAAGAAGCGCAAGGTCTTGGATGGCATGCAGGGCAAAACCAATCGCCCCAACAAGAAGTTCAGAAAGCAGCGCGGCTACCACAGCTCCGATGAAGAGGACAATGACGACGAAACTGCTTTCAAGGGTGTCAGTCTAGCCGATTCAGATGCAGAGGACAATGTGAAGGCGAGACCCCCGCAGAAGAAGACCAAGGCGTCAGGACAGAATCAGAAACCGAAGGTCGCAGAGGTGGAACAAAAAGAGGCAGAAGAAAGCAATGCAGACTCTGACGGCGGCGACGACGCGAGTGACAATTCTGAAGGAGAAGATGGTGAAGGCGCCTCGAAAGGAAGAAACGTGCAGAAGAGAAACGATCCCTCCGCATTCTCGACATCCATTTCCAAAATTCTGTCCACCAAGCTCCCCACCTCCGCGCGTGCAGACCCCGTCCTGTCGCGCAGTAAATCTGCCTCCCAGACAACAACTGATTTCGCAGACGAAAAAATCGACAGACAGGCGCGCGCCAAACTCCGGGCCGAAAAGAAGGAGGAATTGGATCGTGGTCGCATCCGCGATATCAAGGGTATTGAGCGGGGCCAGGCTGGTCCCGTAGCTGAGGAGGAGAAGCGTCTTCGCAAGATTGGGCAGCGTGGTGTGGTCAAGCTGTTCAATGCTGTCCGGGCTGCGCAGGTTAGGGGTGAAGAGGCTGCTAAGCAGGAAAGAAAGAGAGGAACAGTTGGAATAGGAGAGCGTGAAAAAGCCGCCAACGAGGTTAGCAGACAGGGGTTCCTTGACCTGATTAGTGGGAAGAAGGGCAAGCCGTTGAACATTGAGGAGGCTTGATCAGTTTCTGTTCATTCATTTTTTTAAACTATCAAGGCATGCTCGGCGTTATGGAGGGAGGATTTGATTCTATCTATTGATACATGGTCTGTACATTGTCTTAAAAAGTTCGTTCTTCATTCCTTGTCATGCCCGAGCCTCGTAATGCCAACATAAATCGACGTAGATGATATCTCAGCTTTTGTGCACACTATCAAAAACCTACACCCAGGGTAATTCTCACTTCTGTTCAAAGTCGCTGGCCTGCAGATTCCTTGTCATCGTCGGCAGTCGCACCACCATTCCGTCCAGATCCTTGCTCATCGGAACCTGACACCCCAGGCGCGAGGTCTCTGTCAACCCGAATGCCAGATCCAGCATGTCGTTCTCGTCGTCGGACGGTTCTTCCATCTTTTCGAACATATCGGGGTCCTCGATAATAACATGGCAAGTCGAACAGGCACACGAGCCACCGCAGGCGCCTACAATGCATAATATCAGCCCTGTTGCTTTTTCCTCTCTATACCACTGTCGGGATGCGAACCTTCCATCTCCAGATCGTTGGCCTGCGCGATGTCTAGCAGATTGTCCCCTTCAGCCACCTGAAGATCATGCTTGTCGCCATCCTTGTCGACAATCGAGATGTTGATTCTGTCGCAATTAGCATAGACTCCATGGAGTAGTATTCCTATTGCTACTCACTCCTCGCCTGGCTTCGGTGGTGTCAAATGCCCATGCTGCGCTCTGGCTGTAACTGAAAATGACCGCGCATTCAACCCTGTCTTCCAAGTAGCATTATTCCTCCTGGACCATTGCAGACGGGACGAATCGGCGAGGCAAAGGGACTGTCGGGGCGCCGGGCGAGAGAGATATGTGCGGGATGCGGTTTTGGGGATATGACGCAGCTGCTGGCAAGCTTCTCGGAAGAACGACATTTTGCTAGAATATAGAGACAGTATATAATCAAAGAAGAGAAGAGATTGAGCGCTTTTCAGCAAAACTGAATTACTCAAGAGCGGCGAATTGCAGCAGATCTTATTGGAAGAGGGAGAAAAGGAAAACCCGAAATAGCGGCGGGTTTTTCGGACTTCACGACCTGCCACCACCATAACCCATCTCCTTCTTAACCTATACTACAACAACAACAACACAAAATGGCCTCCCGCGAAGGCATCAATCCCCTACGTCCCTACTATATTCCTCCCTCTCTCGGCCTGGAGCACAACAACACCTCCGCTTCCTCCACCGACATCGCCCCCACGTCCTCCACGCAAGTGTTTTCCAGCTCGGCGCGCGACCTGCTGCCCGATTTGGACTATTCGGAGTATCTGGACTCATCTTCATCGGCTTCGGACTGGGTTCGGGATGCTGTGAATCGGGCTTTCTGGCGGTACACGACTGTGTTGACTGCTCAGCCGTTTGATGTTGCCAAAACTATCCTGCAGGCTTATGTGGTGCCCGATCCATATGAAGAGGGATCTAAAGGCAGTCGACGACGGTCTGTTCCTCGGGGCGGAGAGAGTGCCTACGGGACTACAGAAGATGAAGAAGATGTGAGTTATCATTATATTTGATATTTATCATCCACAGTACTTGATGCCATGATGGTGATTGTGTGGCGGGGTAGACTCATACTGACAGCAACAGGACTACCACTCTTCCGACGATGAGAGCAGCTACTTTACATCCGCAGCACCCAGAGGCTCGTCTCCTGGGGCCTCTCGCTCGAGGGGACGATCTCGTCGTCGTGAAATCACCGATCGAAGTGGTTATATCCCCTCGTCTGCATCATCCCGATATTCCTTGTCCCTCAAGAACCCATCTTCATTGATGGAGACCATATCGCAGCTCTGGGCGACCAGCGGACCAACTTCGCTTTGGAAAGCCTCAAACGCTACATTCATCTACTCACTGCTGCTCCCAACCTTGAACACGTTCATTCGCAGCCTCCTCTCAGCAATTGTCGGTCTGCCAGAGGAAGAAATCGCCTCATCCATGACAGCCGATATCCTAGCGTCGACATCACCCATCGTAACGCTGGTGCTGTCCTTCATATCCTCATCTCTTTCATCCCTCATCCTGGCCCCAATTGACACGGCCCGCACATTCCTCATTCTCACCCCGGCCACGCATGGCCCGCGGTCTCTCCTCCGCGCCATCAAACTCCTTCCCACCGCCAACTCGACCATCCCTGCCCACTTGGTCCCCATCACCATCCTGCACTCTAGTTTGCCAAACTTCATCCTGACAACAACACCCTTCTTCCTGAAAACTTATCTCTCGCTGGACCCCATCCTCAACCCCTCCATGTGGAGCATGTTCACCTTCCTCGGGTCCGGTCTGGAAATGGCCATCCGCTTCCCGCTCGAGACAGTCCTCCGCCGCGCCCAGATCGCAAGCTACACATGTCCCAGCATCCGACAGAGTCCCAGTATTCGCCGCGTGCCAGGACTCTCACCGAGAGATGCATCTCCGTCTGCACCTGTAGACCCAGCGGCAGAAATCGAAACCATCATTCCCACCCCGCAAACCTACCGCGGTATTATCGGTACAATCTGGGGTATCGTGTACGAAGAAGGTGCCACCGCACCGCCAGAGAACGAGCGCGCCCACGAGCTCCTCAAGAAACCCGTCTTACAAAGGAAGAAACAGGGCCAGGGTATTCAAGGTCTCTACCGCGGCTGGCGGATCGGTATGTGGGGAATTGTTGGCATCTGGGGAGCTGGTGTGCTTGGTTCTGCTGGAGGTAGTGGTGATGAGGAGGTGATGGTTAGTGGAGGACGGTTCTAGATATACTCAGGAGGATACCCAAACGGGGAGGGGGTTGATGCATCTTTGATATGATTTGTTTCCCATTATTCTGACTAGGTGAATGGCGTTTATCTTGTTCTCGTTCCTAATCTCATGCCTGTACATGATACCTTTATCAGCGTGACTATGTTTGAAACTCTATGATATACGACATTGCTATATGAAAATGATATCTCGCTGTTTCATGCCGGACGACTCGATATATATAATCCCATCTCCCCGCTTTTGCGGAGGTAGGATGGTCAAGCACCCTCCTGACTCTTCATACATTTAGGAAATTGTATTGAAATATATATATCAAATTAATGGATTCAATATTCAACATTGCATTGATTGTGTTGCATTTTGCTATTGCGTCATTGCTGTATTGTACCTGGTCCGATCTATAACAATCCGTACAAAGAAAGCTCTGCGGATGGTCTACTGCATCCCATATCATTAAACAAATACGAGACATCCCACGATGTCAACGCATAATAGTGAAGATCAATGGCTGGAAGCAAAAGCAATGAAAAATAAACATGGGTTATCAAGCTTATGCGGGTCTCCGCAGACATGTTTCAGTGAAGGGGACCATGACATACAATTATTAGATTTTATATACCTGGTGAACGAATTTAGCACTACTTTTCTTTTCTTCTGTACCCCATCCTTTCAATCCCAGATTCGATGCCAGGCCCATCCATAGGGCAATCGACCCTTTCTTACAGAATGAACGGATTTGCTACTGCATATAATGTTTTATCGACACGAAATTACACAGGCAAGAGAACATTGCTACTGCAAATTCTTACTGCGGTCCGATGTTTCCATTCGCAAAAGCAAAAAGCGCTAGCCCATGTGAAAAATCCGGACCATGCGTATTCACCTATGTGCCGGTTTAGAGACTCTGAGGAGACGCAATCTCTCGGTCGAGATGGAACTATATACAATGATGGACAACCTTAAAGAGTGAAATATTCAATCGACGTTGATGATTGGGACAGTTCAAGTGTTTCATAGTACTCTAGAATTGATGACAAAACACTCATTCGCAATAACAAGATAGTAGGGTCAATCTCTCTGAGATTTCCTGGGATACCTTATTGATTTTACAGCATATTCTGGTCTGAAGTTGAAAATCCCGTCGAAATACTGGCTGTACTTGTATGAAAACAAAGACCGGCCCGGGATTCGCCCGTGGGAATTCCGCTCATCGGCAATTGCCCAAGACATGACGCAGCTTGTAGTCATGCCCCATAAATACTAGCCATAGCGTACATTCCATGGTACTTAAAGACGCCGGCTTGCAGGACATGCCAATAAAAATTTGACTGAGCTATTCCACACTGGGCAAAGCTGGACGTTGTCGCGTGGTTGGCTGGGCTCGGATTACCTGAAACGGTATAGTGGACTTCCGCGAGGGGAAAGGTGGGATCAGATAAGATCATCTGATGGAGGGAAGGCAATGCCGAGTTAGTCATATTTATTGCAGGATGCTGCGCTGCGTATAGCAGCAGGGTATACATACAATACATACCGTTTTACAGAGTACAGGGGACAGAGTGCTTGTACTGGAATTTAGAACGACCTTGCGTCGTGCTGCGTGAACTTTGGCTGAACTTGCGTTTGTAATTGAAACACAGGGAGCCGCTCTGCCGCAAAAAAGCATTGAAATAAAATTTCAAGGCCCCGTAATTCAGGTCTCTGGAATGGGTCCTATGAGTAATTATTCCCTCGTGTGTCCGCCCAGAGAGAGTACGCATTGCGGAGATGCTTTCCAGCTGAACGGTTCATTGGTCCCATTCCGGCGCGGCCACCGCGCGTGAAAATTTATCAGATGGTGAGGGATAGTCAGCTTGATCATTCTTTAGTGTTGCTTCTGTAGACCATGTAGAATTCATATAGCATTTGCAGTAGACGACTTGAGTACATAAGACAAGTATTATGTATAGCTCACCGTAGGACAGTCATTATAAACAATGCCGGCCTCCAGCTACACAGTACTCTGTACACCGCTACCAGTTACATCGTACAGCTCCATCAGGCCAACATTGATTGATCCATGGACAGCCCTAGAAATCCCCATTGATTGATAACTCTGCCCCTTCAACCAATCAACAGCAGAAGCGAGCACCCCCACTCCCCTCCGAAATCGGTGATGAGCCGCACGATAATCTAATCTGATCCGACTTTGTTTCTTCTTCCCCCCTTCGCCGCGTCCCCTCGGTTTCTTTTCTACTCTTCTTCCTCCGCTCGTCCTGTTTTCATCCATCTGTTGTTTTTTTCACATTGCCGTGAAAACTACTCTTAACTTGGTTGTAGACATCGTCTTGTCTCTGGCATCACCCGTCCATCTCGCTTACCGGGTCGAATGAGCGCACTTCCGCTCTTCCGACCGCAAGCGACAAAAGTGACGAACGCCGGTCAGCTCTCCCACCACACTCACCATTACACCATTATGCTATATGCTCTACTTTTCACTCTTCGAGATGATCACTGACTGGAGTTCAGCTCTTATTATTTCAGAGAAGCATATCTAATTAAAAATAACACAATGTCTACACCGCTGGCTCCCGCGGGAACGCCGGCTCCCTCCATTGCTCCCCTGGCTCCCGCCCTAGCCGCCAAACCTTCAATTGCACCTGCCTCGCCTGCTCCAGCTACTCCCGGATCCATCACGTCGAAGGAATGGGTCATCCCTCCGCGGCCCAAGCCCGGCCGGAAGCCTGCCACCGATACCCCGCCCACCAAGCGAAAGGCTCAGAACCGTGCGGCCCAGCGAGCATTCCGCGAGCGACGTGCAGCTCGAGTGAACGAACTGGAAGACCAAATGAAGCAAATCGAAGATGAGCACGATATGCACGTGGATGCATTTAAGGAACAGATCTCGAACTTGTCTCACGAGGTGGAACAATGCCGGAATGAGATGGCTTGGTGGCGGGACCGCTGCCACGCGCTGGAGAAGGAGGTTTCTGTGGAGAAGAGTGCCAAGGAGGCGCTTGTGAAGGAGTTCCGTTCGTCATTTGCGGATAGAAACACGACTCAGTCGGATGCGGTGCCTCTACCGCCTCGAGGTCAGAAGCGGAAGAATACTGAATCAACCCGCGTACACACGACTCAATCTACTCGAGAGGAAGTTCCCTTGGGTTGCGGAAGCTGCTCTACTGCCCACTGTCAGTGTATCGAAGATGCGTTTGCTATGCCTGGCGTGGAGACTCACGAGTCTAATAAGCGTCGTTCCGAACCCGAAATCAAGCCTGAGCCGGAGGAGATGGAGGTGGATTTTACTTCCCGCTTCGCCGCTGCTCCACCCCCGGAGGATCATAGCTCACCGTCTATTGCGTCTCCCGTTGACCCCTGTGGGTTTTGCCAGGACGGCACTCCCTGCATTTGCGCCGAGATGGCCGCCCAGGAGGATGAGCATCGACAGCGAGAGAATTTTGAGAACAACCGACTTGCGCCGATCCAAAATTTATCGCAGTTCACCCCACCGCCATCAGACGGTGATGTCCGGTCCGAAGTGACTTTGCCTTCTATCAGTGAGGCTACCAATCCCTGCGCCAACGGACCGGGTACCTGTGCCCAGTGTGTGGCGGATCCGCGTAGCACGCTCTTCTGCAAGACCCTGGCTGCATCGCGGGCAGGTGGTAGCGCCCCTCGCGGTGGGGGTGGATGTTGCGGTGGCAAAGGCGCAGACGGTGGATGCTGTGGTGGTGGTGGTGGTGGTGGTGCACGCAAAAAGCCTGCCCCTGCCCCTAAGCCAACATTGAATCCCAGAGACTCGCCATCTTTGACCCTTTCCTGCGCCGACGCTTTCACAACCCTCTCGCGACACCCCAAATTCTCGCGCGCTAGCGACGAGCTCTCCTCCTGGCTGCCCAAGCTTCACATGCTCCCGAATCCCCGGGATCTGGAACTGGCAGACAAATCTAATGCTCGGGCTGCGATGGAAGTCGAAGCCGCGAGTGTGATGGGCGTGCTGCGGTACTTTGACCGACGGTTCGCTGATAAATAAGTCTCGACATGACTCCTTTCTTTCATCTTTTGATTTCCTTATGTTTTGTGATACCCGTTCCTGACTCTCACCGAGTTTGTACTATTAAATTTACTTTCATGTGGAGGAGGGACATGTTTGTTGTCTGTCTTATAGACAGTCTGAAGGTGATGGCCGTGGCTATGGATTGATGGATGCGAATGGGATAATACTCGTTCCAATGACTAGATGACGAACGGCGTTTTGGGTTTGTTTGATTTGAGGAGGGCAAAAGTACAAACATAACATTGGATCGTTTTTACCACATGAAAAAAAAAAAAAAAGAAAAGAAAAAAAAAAAGAAAGAAAGGCCTTGGGCTGGGAGGTTATGATTCTATGAATATTCATCTTGTTTATTTGTCTGCAAATGGGTGTCGTCTATAGACGACTTATATACAGCATGTTTCGTTCTAATATTGAAGCATTATTTCTAAATTACCTTGTTTTCCGTCATTTCTCATAGACCGTGTACAATCTCTTCATTGCTTGAGTGATAAAGGGTGGTTACTGTGCCTGCTGCCCAGTTTTGAAACAGATGGTAACCAACCTGCTGAGTAATGTACAACATTGACCAGACCATATATTCAGCGCCTATTCCTAATACTATGTAATTTAGGGGTACCGGCGTTAGGGCTAGAAGCACACTAGCTGGTCGTGGACAGTAAGAATAAAGGTCCGTGTATGCCTGGATATCACATAACATGCTTGAGCTTTCTTAAAGCTCGGCTATCTCGTGCAGGACTAGCTGGACCGAAAAAGTTCTGGGCGGGAATACTTCTGCGGCCTATATCTCGTGATAACTGTGATGAGGTTGTTGACGGCTAGTGCTCTCAGATATGCCCAGTTGTTTTTGCATATTTATAGGCAATATCAGTCCGTTCTGAGATTCCGGTAATTGAATGTTGACTGTTTAATTTGAGGAGAACAGCAGGACTTTTAGCTTCAGATGCTGGGGTGTAGTCTTGGGACGTCGGCGAGAATCCCAGGAGGCCACGGGAGAAAAGGTCCCACGATGCGGTATTCGCGTGCTATAGGGTTTCCTCAACTATCGTTCAAAGTTCATAGAATATATGGGCAGTCTTGCCCAATCTTCTGATCTCTCAAATTCTCATAAACTCCAGTTCGACTTCGGACATGTGTTAGCTTGTTTCGCCTCGAGCCCAAGAAACCGTGTCAAGGTTCTTCAAATTAGAAAGCGCTTTTTGCCCTTGGGCAAGCGAAAATTGGACAATGGCGTGACTATAACAACAATGTGCAGTTTTCATCTAATTTTGTCTCATCTCAGTATACCATATACTCATGGAGAGGGTTATCATATTATCAATGTCCACAAAAGGTAGGAGTTCCATTCTCTTTGACCCAGGATTCCATATAATACGAACATTGCCCAACCCAATCCTCAATAAATGGATGTTCCAGAATTACATGGATTTCGATGCCTAATCTGTCATTTTCATGATTGATCTATCCAACGGGAAAGGCATTCCAGCAGCTTTGCCTTTTTCCAACAACGAATCATTCATCATCACCCGCTGGCATTTTGTAGGGTATTTTCGTCGACGGGACGGAAATATATGAGAGGGAATAAAGTGGCCTGAGGACCACCAAATACCATGCTCAATAGTGTGATAGTACATTCATTGGCTGAATGAAATCAAATCATTGCATACTATGCCATTCACTGAGATATCGGAGATACCTGGACAGAGCGCTTGGTCTCTTTGCTTTTGCTGTCGGGGCCGCTATCTACACATTCCCAACTCGGATTACTGCGTGGTATATTTAGAATGTTTCTGAAGCCTGGTTGGTGTTCCTAATCAAACGCTATGGGGTGTAGTAGAATTTGCATTCATTTCCTAACCGGTCAAGCTATGCTCAAATAGCATGTAAAATCTTATCATTAAGTCAAATACGCTACTAGTACACGTTTATCTGGACAGTAATACATCATACAATCGAAACTACAGGTCATCCTTGCCCCGTAACCAGAAACAATGAACTCACAACTCAGTCAAAGCCGGCGCCCCGGGGCACGGCGGCGCAGAGTACCTGGTCGCCACGAAAACCTTCTGGATACCATTCTCCCGTTTCTCAAACTGTTGATACAGTTTTTCCACATCCTCCAGGCGTACCCGATGCGTCACCATCTTCAATGGCTCAATTTCCTTGCGTCGAACGAGATCGAGCAAATGCTCCCAGTATCGGTGGACTGGGGCTTGGCCGTTGCCGATTAATCGAATTCCGGTTTGCATTATGGCGCCGATGTTGAAGTGGTTTGTCTGGTAAATAATCAGAAGGGTATTCTTAGACAAACCCTAGGACAGTATTACTCACATATCCAGCATAAATACCTGTCACACCAATCCGTCCAAACGGTCGTAGAGCAGTGATCATCTCGTTCAACATTTCCGAAGTATCCGTCTCCATTCCCAAGAGAGTCTCGAAGTAATGAGCCCATCCCTTGGCGTATTCACCGGAAGTACAATCCAGAGCTACATCAGGCCCATGATCAACCATCTTTTTGAGTTGCGAAGTAACCGACTCGCCTTTCGGCAATTTCGTAAAATCAAGAAGCTCAACACGAGGAATCTTGGACTTGACCAAATCCAGTCTCCAGGATGCGTCTCCTCCATCGATGAGGATTACTCTGCTGGCGCCATGGTAGAAGCTGAATTCAACGACCATTTGGCCAATTGGTCCTGCGCCCCAGACGGCGACGACATCGTCTTTGTTGATGCCTGTGTCGACGACACAGTGCCATGATGTTGACAGCACATCTGATAGGTAGAGACCTCTCTCGTCAGGGACATCATCCGGGAGCCCGAGTAGGTTCATGTCCGCATGTGGCACGCGGACAAACTCTGCTTGGCCTCCAGCGAAACCGCCAGTGAAGTGGCTGTATCCGAAGAATCCTGAAACCATCAGCTTTGATTCTCTGCTGTTAAATGTTTTTTTTTTTTTTTTCATCACGTACCTGACGTTCTCTTTCCATACATCACATTCTCGATAGTATTCGCATTGGTCCGGTCACACTGCGATGTCAATTTCTTCTTGCAATTGAAGCATTCGCCACAAGCGATAGGAAATGACGCAACAACACGCTCGCCTGTTTTGAAGTTCTTCACACCTGGTCCTGCGCTTTCGACAACACCGCAGAACTCATGGCCCAGGACGTCGCCTCTCTGCATTTGAGGGATGACACCTACATCCGGTCAGTACGAGACATAGCGTATGAGGGGAATGGTACATACCATGATACAAGTGGAGGTCGCTCCCACAGATAGTACTCCCCGTTATCTTGATAATAACATCGTCTTGGTCTATAACCCTGGGTTTGGGCATCTCAACTGCTAATGTCAATTCATAACCCCGAAAATAACCTCAAGTGCACCGTACCGATCTGCACACTCTTCTTTCCAGTCCATATCGTCGCTTTGATCTTCTCGTCTGTCTCTCGCCCGGCTTCATTCTGGGAATAGTTGGTTATATCGGTAGTAATGTCCGCGTTGTCTCCATGACCGACGATGCGTTCCGCGACATTCGCAGCTTGTGTTGTTGCCATTTTCAGTACCGGAGTCTGCTTGCTTGCTCAAATACTAATTGTGTCTATTTGTCTAGATTGAAGTCGAGATATCCCGGCCTTTAATGGAATTCATTGTACGGACCGTTTTCCGTGGGTGTGACATCACAATGAAGTCGGCAACAACAGGATGTTAAACCAGATCTTTTACAGCCAATCTTGATGAATGAATAGTGTTAATTGATCCACGGGAAACCGCCAATAATCCTGAGGATCTGGGACACTGTCAGTTGTTTGTCTACGGTTATGTTCATGCCTGAGGCCACGACATATTGGCAACAGCCTTTTGATTCCCTCGAGGTCCTCGCGAGAAGTTCAAGAAAAGGAAATAAAATGACAATTCAAGAACGACTGGTATGCTGTTTTACGACATATGGAGTGTATTAGCACGGACAGAAACGTCCTAATCTGCATCTCAATAACGCATCGCAGGGCGAATTTTTTGACGCCTTGGCATGAGACACACGCCATATCAAATCCACCACAACCACTTATCTGCTCTTTTGAATACGGTATCTGCCGCCTGTCAAACCACCCCTCCTAAATTTCTGACATTGCATGTTTTACGCGCCAGGTCCCGATAATGCGGCCTCTTAAGCGCCTACTGCGGTGCGTCCATGCCAAAGAGAAACATCAAGAATCCACTGCAGGTGGGTGCTATTTCTGCCCCTCCCCCCCATACCAATTGGAAACCTTTATAAATGCCGGCAGGATCATGCTTAGCATGTGTGTGGTTGATAGAGCACTTTCCTTTGTATCATCCTGCTCCCTTCTCCAGCTGGTTCTGTTGATTCTCTATGCTCCCTCTGTCTTCAGCACATATGTTCGGTCATTTCTTTGATCTGCTTTTTTCCTTTGTTACTTATTCGTACTTGCATGCTTTTGGAATAGTCATGAAAGTTGAGCTTGCTTGACGTTCCCCGTTCTGTCACTCTTTATTAACCTATTTTTCATACTTCCTGCGCTGGCCGTTACTACCTCTTCATTATGATTTTCACATATTTACTTCTTATACTTCTTACAGCATCAGTCGCCATGACTCAATCTGAACCTCGAAGTGTCTTCGCCCATTTTATTGTAAGTAGATCCCTCCTTCCACCCTGAAAACAAGACTGACCAATGCAGGTCGGAAATGCTGTAGCAATGACTCCGGAGCAATGGGAGTTCGACATCATAGAAGCCCAAAAAGCCCACATAGATGGCTTCGCATTGAATATCGGTCCCCAAGATAGCTATATGGATGATGTTGTTTATAAAGCATTTGCAACTGCAGAAAAGCTGGGCAACTTTTCACTCTTTCTCTCCTTTGACTATGGGACTGCCGGGCCCTGGCCGGTAGATCGAGTCATTAACATGATCAATCGGTATAAACACAGTCCTGCCCATTACTACTATAAAGGGAAGCCTTTGGTGTCGACATTTGAAGGCACAGAGAGTGTCGACGACTGGCCGCGCATCAAGAATGCCACCGGTTGCACATTCGTTCCCACATGGACTAGCCTTGGTCCGTCTGGTATCATCAACGCTTTTCACGTCGTTGATGGCGCCTTTAGCTGGGATGCTTGGCCTGTTGGGGCAGATGATAAAAATACTACAAGCGATGAAGCGTGGGTAAAAGCGCTTGCTGGCAAACCTTACATGATGCCTGTTTCTCCGTGGTTCTATACCAATCTTCCCCAGTGGCAGAAAAACTGGCTATGGCGTGGTGATGATCTGTGGCACTATCGCTGGCAGCAGATTATGGAGATGCAGCCTGCTTTTGTTCAGGTCGGTTGCCTTCAAGGATACTACATGTCGGATGAACTGACTTTCGCAGATTATTAGCTGGAATGATTATGGAGAAACGCACTATATTGGGCCGATTTATGAACCTGGAATTCCCGAAGGTGCAGCACACTACGTTTCAAACCACTCTCATGATGCGTGGAGAGAGCTGCTGCCGCATTATATTGATGCGTATAAGACACGGAATGGAACCAACACCACGACCACGCATCGAATGGCCGGAACCAATGTCCACGGCCATAAATACCCTGTCTCTTACGCAGAGAAGATCAGTTACTGGTATCGGAAAAACCCGAGCACTTCCGGCAGCTCAAGCGGCACAACTGGCAACAATCCAGCCATGGGCCAGATGGAGCTGAATCCAGGCCAAGTCTCGCAGGACCGCGTCTTTGTCACCGTGCTGGTGACCACCCCGTGTACTGTTGAGGTCCAGATCGGAGATCATACGCCGACCGTGCTTCGTGCATGCACAGTGGGCATTAATCATTTTTCGGTGCCCTTTGATGGACAGACAGGGCCCGTGAAGATGGCCATCATGCGGGACGGACACGAGATCGTCGCGACGACCGGTCCTGCGATCACGGAACAATGCGTCGACGGGAAGATCAACTGGAATGCGGTTGTTGGTTCAAGTAACGGAACGGATACGACCTGAGCATAACTTTATACTGTGCATATGTATATAGTATCCTTATCTTCGTGGCTGACTGTGTTGTTCAGTGGAGTATGCAAATGACGTCGTTGATCGCCGAAATGGCATTCTCCAGCTTCATTCCATCAGTCAGCAATGATGCAAACGCACAATACACACCGATTCAATGAATGAGCTGTCTCATAGCGTATAAACAGTGACTATGCAGAATGTACTTTTACCCGTACGGTACCTGGAGTGAGGCGACCATACATAGTAAACTGCCGAACCAGTTCCTGTTTATCTATGCGACACGCTAACCTGATCGGGATGTCAACTTCCCCAGCCCCGTCAGGTGACTCCTCTTTGCATTTCGCTCTTTCCTGCTCTTGTTGTCCTCTTTATTTCCCTCATTCCTTCTTCTCTAACTTCTTCCTATTCATCCCATCGCATACCTCCTAGAATCACTCTCGCATGATGGCCAGAAAGACCTTTGCTACCCCCCAACACTCCAACATGGCTTACCGCTCAGCCGCTCCTTCAACCGCCGACACTGGCTCTATCAAGCCAGAAGACTTCTCCCAGCCGTACTGCGATTTCATGGCTGATAACCCAACCATCTTTCACGCCGTCAACGCCTTTGCCAAACAACTCGAGCAACACGGCTACGAACAACTCCCCGAGCGCGACGTCTGGACAGGCAAGCTGAAGCGTGGAGGAAAGTACTATGTCACGCGCAACAGCAGCTCTCTCATCGCATTCGCAATCGGCAGCGAATACCAGAGCGGAAATGGTCATGCCATCGTGGCTGGTCACGTGGACGCTCTTACGGCTAAGTTGAAGCCTGTCTCCAAGCTACCCAACAAGGCTGGTTACCAACAGTTGGCTGTGGCTCCGTATGCTGGTGGTCTCGGAAAGACCTGGTGGGATCGCGATCTGTCGATAGGTGGTCGAGTGTTGGTGCGTGATGAGAAGACGGGTAAAGTGGAGAGTAAGCTGGTTAAGCTTGGTTGGCCAATTGCCCGCATTCCGACGCTGGCGGAGCATTTCGGGGCTCCTTCGCAGGGGCCTTTCAACAAAGAGACACAGATGGTTCCTATTATTGGAATTGATAACTCTGACCTTTTCGAAGAGCAGAAGGATGCTCCGGCTAGTGGAATCAAAGCTGGGACCTTTGCCGCTTCTCAATCCCCGAAGCTGGCCACGGTCATCTCGAAGGAGCTTGCTGTTGATCCCAATCATATTTTGAACTGGGAATTGGAGCTGTATGACAGTCAGCGTGCTCAGCTTGGTGGATTGGACAAGGACTTGATCTTTGCTGGTCGTATCGATGACAAGCTTTGCTGCTATGCCGCTCAAGAGGCCCTCCTTGCCTCCCCCGACAGTGCATCTCCTGGCGTTGTGAAGATTGTCGGCATGTTCGATGACGAAGAGATTGGTAGCTTGCTACGCCAGGGTGCCAGATCGAACCTTTTGAGCAGCGTCATGGAACGGATTACGGAAGCATTCGCAACCAACTATGGTCCCAACGTACTGGCCCAGACCGTTGCGAACAGCTTCCTCGTTTCATCGGATGTCTGTCATGCCGTCAACCCGAACTTCCTTGGTGTCTATCTGGAGAACCACGCTCCTCGCCTGAATGTCGGTGTGGCCGTCTCTACTGACTCCAATGGCCACATGACCACGGACAGTGTTAGCCATGCTTTGTTGAGCCGTGTTGCCCAACGTTCTGGTTCGACCTTGCAGCTGTTCCAGATCCGTAACGACTCACGAAGTGGCGGTACCATTGGACCTATGACTAGCGCACGTATTGGAATGAGATCTATCGACGCGGGTATTCCGCAGTTGAGCATGCACAGCATCCGTGCAACGACTGGGAGCCTGGACCCTGGTCTGGGAGTGAAACTCTTCAAGGGATTCTTTGACTATTATGAGGAGGTGGACAAGGAGTTTGCTAACTTTTGAGCATTTATCGGCAAGGCATGAGTTATGATTATACTGGTTGAATGAGTTTGTTCATTCCGTTTGTTTATTATTAGATCATTATAAGTGCTTGAAAGGTTCCAAATTCAAGGTTGATAAATTATACATGATCATATAGTGCAAAATTGAAATAATACATGACAATGAAAGCCAAAACGTGAAAAGTCGTTATCATGACAGTGCCCAACCTTACTTCCCCGGGGAAGACGACGACGATGATGATAAAGACCCCATGGTCGCCTCGGACTTCACAAGAGCCTCCTTATGGTCCTGCACCGACATATACCTCTCGAGATCAGCTCCGTTTCCACCCTGAGGCATATGCCCCCGAACCATTGCAAGCACCTTCTCTGCCTCTTGGGTAGCCTCATCTCCTCCATTCCCGTACTCCGCATCGTGTGTTGGGACCTGTCCGCGAGACAACCGAGCAGTATCAGTGCTACTAAGTGTCGAGAGCAGACGAGGCATCATGCGAGAGACCAGCGGACGCAGGGTCGGAAGACAGGCGCAGATAATCCCAACGTTGCATTCGACAGCGGACCAGGAGGCTGCAGCGACGTTGTCGTCTGTTTTCGTTGTTAGTTAGGGCTCGGCTTAGTCTGTTTGGGGGACCTTTGGGGCATGACGGCGAACTTACAGGTTGGATCAGAGGAGTCGGCAATTGTCTTGAGTGCGACGAGGCGGCAAATGCTTGTTACGCAGACACTTGTGCTTGTTAGCTTGAACCTCCTTTAGACATTAGATAGGGCCAGGGAAAAGGCAACATACAATCCACCCAGCGCAAAAATCGCAATAAGCGCCCCCTTCTGCCTCCTTGGCAACTCCAACGCCACCAACGCCGGCACTGGAACCACCAGAATCGCAAGATCAGTAGCAATATGCATCCCCGCATTCGAAAACCACAACCCCTTCTGACTCAAACAATACCCCTCAACCGTCGGATCCCAGAACTTTGCCACGGGAATACAATTCAGAAATGCGCTAAGCACACACCACGTCCCGTATGTGGCGAGAAGCGCGATCATGGTCCAGGAGATGTGTCGCATGCGCCGGGTGGGGAAGACGCGGTGGTATTGCATTAGGATGGTGGCTTTTGCGGTGAGAACGGCGGCATTGTAGAAAGGGATTGTGGCCCAGAAGGCTTTCATTTGCGTTGTTAGGATTGCGGGTGGGATTTGGGTTATGGGCATGCCCATGCCATTTAGGGATTCGAGGATGAAGAGGGCCATGAAAATGAAGGAGTTTACCTAGCGTTCTCGTTAATATTTAATATTATCTGGGATATGGATGGGGAGGTGTACCAAAGCAACCAAAATCATCCAGTCGTTCGCTTCGATGCGCTTCATTATCCAGATACGGGTGTAGAGACGTGCTATGACGAAGCTTGTTGCTAGCCCGGTGAAGATTATGCTGACAGCCATGGCTTGAGTGCCACGATGGGTCATGTATGGATGGGAGGCTGTCATGTTGACCTGATTCCGGTAGCTTCAGATATAATGATGGTGAGAGTTTTGGTCTGTATAGCGGATGTGCATTCCTTGGATCCTGATTGAAAAGATCCCGGTGATAGTTATACTATTTTCTCACGGGGTGTCGCCATAGGGCTCAGAAGGAACAAGACCCAGTCGGTGAAGGGCATGATGCCCTAGAGAAACTAGAAGGATGTCTCATTCGCCTCGATCGTCCCCCGTTACATGTGGTTGAATGGACAAAGTCAAGGAAGTAGCCTGAGGAGAAGAGTCAGAGCAAAGGGGTCTATGACAGGAACGAGCTCTTTAGTATTTCACGATGGGATAGTCGCCCTGGGACAGAGCTTGTTTCGCGTAAAGGGAAGAGATTAGATTCATTCTCAATTTCTCAATTGATCCAGGACTGATTTTGGCTTGTCTCACCCCATGGCAGTGGTCAATTGAAGACAGGAAAGGGGCAGTGCACTACTTGGATAAGGTGAAGGGTTATTCATTCTAAGATGGGATACATAGAGCTATCCTTCGATAGTCAGACCTCGTACACACTGTATAATGCCGAGACATGATGCAGTACGCATGGTCAGAATGCTCACCGACAGACCAATTGAATGTAATTGCCAGAGTCTCTCATACAGAGTACTATTCTATAATCTCCATGACTCGTGACCGTGGTAGAATGCACGTCCACACATTCGGATGGATGCTTGTGTAGGGTAATCCTGAAAAAGGGATGAAGTAACCGACAAATCACAATCAGGTATTACTATGCCAATGCTTCAGAGCCGTTGATGTACCGTTGAAAGGGGTGTATAGCCTTGTTTCCCTGAATGCCTCCGCATAAAACCTGAAAGGGATGCAAGGACGGAGGTGTTATCCCTTGCCCTAATTGAGAGGGGAGTTCCCTATTTCCTGTGCAACTGGGGTAATAGAGAGAGATTCAGTTCTGGGACTTGAGTTTAAGCATAGTAACCATACAGTATTAGCGGTGTGTACGGAGTAGGAACTCAGTGGTTGCGGTGGTCAGGATTCGAGGTACAGATACCAGTATGCAAGGGAGTCTTGTCCAGCATGCATTCAATTGCATCATTGTCATGTCCTAATTATTCCTCACTTCCTCTTATCTGTAATGGGGATTGAGTTGCTGCTGTCGGATTTGGTGAAGTCATACCGAGGATTATGGCCGCATATTAGCTTCCAAAAACAACTTAACCTATCAAAATAAGAGATTACTCTTACATTGAAAAGCAGCTGCTATTACTCGTTACCGAGACGCGGAACGGTCCGCCGGGAGCAGCATTCTTCGGCATTCTTGTCCGCATGCAGTAGTTGCAATCGTAAACCGACTTCCTTTCTCTGCATAACGTTGCTATCCCCAAAACATGGGAGGTAACGCTGCCAAAATCAATCTAGTTGACATTGAATAGCAATCCTCTATGGTTGCATTTCCGTGATCTGGGGTTGACTTATTGATACGTTGAATAGATGCCTGCCTGCCATATCCCTCACTGTTTACGTAGCATGCTTGCCGGGATCAGAAGGTAGACTGCAAAATGAAGTGGCTGAGCTGATCCTCTCTGAGCTATCAACGTAGTGGCAATGTCAATACCCTTGTTTGGTAATTTCGTCTACGGAAATGGTAGCATTCCCGATGATTATCATCTAAGACATGGCTCTGCATTGCAACCAACATCAGAGGTCAATTAATCATCAATGAGCTATCAGTTATAAGAACCGCAAGTCTCGACCATGAAGAGAGAACTAAATCGATATCCAAAACTTTTTACTACAACCCGAACATTCAGAAAACAACAACTGAATCTGATAGTCCAAAATGGCGACAATCAACACCAATGGCCGGCAGCCAGGTATGCTCATGAAGACAATTTTTTTTTTTTTTTGGATTTTCCATACTTACTAGGTATTCTAGACGTCCCGGTGCATTCTGAGTATCATAAGTCGGCGTTTACCTTGCCAAATGGTTTGTTAAGCCTGGAACATTTTCAATCTACCATACTGACGACTTCCTTAGGATGTCCGGTCGACAATCCTTTCCACTCGGAAAAAGTCCAGCAGAAAGATGGAAACACCTACAAGATGTCGCAGCTTCTGCAGGATACCTACAATATGGACCAGCTAGCCCATCTTAGCCGTGAGCGTATCCCTGAAAGGTGAGCGCGACTCTACCCAAATGGAAGCGGATGCTAAATAGAAATCTAGATTTGGTCATGCCAAAGGATGCGGCGCTTATGGAGAATTCACCGTGACGAGCGATGAAATCCAGAAGTATACCTGCGCCGACTTTCTCTCTGCGAAGGGCAAGAAAACTCCGCTGTTCTCTCGTTTGTCCACCACGTCTGCATTCCGAGGCTCGGCGGATACTGTACGTGATACCAGAGGATTTGCGTTCAAGCTTTACACGGAAGAGGGAAACCTGGATTGGGTCTTTTTCTGGCCGGTATGTGAAATGGACAAGTGACTATTCTGTTAGATAAGTCGATTGATTGAAACCAGGGCGTCTTTTCCATCTGGGATGTTGGGAAGATCATCTCCAACAACCATGCGACCAAAAAGTGCCCTGCCACAGGCATGGCAGATCCCAACATGCACTTTGATTTCATCACGAAAAACCGCGAGGCACTCAATTCCTCGATTAGGCTCCACAGTGATGACGGAACCCCAAGAAGATATAATGATATCACCATTGGGAGTCTGAATACATACACTTTTGTCAAAGACGTATGTGATTGAATCGCAACGCCGGCTATTTGGTTTTGACTGACATACTATCCACCAGGAGGACAACTATTCCTATGTCCGAATCACCTTGGTGCCCGCTCACGAGGTCCACACTCCATTCACCAACGCCGAGGCTGCTGCTCAGGCTGGTGTGGACCCAGATTATCACATTCGCAGGTTGTATAAGCAAATCTCAAAGAACACCGACAAAGAAGCTGGATATAGGTCGGAGATACACAAATTAACCGAACAGCTTCAGAAAGGCAACCTTCCAGAGGATGAACAAAAGAAACTCTGGGAGAAGATTCAGGAAAATGAACAAAACATCGAGAAGCTGGTTTGGCCAGAATGGAAAGTGGTAGCCCAAATCATCCAACCAGAGGATGTGAAGGATGTCAAAGTCAACATCTTGGACGCCAGCAAAGTCTTTCCCAAAGACCAAGATGATATCATCAAAACGATTGAGTTTGGCAGGCTAAGGCTCAATCGCATCCCGCGCAACCAATTCGCGGAGGTTGAGCAGGCGGCATTCTGTGCGGCCAACATCGTTCCAGGATGGGATATTACCCCGGATCCAAGTGCGTGACTTCCCCTCCCCCCGTTCGTTTCCTGATGATCCATAGTCTGACCTATGAATAATGAGTAGTGCTCCAAGCACGTATCTTTGCCTACCCTGACACTCAGCGTCACCGACTGGGTGTCAATGCTGAGCACTTGCCAGTCAATCGCCCCAAGAGGGTGTGGAACCCTCTCAGACGGGACGGTCCGAATTCGCTCTTCAACTATGAAGACGTTCCCACCTACGTGGCGGACTACGAGCAGACACAGGCTCTTGAGGGTACGAGGACCGCCTCGAGTTTCGCCAACCCGGAGCCGTGGACAAAGAAGCCGAAGTCGAGGGTGCCACGTTGGGACACAGGCATTGACGTGACGAGAGGATTGAACGAGTGGGCAGAACAGCCTCCTCTAGAACAACCGCGGGACTACTACTTCAATGAGCTCGCTGGTCCTCCACCAGAGAAGCATTGCAACGAACAGTATAAAGCAATAGCGAAAGAGAAGGGAATCCATTACCGGCAGTGGGCGTTGGTCGAAAACTACGCCCAGCACCTCCACGGAGTCAGATGCGATATCCGAATTAGAACATATGGTAAGTTCCACAACATGAGGACGATGCGGAGCATTGCTAACAAAACGGAAGAAATGTTCTTCGAGATGGATAACGTCAACTGGGAAGGCAAATGGCCAACTAAGAAGAACTTGGGCAATCTGATTCGAGAGCGCACCATCGAACTCATCACTGCCGATAAGCAAGCCGTTGATAGTGACGACGAGGATGAGGAAGGCCACCCAAGATATGCCAACGTTCCGTCGCTTCAAGTGTCTCGGGCTCTGGGGACTGCGACTGATCCTTACCCGACTGTTTCTGTTCAGGCCTCCCACAAGCTTCCTGATCACGACTTGCGCTTCTTGCCAAACTGAAGGACATCGACCCTGTCTTTTTCCTGTTCTGTTTTTCTCCTAATATTGTGTGACCATGGACTAAAATAGTCTCTTAATACTCGTTTAATAAATTGAATTTGTTGTCTGCTCTATGAATTCACCGCACCAATATTTCATATGTCCCTTAGTGTTGATGTCTTGAATAGTTTTAATTGACCAGGTTGATCTCTTATATGGTAATGGTTGGATAAAGAAGATCACAAAATCACTATTCTCGATGAATAACTTGTTATGAGGTAGATGTGTTAACCATGTAAAATTAATGTATCATATAACTAGTAGATCAGCGATAAGATAACGATAACGCACAGACCAATTGGGAAAAAGTTGAAATCCAAATCCTCAAGGTTGCACTCGCTTCGCCTTCAACCCCATTCGCTTTTTCTTTCTTTATCATTTATCATCTACTGTCATACTAAACAATATGACAGAGGCGATGAGCCCAACGACCCCTCCCAAGCCTGTCCACACCATCGTCCTCGATGCGGGTCCCATCCTCAAGAATACCCCGCCGCTTTCCACCCTCCTCGCACAGTGCGAAGAACTCATCACCACCCCGGCCGTTGTCCGTGAGATCCGCGATCCCGATGCTAGAGCGCGTGTCGAAACTCTCTACCTCCCGTTCCTGAAGCAGCGATCGCCGAATCCGAAGAGCGTGGCTGTCCTGAGCGAATTCGCCCGGAAGACCGGTGACCGCTCGGTTTTGAGTAAGACCGATATCGAAGTGTTGGCGCTTGCGTATGAGCTTGAGTGTGAGAGAAATGGTGGCGATTGGCGGTTACGCAGTACGCCGGGGCAGAAGCAGGTTAACGGAAAGCCTCCGGTGAAGGAGGAAGAGAAGAAGGATGAGAAGGAAGGAGAAGAGCAGAAAGCTAATGAAAAGCCTGAGAACGCGGGGGTTGACGCCGTCGCCGAGGGCATGGGGGTGATAACTTTGGAGAATGAAACAGCACGGCCGGAGCAAGAGTCAACTCCTGCTACAACAGAAACCGCAGAGGAACCTGAAGCGGAGGACCCAGACGCTCAAGATGGTGAGGAGTCGGATGGAGGAGATTGGATTACTCCCTCAAACTTAAAGAAGCGACAGATTCGTGATGAGTCGGCCGGAACTTCTACTGTACCTGAGCCGAAGGTTATGCAGGTCGCAACCATGACCACTGACTTTGCAGTATGTTCATCCAAACCGTGATTATCCATACTGAACTGAGTATTAACATGGCGCAGTGCCAAAACGTTCTTCTTACAATGAATCTGAACCTGCTCTCAACCACCACCCTTCAGAGAATCCGCCACCTCAAGTCCTTCATCAAGCGCTGCCACGGATGCTTCCTCACCACCAAAGACATGAACAAGCAATTCTGCCCTCGCTGCGGCAAGGACACACTCACGCGTGTCTCCTGCACCACGAACTCCAACGGCCAGTTTACAATGCACCTCAAAAAGAACATGACATGGAACACTCGCGGCAACCGCTACAGCATCCCCAAGCCCGTTGCCGGTAGCTCCAACGGAAAATGGAAAGGCGGCGGTGGCAAAGGCGGATGGGGAACCGAGCTTGTTCTCGCTGAAGACCAGAAGGAATATATGCGAGCCTCAGCCGAGCAGGCTCGTAGACAACGAAAGGAGCGGGACCTCATGGATGAGGACTATCTGCCTGGTATTCTGACGGGCGAGCGAAACAAGCAGGGTGGCCGTCTCAAGGTGGGCGCTGGCCGGAATATCAACTCGAGGAAGCGGTAAGCGCTTTATCTCTTCTCTTTCGTATATGTCTCTATGTTGCATGAATTTGGATCGGAGTTTGGGTCAAAAAAGTTTACTCTTCTCCCGTTGTTCTTCGGTTTGCAGGGGTATAAACTGCAATGAATGGATGGTTTTCAAACGCAAATAGCTCAATCAACATTGAACTAGATAAATATCAATTTACGTACATGATGAACCAGATCAATACTTTGTACACCATCCCTTTGCCTTGTGAATAGTCTTTATATTCTACAGAGGCATGGGGAGGATAAGGCTATCAATTATGCTCTGGGGTAAGCAGCCACCAAAGCCTCTTTGCAATCCTATCAACCGGGGTATTCCACCGGCGCTTAAACAGTCATATGCTCAACATCTGATTGTCTCATATGTCGGACGACCGTAAACATGGCTTACCTTGCTCTACAAACCAAAATGACGGAACAGCAGCATATTGAACAGTCACCTTCTTCGCGCTCTACCGAGGATGATGGAAAGGCGGAGTTGTTCTCTATGTTTCTCTCGACACTCTACACAGAGCAGTTGTCCCTGCTTGCAAGCGCCATTCTACAACGCTTCCAACTACTATATCAAACCACCAATGCGAAATTATCGGTCGACAAGCCTCTGTATGGATCTTACTACGTACTCTTCCCGTTGAATTTTGATGACATCGGCCTTCGCTGGTTCGCAAAAACCCCCATTAACGACACGGCAAGCAAATGGGATGAGCTGTCTGCCTCAGCCCTGATTTCTGAGGCGAACACAATGCGCCTATTAAAGCGCGAGACTACCATCCCCCTTCCTGACGGTTTGGACTTCTCGACCACACAAAACACTCTCCGATGCCCTTACATTACTATGGCTTTTATTTACGGAGTCTCTCTGAACGACGCCAGCCTCGAAACCACCCATTTACGCCGAATTCACGCCCTCGAAAGGCACCGCCTTGGCAATGGTGCAGCTGGACAGGTTCTCATTTCGAACCGGTAGCCGTCTTCTATTTGATAGCGATGGCAGCCCATCTCATATCGGGCTTATGCGACAAGTTGATTACAAAGCTATGTTAAACCGATGGTTCGTCCATAACGACCCAGACGATGACCCCATATCCATCGAGTGTGCGCCATCCAGCGACCCCAAAGCATACTACACTCTCATGCCCGACAAACACTTCGAACAGAACCAGATCTCCAAGGATCTCGAGATGCTCTTGCGCCAGCTGACTAGCTGGATCCCTGAGCCTGAGCCCGGTTAAATGGAACCCTTCGTCCTTACACATCCGAAATTTGGAACCCAGAACTTCATCGTACCTGAAGAGGGCGAGTTCCGAGGCGTCATCGATTGGGAATGGGTTTCTGCTGCGCCTCGCTCTCTTGGTAATGAGAGTCATCCCGGGTAGCTCACGTGTGGCTGGGGCCCGGCTATGTATGGATATCAGGAGTTTATGGAAAATGGGGTAAGACCAGAAGGTGTGTGTGGGAAAACTTGCTCGAATCCCTCGCCTACTACCGTGGCATCTATGATGGCGTAATGGCGAAGCATCGTATGGAGAGGAGAGGAGGGTCTGAAGAAAACTTCTGTCGAATGTCCCTTATAACGGAAAGCCTAGCTATCGCGACGGATGCCCCTCAGTGCCGAAATCGGATTATGCACAATAAGGTGCACGAAAATGGGCTGTAGCGAGACGAGGCGAACTTGATTTCACGGACCTAGTCGACATGTTTGCCGTGGGCAGCTTGGATGATATGGTGATGGATACGCTCCATAGGGGCTTTAACATCCTTTTGTCGAATGAAGGGTTATAGGGTGCGTTTGATTAACATCAAGCCCGATATAGGACCACAGCATTCAATGAATGTTGTCCTTTTCCTGTTCATTTTGATGCTCGAAAATGAGCTCACATGATATCGCAAGCTTATTGCACATAAAAGGGATAAGTTGTGGTTGGCCAGTCATGGAGCCCTGACTGCCTTTTTAGTTTCTCTGTTGAGAAAGGTCGTATAATCGTGCCGACAGCGGTAACTACAGGCATAAAACATTCATAGGAACGAATCGTTAGGATATTGAAATGATGACCATGCCAGGTATCTCTATCTCTGCACGCGATATATCCCAAAGTCGGAAATAGAGGAATCCAAACAAGCTTTTCAACAGCTAGAAACCAGACATAACACCATGCGCCAGATATAAATCTTCAAAACCCTTTTCGTATACCCAAATCACTGGAGACGCCTGCAAAGTTCGCCATTTACAGCTGGGAAGCTTCCCTCTCTATTTAACGTGTTAGTATTCGAGATGCGTCGAGATCGTGTATGAGGGTGCCGTACCAGGCTGCTGGGTCAAGAGCAGACCATATCTCTTCTTGAGGGTGACACGGTGTCTATACAGGAATAGACATTAGCCTTTTTCTCAATTGCAATATATTTCCTTTATTGCCTGCAGACAGGACATACCTCGAGTACTTGTCGTCGGGGGAGAAACGAGCCGGGTGGGCAGACTTGGTGACCTCGCCGTTCAGGACCTTCTTGAGGGTGTACACCCGCTTGCCCTCGTTGTCCAAAGTGTACTGTTTGGCATATTAGCTTGGGTTCTGTCGTCGTGTGGATTTTTGCGCTGGTAGGATTTGCTTCATCTTCGTCGCATTGGATCACATACCATAAGATGCATCCTAGGAATAAACCAATTAGTCGGAATCCTTCACCACAAGTAAATGAGAAGAAACTCACTTGAAGTATTGTTTTAAGAGATATTGAATACTTGAACAAAATAGACCTGTCTGCACTGCGAACTCCAGCGGAGGAATTTTTTGCGGCCAGCTCGGGCGGCTCCGAAGAGCATACAGTCATGTGACATACTGCTTCTTAATCCGGATTAGTGTCCGCTCACGTGAGTTAGAGCCGACTTTTCCTTCTTCGGCTTCGGAGTTTCCTAGATTTTTTCTTCCACAACGAACTTCTTCCCAAAGAAAATGACATGAAGAAATTGGACCACGAGAGTCAATGATGAGAATTCAGTGTTGGCTTTCAAGATAGTTCTGATGCGAACTGCATATTAACCATACAGCAATTGTATTCGAGACTTAGTTCTCTCATTTTGTCGTCGCCTCTGGTAAGCATGAAGTTGCTTGGATTCATCCCCAGAGAACAACGCATGCTTCTGTCTCCTGTGATGATGATTATACCTATGCTTAGGCAATGGCACTTTGATTTCTAGCCATTGTCGATGATTGCTTGTATTTGACTACAACGGTATCTGAGGAGCACATTTGCATAGCATGTGGTATAGACGGGAAAAGAGGGTCTTGCTGACTCGTTACCTTTTGTAGAATACATACAATACTCTCCCGAAATAAATAGATTATGTTCTGTTAGCCATGGCCTCCCATCCTACTTCAACACCTAGTCCTGCCCCCGAGGTAGCAGAAGCTGCTTCTAAAAACAAGCCGACGCAAGACAATGTGTGCCCTGCTCCTGTTCGCCGTCCTCGACCTCAGAGGCCTAATTATAGACACATCCATCGCTTCCCTCTCCCCCTTGCCGTTCATCCGTTGCCTCCTTTGATTCCACATAATCCTCTCTCCATTATCAGTGTCGTGCTTTCATACTTGACCTACTTGATTTCCCCGCCGCACCAGGAGCTCTACTCTGCCTATTTTGACTCGAATACGTCGTCCGTGCATATTACGGATGACAAGACAATCAGAGCGCTATGGGAGATGGGCTTCTTTGGCAAGGGCTCGCTGAGTCGGAGTGAACCCAGTTGGTTAGAGCGGGAAAAGAAGAGAAGGGGTCAGTTCGGTGGGAAGACTAGTGAGGATGTCACGCGGGAGAGAAGAACGGAACGGCGTGAGCTGAAACTCGAGAGAGCGCGCATGGAGAAGCTTGTCATTGAGCAGCGACTTCAGGCAGAGGCTGCCGCCAATGAAAACGGTAATGCATCGCCTGACTTGGAGGCAGACAGTACTAGTAATGGGACTGCCACTACTGCGGAAAAATTCTCTCTCCGAAAGGCTCGTGAAGCAAGAATGCTCGGATCGCAGCAGTCAGAGGAGCAGAATTCGGTGGCTGATCCCGGGAATGCATCGTCTGGAAGGAAAGTTTCTACTCCTGGTAAAACGGTACGGTTTTCACCGGTCGTGCAAGAGAAACAGTTTATCTCTGATTCCACCGTTCTACAACTGCCCGAGTCACTCGTCGACGGACACAAGGCTGACGAGGAATCTCTATTAAAAAATGAGGAACACCTTCAGCTGTCCAACGAAGAGGCCCTCTTTCTTGCCTACGGACTTGGCGCCTTACAGGTCTATGACAGTGACCGAAAAACTACAATTCCCACATCTTCTCTACTCACATTATTCCGCCAACACTCATACTTCCCTCCCCGGAGCCCAGCCGCAAACCTGGACCCAGACGACCCTTTCCTCGTCTCCTATGCGGTGTACCATCATTACCGATCTCTTGGATGGATTGTTCGTTCTGGCGTGAAGTTTGGAGTGGAATATCTTCTTTACAACCGCGGACCAGTGTTCTCGCATGCTGAGTTCGCCCTCGTTGTTATTCCGTCGTACGACCATCCGTACTGGTCTGAAACTGAAGAGCGCAGAACGCATGCCGAAGAGAAGCAGGCGCGCAGCTGGTGGTGGCTTCACTGCGTCAACCGCGTACAGGCGCAAGTGAGGAAGAGCCTGGTAATCTGCTACGTGGAAGTGCCACCTCCGGGTGATGCTCAGGCATTAGAGAATGATATCGGGGCTTTGCTTTGTCGTTATAAAGTGCGGGATGTCACGATCAAGCGATGGGTTCCCAACCGGAGTCGGGATTAGACTTGTCTCCCTCTCTGTTACTTGACTTGTTGTACATAGCATATCTTTAGACTAGTTGGATGGCTTTGGGGTATTGGTTGCTCTTCCACTGTGTATAAATACAGCTGTCTTTATAATGAGCAACGAGTCCACTCACTGGCAGTGTTATTCTTCGGTCTATAAGATGTGTGGCACTAGTCCAAAAAAAGTAACATTACTGATCCGAGTCACGTGTCGCACGCGTTTTCGCGTTGAGGCCAGGAGAGCAACGCCGTGACATTGCGAAGGCCCCCTTCGAACTGCAAAGGGAGTCTGACCTCGGGGAAGCACTATGAATGCTTGTAATTTGTGGCTTGCAGGTTGAAGTCACGCAGCCATGGAGACCCAAGAAAGTATTGATATTCTGAAGCTGAAACGCGTCGCGCTGGGACAAGTGAGTTCGTTCGGCTATGATTGATCCATCCGCTTTTGCTATTTCTTTGTTTTTCCTGGTTGTCGGACTACTAACGCCACCCTCTTTACTGTTCTTTTGTCTGTAGGATTCACAGTCCCAGTCTGTTTTGTCGCATATTCGAAATCACCCGCAGGACCCAGTGCTGAAAAAAAACGTCCCGGAAACTCAGGCGGGTTCGCAGGAAGTTCGTCGGGCATCGCCTCCAAGTCCTTTGCACGAGCAGAATGCTACAAATGGCACAACCACGACCCCGATAAACGTAAGCCGGCTAAATAATCGATTACTGCAACGGGTTAATGGGAGTATGGGATCTGCGGAGACGCCGTCAGACACCCAGGTCGTGTCGCAGTCGGTGTTCGACCACATCATACAGCAGAACAACGATGATAATACCTTGAAGACACTGCATGAGGGTGACCCTGGTCACATTGATTTGCTTGCGGGATTTGATCATACGCAGTTGGATATCAGCAACACCAACACCAATAACACTGAGGGCAATGAGAATGAGGACCAGGGAGACGCAGATCCATCTTCCCCGTTGGAATATCAACCGAACCTCTTTCCTGAGTCTCAGCGGTTTGTCACCAAGACGCCAGCTACGGTAGTCAAACCGAGATATTTCGAGGACCGCAGCCAGAATGAATCTCCTCTTGTCTCCTTCAATCCTCTTGCATCAGCCAAGTCGACTAACGGAACCATGGCGCTGAGCCAGATGTTCGAATCCACGCAAGTTCCATCATCTCCGATAATTAATCGTCTACACTCAGACCACATGTCCGAACGGCCGTCACCAAATCTGCCCATCCAACATCATTCACTTGCTACGGGGGCGCTGTCTTCTCCGACCATGAAGTTGGCAGCCACGTTTCCTCGGCATTCGTCGGAGTTAGACATGAACTATATCACTATGAAGGAGTCGCAAACAGAGCGGGAGAAAAGGATTCAAGCTGGGAGGATGACCCGGTCGGCTGAGCATATCTACTCGGAGGACCGGAGTGGTGATGACGAGTTCAGTAAAGAGCCCAGCTTTGTTGAGAGGATGAAGCGACGGAAGATGATTGACGAATTGGCAAATGCACAATTTGCTGGCTTTACTGCTCCAGCACGGCCCACATCAAGTCGATCAAGTCGGTCGAGCAAACGAGGCTGCAAGTCAAAGTCGTCCAAAGAGCAAGAGCCACGGGATCAAACTGATGGTCTAGACGAACGGCAAGAGCCCATCCTGTTTCCCCCAAACGGCTCTATTAGTGAAGAGGAGACAGAGCAAGAGGACGATGACGACGTGTACCTGCCCATGCCCCGATCACAGGAGCTCAACATCTCAACAGAGGAAGACAAGGAGAATCACCACGGTGTGCCTGCATCGCCTCTCGCTGCAGCGACTAGTGCACATGATCGACTTTCACAAGCCTTTGCTCTGCAGGCTAGTCCATCTCCGAATAGCAAGATGGTTACCGAAAAGCCAACATTCAACCGCCACAGCCCTAACCCGGATGAACATGATGGAGTAGGGCAATCTTCGCAGGTTTACATAGTGAGGGACTCGCAGCAACCTCCGGCGCGTGGCAGTCAGGTAAACGAACCGAGACAGCCAGACAATTCACAAATCACAGAGTCACAACAGCAAGTATGCCGTTCGGACGTGGACAAGCAATTTCCTCCTCCCCCTCCTGTGTCTCAACGAAACTCGTCTCCTTTTCTTCCCAACAATCGTACTCCAGCGCGTACTCGTTCATCTTCCGCAAGCTTGGTCGAATCACCTAGCCAGCTCCCCAAAATCCCGCCAGCTACTGATCCCTTCCAGACACAATCCGTCAATCCAGCTGGTCAGCCAGTCGTGGTACGTGGCGAAAATGCTTCCAATCAAGAGAAGTCGTCATCGATGCCATCTCGTGTTGTCGAAACGCCGGTGCACCAACAATCAAAGAGCTTTACGGATGTGGTCCCAGGCACCACAGTTCCGGAAACTAGCCCAAACCGTCTACAAAACCAGGGATTGGACAGTGACATCAATGGGGATGCTGCAGCCCAAGAAGATGCTGATTTACCTCCTGTTTATCCTTCTGAGCATGGCCGTGCCGGTCAGTCACGACCACTTGCACCGTCAAGTTCATCGACAGTCACCAAGGGGTTCAACTCGAAGATTCTCTCTAGCCCTAGCGGCAGACAGCGCAGGGCACTGACGGAAATTGCCTCCGAAGCGTCTCCGGGAGGACCTACTGATCTCGATATTGACTTTGGCATCTTGACTGCAGATGATAGGGAGTTCAGATCCATGGTCGCGATGTCTCCCAATCCACCGAGAAAGAAGAGATGCAGAAATTATGGTCAGAATATATATGCTTCTGACCCTGTGTTTCCCGTTACACCTTGTCTGACTACTCCTCGGCTCGCTCCTTTCCAAGAGCAACAACCGATTCCAGAGGAGCCCCAGCCGGATATGCCGGAGGCACCGGAGACAGCCATTCGAACACGATCTAGGTCCTCCAACCGGGTGGACACGGTATGGGACGTGGACGCTTCGCCAGAGTATCATGCGTCTCGCATGGGAAGGAGGTCTTTCTTTCGTTCTCGGCTACAGCAGTCTGTCCAAGGTCAGGAATCCGAGGAGAATACGTCTGAGCCTCCAAAGGAAACGACTGAAGCTTCTATTGGCATGAATGATGAGATGGATGTCATTTTCACTCCTGCCGGAAACCCTGATCGTCCCTCAGAAACTCCTACGGCCCAGGATCCTACGGTACAAAAAGAGCCTACTCCTGTTAGGCCATCCCCGCTGAGAGGTCCTCAAATCGCCCACAACCAGGTTCTTGCCCCTTGGAGTGGCTCGAAACGGGCATACTATCCTGCGACATGTTTGGGCACACCCTTTGGAACTTCAGCATCAAAGTATCTGGTCAAGTTTGAAGACAGTCTTCCAGTTGAGGTGCCAACCACTACAGTCAAAAGACTCGAACTACGAGTTGGTGATGCGGTCAAGGTAGAAATACCCAAATTTCCGAAGATCCCACATGTCATTCGAGGTTTCGACGATCGAATGAGCGAGGAAGACTTCAGCAATGCCATTAACAGTGGCTTCATACCAATGACTGACATTTACGGTAACTTGTCTATCATTTTGGAACCGAAAGCGCGCAAGAGTATCTCGAATGAGGTCCTTTCACAGACAGAGAACGTCAAAGTCCCCATATCGCGGATCTATCTGGATACGATTTTATGGAACCAGCTTAAAGATCGGTCGTTCAGCCATGATGTAAACGCGAAGACGTTGGAAGAAAGACCCCAAACGCCAGCCTTAGCCGGCGTACCCGCCACACCAACACCCCCAAGCAGCCGGCTTTCTCGCACTATGCGGTACATAGGTGGTATCTTTGCAGGGATGGTGTTTGCAGTCTCCTACGTTGACGACGATGCGGGCAAGTCCCGCGTATCCCGGTTGATATTGGAACACGGCGGACGTATTATCAATGGTTTCAATGAGCTTTTCGAGTTTCCGTCGAACGTTCCTCTTGCAACACCAACGACACAACAATCTGCCCGTCCAGCGCAAAATAAGACCAACCTGCGTCTTACCAGGAGCGCCGAAGATCTCGGGTTCGCTTGCGTGATTGCTGACAAACACTCCCGCCGTGAAAAATACATGCAAGCCCTAGCCCTCAACCTACCATGTCTGTCTGGCCGCTGGGTCGAGGACTGCATTTCTCAGAACCGAATTTTGGATTGGGAGATGTACCTGCTTCCTGCAGGGGACTCAACGTATCTCAACGGTGCTGCTAAATCGCGAATGTTGATGCCCACTCTCGCTGTCAACGCACGCTTCTCGCATACCATCGCAGCCCGACCAAAGCTACTAGACGGACAATCTGTGCTTTTCGTCATGGGTCGCGGAAAAGAAGAAGAGAAGAGCAGAGCGTACACGTTCCTCACGTATGCCCTTGGTGCTTCGAGGGTGGAACGCGTGTATGATGTTAAGTCCGCAAAGACATTCCTAGACCAAGAGTTTGAGGCCGGCCACGACAATTACTGGGATTGGGTATACGTGCACTTCCATGACCAGGAAACCGTCAGAGCGGAATTCCTGCAATCCACGGATACAGATTCAAACTCAGGACGAGGCACGAAGAGACGCAAGATGTCTCATTTCATGGGATGCATCAGTGGTCAGGAGCTCGGGCTGAGTTCTAAGATTACTGTCGTGGGTAACGATTTTGTTTGTCAGAGTTTGATTTTGGGGAGGTTGTTTGAGGCGTAGTCCTCTCTTCCTTCCCCTTGCTACCTCTGTTGTATTTTTATGATCTGAATGTTTGGCTTAGCGATGGATTTACTCTCAGGATAATACTGGCGGATAGCTGTTTGAATCTGGATTATGTATTACTAATCATTTACAAGTTATGTACGAAAGATACCCTTTTTCACTTACACTCTGGATGTGAAACAGGGTTGGATTGCTTGTTTTACGCGGGAAATAGGACATTATACAATTTGGACTGAATTGTAGACCTCTTGCTATAATACATTTGAAAAACACCCGTGAGACCGCCATATCGCAGGTAAACATAAATAATTTAACTTAACGTAACAACATACGTATCAATCAGCGACCACCCTTGCCCTTCTTCGAGCCCTTCTTGCCTTTCAAGCTCTTCATTTGAGCAGCCCGCTCGGCCTTAGCCTGCCTCTTCCTCCATGCCATCCACCGGTTCCTGCGGTCGTATGGCTTCGCCGTGATACCAGCCTTCTCAGCAGCACGACCGATCTGCCAGTTCGCCTCACGGAACATATAACCAGGACGCAGCTGCGGGCCCGACTCGGCGTTCACAGCCTCAACATCCGCAACAATCGTGCCCTCAGGACCGGTAGAAACCATCAGATCCGACTGAGGTTTCTCCGGGGTCTCAGAAACACGCGCAACAGAAACCCTGTTCAACTTGCGCCGGCTAGGAGCATTCCGAGGGGTCGGGAGCTTCCCCTCCTTCTCGAAGCAAACACCAATGTACTTCCGGCCTGGATGTCTCTCGGGGTCAAGATAGTACCGGACATACCCAGCCTCGGTGGCGTAGATGGTGTGGTTTCTGCCGATATCACAGTTCTCGCCGGGGAACCATTTCGTCCCGCGCTGTTTGTAGATAATGCATCCCGGGACGACGTATTCGCCGCCTGAGCGCTTCGCTCCGAGACGCTTTCCGGCGGGGTCACGCGAGTGTCTGTTTGCGGCACCCTGGGCGGCGTGCGAGGCGTGGCGGGCTTGAGAGATGGGGAGGAGTTTTGAGAGCGTCGGGGAGGATAATGTGGGCGCGGAGACGGGTCGTGGGAGAAGGGATGTGGATGGGAGACGGTGGGCGGCGGGGGTTGATCGGAGGGAGAGCACGTGTGTCCTCTCCAGTGCCCGGAGGGGCGTGAGTAATCGTGATTGGAACATATTTCGAACGGCGTTTTGGATGTAGGCCCGTTGGTTAGGAAGTGAGGTTGAATGAAGCCGGGGACTTTTTTCGTTCTTGGCGGTGAGTCACGTGGTATCGCGATAAGCTGGCTTGATCGCCATTCATTTTCGATCTGTTCAGCAAAACACTTCTATTACTCTACAGGATATATATTGATTCAATGCTTCCCAATCTAGTTAAGGCCCTCTGGGCTTTTCTACTGCTGGCGTCTGTCGCTCAGGCCCAGTTCCAGTTCTTCGAGCACATGTTTGGCGGCGGAGGCGGCGGCGGCCAGCGACAGGCTCGCCAGCAAGCAGAACCTCATGATGGCCCTAGTGATCCTTCGTGGTATCAGAATGAGTGGGAAAGTGGTGAGTTTGTCCGGTTGAATCTCGGTATCCGGAGAAAGAGTGGTGGCTAACAAATGATCTTCGCGATAACAGCACGCTGCTCCAAATACCTATGCCCCGATACTCTTGCCTGCGTCCACTTCCCACACCATTGTCCGTGTCCGCACCCAGATGTTGAAGAGAAGATTGAATTGGGCGAGGGAAGTGCGGTTTGCGTTTCAAAGGGAGGATACAAGGCTGGCGAAGCGGCGCGGAAGATCGAGCTGGCTCGGAAGGGTCTTCTATAAGGTGGACAATTATTGAGGTGCATTTGGTTGTGTGTGGTATATTCATAAGAGTTTTAGTTATATCTGTCTTGAAATGAAAACATTGTCGTGGGTTGGTTTGCGTTGGTATCTGTTGGGATAGGTGTGCTTTATGCCAAAATGCACCATATTGGTAAATATAAATTGTGCATTATATGAGCTGCTCACTTAGTTCATTTTGCTGTTATAGTTCAAATTGAACGTATTCTCTGGTGTACGGAATAGAATAGACAAGCACATGCTGGTGTTTTCCCTAACCTTCCTTATATCCGATTAACCCCGAGACCATCGTCATTTCTTCGGAAATAGTCGTCGCCTTCTTTTGCCTGCTGCTACCTCACCATATTCAACAAATACGCTTTACGCCTGTAAACCGTTTTATATCCCTCATTCAGACACCGAACAGTATATACAACTCGCCCATGTGGGGTGCAACACAGCCATCGCCTATCCGGTTGCTTCGAGCTCCGGGTCGAGCTCTCTTCAGCTCCTTCACTAGAGGCCACGCCAGCCCTCGAGGCCCTAGGAATAGCATACGGAGACCGGATCCTATTCCAAATACCAGACGAGAAGGCGCACAATCGCCACATCCCGAGTCGTCGGCTGGCGAAACAAGTAATCCTGCCGCGAAATACGACCCTTCTCAGAATACCCTCCTCTCCCCAGTTCATATACCAGAGGATCCTAATGCCGTGCTCAAGGAGAACCACCCTGCGACAGGGCTACTGGCAAATTCGGGTTTGGTTGTGCAGAGACAAATTGAGTTGATGAATGTGATGATGTGAGTCGACACCACCAGGGCATCGAACGGACCGGGCTGACAGTCGATCTCCGTGAACAGTGGATTTGAACAAGCAAATAAATATGTTATCATGGATGCAAATGGGAATCATGTGGGATACATGGCAGAGCAAGAGAAAGGCTTGGGCAGTACGATGGCCCGGCAATGGTTCCGAACGCATCGCTCTTTCGTGACGCATGTTTTTGACAGGCATGAGAATGAAGTACTCAGGGTAAGGACTTTAATACCTGTCGAAACTACGCTGTTCAAGGCTAATTGTTTCTAGTTCCACCGCCCGTTTTCCTACATCAGTTCCCGTATTCGAGTCTATGATCCTCTTAATATCGCCAAAAACACCCATTCGTCTTCGACTGCTCTCCAAACAATCTCGCCAGATTCACTGGTTCAAGCAAGCGGGGAGTCAAATGCCAGAGTCTCACCCCTCGGCATTGAAGACATGCGCGTGGTGGGGGAGGCACAACAACAATGGGCACCATTACGACGAAAATACAACCTCTTCTCTTACCATCCCTCCCCGGACACATCGACTAACATGGGAACCGAGAGATTGCCACTTGCTGACTCCGGACTGTCTAAGGCGCAACAAATGCAATTGGTCCGCAGTGGAGAATCCGGTCAGGAACAAGGAGAGTTCAACCAATTTGCCTACGTGGATGAGCCTTTCCTGTCATGGGACTTTGCGCTCCGCTCGGCAGACAACAAACTGATTGGATCGGTTAACCGTGATTTTGCTGGTTTCGCTCGCGAGTTTTTCACTGACACTGGCGTCTACGCTTTGCGCATGGACTCCGCTTCACTCAGTCAGGCAGAGCCAGCCGCCACACAGTCTGACGTCGCCACAGGCATGAGCCTCGACCAGCGTGCGGTTATGCTGGCTACGGCTGTGAATGTAGACTTTGACTACTTCAGTCGGCATAGCGGTAGTGGAGGTTTTGGCTTCATGCCCCTCTGGGTCCCCGGTATGGGTGGCGAGACTGCCGCGGGAAGTGCTGCCGGTGGTGTCGCTGCAGGAGAAGCTGGTGCAGTGGGAGAGGGAGCCACGGGAGCCACGGGAGCTGTTGGTAGAGCTGGTGCTGCTGGTGGGATGGCTGAAGGTGCCGGTGCCGGTGCTGCGGGTGCTGCGGGTGCCGGCGCAATGACCGGGTATGAAGCCATGCAACGAGGCATGGGTGACCCATATATGCAGGACGCATCTTCCGATCAACAACAACCGCCATCTTCCATGGATCAGTCACCGCCTCCGGGTCAACCTGGTCCGTATGGAGATCACTGGGCTGAAGAGCAACATGAAGATGTTTGGGACGAAGACCCGTGGAATGATGATGGAGGTGACAGCGGCGGGGATGACTGGTTCTAAGGCGTCGCCTCTGTCAGTCATATAAGTATATAGTTGATTGTTATTGTACGATACCAAGAGTGTGCTGGCGTTGATGGTTAGCCGGGTCATTTGTATACTTGTACCATATCGGAAACTATTCCGCTCCAATCCAATGTATTGTTTGGGACATAATCATAAGTTTTATTATTTGACAGTATATCTGAGCAGTCACTTGGCTTAGAATGATCTTTCGATTTTTTTGTTTGTTTGTTCCTGAAATCCTACTTCTCCCATAAACTAAAGTCGCCTCTACCCCACCGCCTCGGAAACTCCGCAACATCCACCACCTCCGATGATACAACAACCACCTCTCCATTGCGATTACCCCCTTGAAGACCACAAAAGTCACCCTTCTCATCTACTATTCTCAAACCAGCGCTGCAACCATGTCATCCGTAGCGCAAAAGCGCCTCTTCCACGAATACAAAAACCTCTCCACCAACCCGCCCGACGGCATCACCGCAGGCCCCGTCACAGAAGATGACATGTACCACTGGGAAGCACTCATCCAGGGCCCCGAGGGCACACCATTCGAAGGCGGAATTTTCGCAGCAGAGTTAAAGTTTCCGAAGGATTATCCTTTGAGCCCGCCGACGATGAAATTTGTTGGGGGTGGGGTGTGGCATCCGAATGGTATTTCTTTCTTACCTTATCTCCTTGGGGTAGAAATAGACCAATGGTGTGATATAAGTACAGATGCTAACTAGTGATTTTTGTGCAGTCTACCCCAACGGAACAGTCTGCATATCCATCCTCCACCCTCCCGGCGACGACCCGAATCACTACGAACACGCCTCAGAACGGTGGTCTCCTATCCAAAGTGTCGAGAAGATCCTAATTTCGGTTATGAGTATGCTTGCGGAACCTAATGATGAGAGTCCAGCGAATGTCGAAGCGGCGAAGATGTGGAGAGAGCGGAGGGCTGAGTACGAGAGGAAGGTGAAGGAGGAGGTTAGGAAGGGGTTAGGGTTGTAAGGAATTGGTTTTTGAGGGGGAAATGCCTTGGTTGTGATGTATGTTTATACTTGGTATAATACGCATAGCGTGGGTTTGATGGATGCAGGGTCGTTAGTCGACTTTGCTGGCGTATGAGGTGTGTTTTTTTATTCCCTTGTTTTATAGAAATATGATGAGGAACGATTCTTATGGCTTTCTTCTAGGGTGTGGTGCTGATAGTGTAAAATATAATAGACATTAACCCTTAGTACTCCATTTAGTTTGTTCGTCGCTATCTATCCCGGACATAAGCTGCCATCTTCCGATCAATCCATCCTTCTAATCCACCCTCTCGCTGGTAAAGGATTTCTGTCTCAGCCTTTAAATTCAGCATGAGCATCTGCTGCAGCTCCGCACGCCATTCTGGCTCAGGTCCGTCAACTGCCCAAACCGGGCTATTCTTCAACATGGCGACAGCCTTCCTCCTATCTCGCGGGGTCAAGGAAATGAAGGCATCGTCTCCCAACGAATCTGCCCCAGATACGATGTCGGACGTACAGAGGCCAAGTCGTTGCAACTCAGGGGTGTTGAGCTTGTTGTTCTCGCGTGCATGTGCCCTGGATCCGAATTTGTAGGTTGACAATATGGCCATGCCGTCGGGGTCGCTGTCAACCAGGGCGTAGAAGCGAGTGTCGGGACCACGGGAGCTGCTATCGAGCAGGCGGCGGACAAAAGCTCGTGTGCTGAGATCTGGATATCCTTTACCCTGGAGTCACTGTCAATCCCGTCCAGTAGGTGTGTTTTGCTTTGCTTACTGTGACGAGTATCCCTTTTCCTGCTGCAGCTCTCGCGTGATAGCCGCTCCTTGCGAGTCTGCGATAGACGGCCTGTTCATGTTAAGCACGGAAATCATATGGAAGTCGTATGGAAATCGAATCGTCTACCTCCTTTTCCAGTATCAAGACCCATTTAACATCGGACATGTCGATCTCTTTGATGTCTTCAGCTCTTGGTATGAGCACGTCCTGTGTCATTCAGTATGAATGCCAATCCACCTAGATGTCTTGAACCAACATTCGTCGCGAACCGAGCATCTAGAAATTTTTCCGATGAAGTGGTCAAACGATAATAACCTGCAACTAGTCCTTTCGCGGCTGCCTCCTGAGCTCTATGTTAGTTTGTTATCAGAAACTGTCGGAGGCACATACCACGTTCAATGCCGCTCGATCCACACCAATGGTATGGGCAATATCATCGACTACCATATCAACCACTCTCTGTGAGCCAAAGCAGGCGGGGTCGTTGTAATAAATGTCTCTATAACGTTTTCAGTAATCCACTCTGGTCCCACTGCTGGTTTGAAGCAAAGACCGTACCTCTTGGAAACCACCAACCCACTCTCGATAGCCTGTGCGATAGCCTCGAGGATTCGAATAACGACCGCTATAACAAGCAATCTATCTCAGTATCACAGCAATAAGAAAACTCAAGGTACCAGGTGCCAAGTGCATACTAAACTTCCACGCTTCATGTCTGTCCTTGCCAGGCCAAGTATAGCTTACTTGTGTCTCTATATCGCTGGTCTCAAGGGCACCATTGTCGGAATTGATAAAAAAAGCGCCTTTTTTGTATCTTTGTTTCAGGGTTATGGCTGGGTTGCCGTCTGGGGAATCGAGTTCTGCGAGGACTGCTGTTAACGTGCTGTCGATGTAGTCTTGGACTTGGCTCTGGGGGGGCTGGTCATCGCGTGATATTGGTGAATCTGTGATTTCTAGTGTATCTGCCATTAAACCGGTTCCCATGATGCTGGTGTAATATGATAAGCTGGCATGGAGAGATGAACGAGAGGAAGGGGAAAAGGTGAAGTTGGTTGATTATGAAAGATACCGGGAAACATGAGAGAATACACATTGGGCTCACTAAAGACAGCAACAACTCTTGGTCCGTTATTTTGTTGTTTTTTTTTTCCGTTTTCTTGTTTCTTTACCATTATACTAGCTAGTATGCGCATTGTTCATCAACATATGACTGCCGTAGAACTATATATCTCCTGTACGGAGCATGGCTGCTCAACCTCAAGACATGACCATTCCTTGCTACAGGTCAATCTCAATAGCCAAGATATAGCCAATCCACTTTATAATCCATTTCAAGTAAATTCTTGTTCAATAAGTTGCACAAAAAGGCAGGATCTGTATGTATGCAGACTAGTTATCACATGCCCCTGATGACTAAGCACACCGCTGTCAACAAGAAGCAACGACATCAATACATTTATATTCTCCTAGACTCATTGCCCCTGTCTCCTGTCTTTCCCCCTCTATTCCTCATGGTTTCTCTATTGCTAGTTCTCTAAGCGTTTTAACATAGACATTAACATTGAAAACAGAAACAATGGTGGCCGATCATATCGGACCGTGGAGAACGGATGCTCAGGGCCATTTGACCCCCGATGAGAACGGAGATCTCAAAACCGACTACTCGAGATGGCGATTGCTCAATGATCGTGGTCGCCAAACATGGCATTATTTGGAAAATGATGAAGAGAATGAGAAGTGGCCTCAGTCCGTGGCGGACAAGTACTTCCTTGGTCTTCCCACGGTACTTTAAATGCGCCGAACTCATGCTCAATGCGTGCTGACGTACATTTAGGAAGTTCCGAATCTGCCAGCTGCAAAGGCTCCTTTGCAAGCAGCAGAGAATGGTTTGCAGTTCTTCTCCAATCTGCAGCTAGATCCTGGTAACTGGGCTTGCGAATACGGCGGTCCAATGTTCTTATTGCCAGGTATCATCATTACTTACTATGTTACAAACACACCAATTCCTCCAGAGTATGCGACGGAGATTAGGCGCTATCTCTTTGCTCGTCAAAATCCGGACGATGGAGGTTGGGGTCTGCACATCGAAGGCCACAGCTCAGTTTTCGGTACCAGCATGAACTATGTCACTCTCCGTCTGGTCGGTGCTCATGAGGAAGACCCTCGCATGATCAAGGCACGTGGTCTGCTGCACAAGTTTGGCGGTGCTGTTTACGGACCCCACTGGGCCAAATTCTGGCTCAGTGTTCTTGGTGTTATGGATTGGGAATGTGTCAACCCAGTTCCTCCTGAGATCTGGTCCGTCATCTTCCTTGTTTTCCTATCCGGAGTATGGCTTACTGACAGTGTGTAGGCTGCTTCCTGACTGGGTTCCATTTGCCCCTTGGCGTTGGTGGATTCATATCCGTCAGGTCTTTTTGCCAATGGGTTATCTGTGGTCGAAGAAGTTCTCTCATCCTGTCACTCCGTTAACGAAACAGCTCCGGGAAGAACTGTACACCCAGCCTTATGACTCTATCGATTTTGCAAGCCACCGTAATTCGATTCACGGGGCTGATAACTACTACCCGAAAACTTGGTTACTGAACATACTCAACCAGGTCCTGGTGAAAGTCTGGAACCCCTACCTCCGACACCCAGCAATTGTTAAGCGTGCTGAGGATTGGTCATGGGAGTTGATTCGGATGGAAGATGAGAACACTGATTACTCGGGTCTGGCTCCCGTAAGTAACCCGATGAACATGGTCGCATGCTACCTTCATGACGGGCCGGATAGTTATTCTGTTCGCCGCCACCGAGAGCGGCTGCACGACTACATGTGGGTGAAGAACGAGGGAATGCTGGCCAATGGAACCAATGGTGTTCAGGTGTGGGATACGGCTTTCATCACGCAGTGCATCGTTGTCGCTGGCTTCGCAGACGACCCCAAGTGGCGGCCAATGCTTACCAAGGCTCTGGAATTTCTCGAGGACCACCAGATGCGGGAGAACGTACCGGACCAAGAGAAATGTTACCGGCAACACAGGAAAGGCGCATGGCCCTTTAGCACCAAGACACAGGGTTATACAGTTAGCGACTGCACGGCTGAGGGCCTGCGATCTACGATCCAACTTCAAGAGATGCACGGCTACCCCAAGCTGATCTCCGTCGGTCGACTCAAGGATAGTGTCGATTGCTTGTTGCTGATGCAGAACCCGTCCGGTGGCTTCACCGAATACGAAACCACCCGGGGTTCCACAAAGCTTGAGTGGCTAAATGCTGCTGAGGTTTTCGGAGGAATAATGATCGGCTACGACTATCCCGAATGTACAACAGCTTCTGTCACCGCGCTTTCGCTGTTCAGCAAGTACTACCCCGATTATCGGGCCGACGAAATCAGAGCCGCGAAGCAGAAGGCAGTTCGGTATATCAAACGCGTGCAAAGAGCAGACGGAAGCTGGTATGGGTCTTGGGGTATTTGCTTCACGTACGCCGCTATGTTCGCTCTGGAAAGCCTTGCTAGTATCGGCGAGACATACGAGAACAGCGATTTTTCCCGTCGTGGTTGCGAATTCCTTCTGTCTAAGCAGATGGAGGATGGAGGATGGGGAGAGTCCTACCTCAGCTCCGAGAGACACATTTACACCCACCACGAGAATTCGCAAGTTGTCCAAACTGCTTGGGCATGTCTTGCGCTTATGGAGGCGGACTATCCAGACAAGGAGCCGCTGCGTAAGGCCATGAAGCTGCTGATGTCGCGGCAGCAGTCGAGTGGAGAGTGGTTGCAAGAAGCTGTTGAGGGTGTCTTCAACCAGTCGTGGTATGTATATTTGCTTTCAAAACAGTTATACTTGGACATGATGCTGACTTTCTTTTAGCATGATTTCCTACCCTAACTACAAGCTCTACTGGCCTATTCGGGCGTTGGGTCTCTACAGCCGGAAGTTCGGCAACGAGGAATTGATATAGACGGCTCAATTTGGCAACGAGCATATGAAGGAGTGTATGTAATTACGACAGGGATAATACTTGTAATTATATCTAAGTAACATGTTAATTGAATAGTCTAATTCACTTCATTCATTCATTACATTTCCCTTTTGAGAATAGAAATCACGTGGGTTCCCCGCGAAACAGAAAGTCATGGAATCACAAGCTGCGGCTGTAGTGACAGAGCTTCTAATTTAGCAATTGTTTGTTTCTTTGTCCAGGTGAATTCCTACAAACTTCTACATATTTTCTTACCAACTCCCAGCACCGAGCTGATCAATATTTCAACTTTAGCTACCTGACTGCGGGGAGAACCTACCATCTCAACCAACTAATATCCCACTTCTCGAACGCGACACAACCCCTATAAACCAAACCCAGACGTCATGAACGCTGCATCCCAGGGCGACAAAGCCCTCTCCACCTCTGACATTCCCAGCGCCATCAAACACTTTACCCAAGCCCTCGTTGAGCTCCCCCGCGCTCCAACCTACTACATCAAACGCTCAACCGCCTACTCGCGCGTCAAAGCCGCAGACGGCGGCCCCAAATCCACGGCCTCTCTCCGCGATGCCGAAGTCGCATTGACGCTTGCGCGAGAGCGTGGAAAGCGCGAACTCATTCTGTCTGCGCAGATGAGACGCGGGGTCGCGTTGTATCAGCTTGAGAGGTATGGGGATGCGAGGTTTGTGTTTGAGATTATTCAGGGGAAGACTACTGGTGGTGCTGCAGAGGGTAAGGGGAAGGAGGAAGAGGTTAGGGATGCTATGGGTGCTGGGGGCGCTGCGAAGAAGAATGGGTATGAGCAGGAGTTGCCGATTTGGGTGGCTAAGGTTAAGGGTCGGCTGAATAAGTTTGGTGAGGGGGATGAGAAGGGTATTGTTTCGGTGAAAGAGTATCCGAGTGATGTTAGGATTCCGACTGAGACGGAGCTCAAGGCGCAGTTGGAGGCGCTCAAATCTGGGAAGACGGAGGTTGAGGAGAGCGTTTCGGGGGGGGGACAGAAGAGCGAAGACGCGGCTAAGACAGACCAGAATAGGGAAGTCAGTGCACCTTTTACTGCAACTCCTTCAGCTGCGCCAGCTCCTGAGAAGATTCGGCATGAGTGGTACCAGTCCAACGATTCGGTCGTTGTCACACTCTACGTGAAGGGAATTTCGAAGGACAGTGTTGCCATTGATCTCAAAGATGACTCTGTAAGCTGCTTTTACTCCTTCATTGGTCTTCAAACTTCAAACAAGCCAGTTTCTAACTACGACGACCACAGTTGTCCCTCCAATTCCCTCTCCCATCCGGCACAGACTACGACTTCACTCTCGACCCATTCTTCGCAACGGTCCACCCATCCACCTCCAAGGTCGCAGTAATGTCTACCAAAATCGAAATCACCCTGCGCAAGCAAACCCCAGGCCAAAAATGGAACGCCCTTGAAGCATCTGCCACAAACGTCAAACTTGCCGACCGCCAAGCCGCTACGGACTCAAAGTCAACGACCGACAAGGGCCCCTCCTACCCAACCTCATCTCGCCATGGCACCAAGGACTGGGATAAGGTTGCATCGTCGCTAGACAAGAAACACAAATCCAAGAAGGATAAGAAGAAAGGGGCCGGGAACGATGGGTCTGGGGACGAGTCTGATGGCGTGGAGTCTGTTGATTCTGATTTTGGCGGTGGCGATGCAGTGGATGGGTTCTTTAAGAAGTTATATGCTAACGCGGACCCGGATACCCGTCGTGCTATGACCAAAAGTTATGTTGAGAGTCAGGGAACTTCATTAAGCACGAACTGGAGTGAAGTTGGCAAGGGTAAGGTTGAGGCTCGGCCGCCTAGTGATTAGACTGGATGTGACCAAGTCCACTTAGAAGGATAGGAAACCTTTCGATTTACGGAGTTCACGATCTGTTGCATTCAGCGGGATGTACTAATAGCCGAGGCATAATTTCCTATTTCAATACTTCAAGAGAGTTTTGATTTAATAAAAACCAATAGTATTGTAGACTATAAACTTTTCGTTATCCGTATCCCCTAGAAAGATTGATCTCATGATGCGTAATCGTTGTCCTTATACAAAAAGAACTGAGTGAAAATTGCCATGTCCTGCAACAGTGTCCCAAAGCTCCCAATCAACCAAGACAGATTCACGAGTATATACCGCCAATACAGCGCCCCGGCTTCCCCAGGCTGACAATGACCAGTCTTCTCATATGAATCACCTTCACAAACAGGTGAATACGCGAAAATCGAGAGGACGTAGGCCAGATTCCCTATGCAGGCGAACAGGAAGAAGAGCAAAGAAACACCTTCGGTAGACTTGCGTTTGTAGTTGAGAAGGAGTTGTGGGAGACGCGAGCCCAAGTAAAGGGCTGCACACAGGTACCCAAATACCTGGCCCAAAATATCAAAAGTGAGGGCTGCGTTTTCGCTGTCGGGGGACTTTGGCGCTTTGTTCTTCGGGCTGACGTACCAGCCCAATATGCCGGCAGCGCAAACGAGTGCAACGGCGGTGACGTTGAAGATGATGTTCTGAAGGGTGGAGACGTTTCGAGTAGGCCGGACTACATCGGGAGATGCTTCGACCAAAGGTGTTGCGGGTGATAAGTGCGTCGCGTTCACGGAAGGAGGATGGATGGAGTCACGAAACGAATGTCCCCTTTCACCTGGAGCTCTGCTTGACTGGTCTTGTGCATTGTGATGAGGAGAAAGTAACGCCGTCCGCTCAGTCGCCGATGCCACATTCTCTTCCGAATCATCACGTTCAGCCCGAGTGATACGCGCAGACGGATCATCGCGCAGTGTAAGTCCTCGGTAGTAGAAGCACTGCCCTAAGAGGACAATATCCGCCAAAGTATAGTATACCGCCAGCATGATCATGGTCGGCAAGACACCCTGCAGGACGGCACCCAGGATGTTGAATACATCGCCGGCGAGCCAAATGGCAAGGAATAGGAGCGAAAGGCCATCAGCGGAGCCTTGACGGAAGTTCTGGACGATCTGAGGGGAGAAGACAACGACCCAACAGGCTATGGAGATTGAGCTAAATATGACTGTTAGCACGGTACTTTTTATACTTTCGGAGGAAGCAACTCACCCGCAGATCCCACTCAGCGCATCTAGATCTAGATTTGCAGACTGTAAGGGAAACATGCCAGTTTAGTATATGAGTATGTGGTGGTATTCTCAATGTTGAAGTCTGGAAGATGATGTCGGAAAATCTGGAGATGGAATTAATTGCCCCATCCGTCAATCTCTGAAGCGATTGGAGAATGACGTCTGGATCTCTGTCTTTGTCTTGGCACCCATTGCCCTAATTTTCGCGATTGACATTTTAGAAGAACCAACGCGCAAATAAGTATCCGCTAATATACGAAGCCATGTCAATAATAAAATTTTGAAGAGAAAGAGAACTTCTGTTCATCTGCATGTGCTTGGAATGACATGCATAAAATCACGTGGTTATCCATAAGTCATGTGATGTAGCCACCTCTTAGTCATTCGGTGATTAGATTCAACTTGTTCTTGAATGATGGAAACTGCTTTGTTGCATCTTGTTCAGGTTCCAAGGTCTGTTTGATGAATTGATTCGGCTGTGCGATCACATGGGACTATCCTTGTCTCTCCAGAGATAGCTTAATACAGTTCTGTTGCTTTTTATCACAATAGCTCCTCTCCTGCGTGTCGGAGCCAACGATGAGTCTTAATGACGACCCCCTCGATTAGAATCCCCTTTACTGGCCCATTACCTCCGGCAATTATCACACCCCCCTCTGCCCGTACTATTGCCGGAGCAATTGATGCCATCACGTCCTTTCTAACCGCCTCGCCGTCGCCGCATCTGCGCGGCATCGATGTGGGAAGAAACTCCCAAACGGTTTTGTTAACAGGTGCCGGTATATCGGTAGCATCCGGCCTGTCGGATTATCGAGGTGAAAATGGCACGTATATAACGAATAAGACTTATCGACCGATATACTATCACGAATTCGTGACACGGCATGAATCGCGCAAGAGGTATTGGGCCAGGAGCTTTGTCGGGTGGCCGGGACTCCAGAAAGCGAAACCGAACACGACACATTGGGCAATTAAAGATCTTGGGGCGAAGGGATACCTCAGCTCTGTGGTGACCCAGAATGTCGATTCATTCCATTCTTTTGCCCACCCAGAGCTCCCCACAATCGAGCTTCATGGTTACCTGAGGTCTGTTGTCTGCACTACTTGCCAGAACCAGTTTTCTCGAGAAGAATTCCAGAAGTCTCTTGAAAGACTCAATCCTGCCTGGGCCGAGTTCTTGGCAAAGATGGTGGATATTGGTGCACTCGATACGGACAATCCACAAGAGCAGCGGCGAAAGGGTCTGAAACTCAATCCCGATGGTGATGTCGACCTGGCTGAAGCGTCCTACTCGACGTTTCGGTATCCCTCTTGCCCGACATGCCTAGAGAAACAACCTCAAGCCAAGGACGGCACACAAAACCGGGTGGAGGTTGAGAGTGACGGCGCATGGTTACCAACCTCCAATGCTGGGATCTTAAAACCGGCCGTCATCATGTTTGGAGAGAACATCGATCCTACTGTCAAGACAGTTGCTGAAGAAGCCATCGATGATGCTGGCAGGCTCTTGGTTCTCGGAAGCAGCCTTGCCACCTTTTCCGCGTGGAGGTTAGTGGAACGGGCCTATAAGAGAGGCATGCCCATCGGTATCATCAATGTTGGTGGTGTGCGGAATGAATCTCTAATCTTCGGAGCCCCTCAGCATGAGGGCCCTATTGGATCGCAGCATGTCCGGTGCAGCCTTCTATCTGAAAACGTTTTGCCGCCAATTGCGATTCAGCTACCTCCATTAAGCAGTCAAATATAGGCCAGAGATATATATGAAAGATATACAGACAATCTTCTTACTAGAGAAAATCCTTGGCATGTGAATATACTTCATCCCGCGTTACGAGGGCTACACTATGAGGCACATCCTTGCATAAATCATGCGTACTTGCTTAGGAATAGTTGTCAAATAGTCCGTGGCTGGTCATAGCAATATTAGCCACAGCTATACTCTGTAGAATTAAAGTAAACAACGTAAAATACATGTCTTTACTATAAAAAGCTGGATAGAATACAGTAGGCGCCGCGGCGGATCAAACGGGCGTGTTTCCTTTGCCGCCGCTCATTTTGCGGTCCCGCGGGGCTCCAGACCTGACTCCTTCCAACCATCGCAACCCGTTGTTTAATTCCAAGAAAAGAAAGGAAACAAAGGATCAGAGAAGTCCTCAATTATTCTTGTTGCTCTCCCATTTTTCTTCTTTTACGACATACTCAGCTCTATAAAAGAAGCCCATAATCAGCTATCGTCGCATCCAGCATCATCACCAACCATGGACAGACAACAACCTAGCTCCTTCCAGCAGCTGGAAAAGGTGTGTACTTCTATATATCGCTATTGGATTACATTGCAATTTTTTGTTCTAACTAAAATTCTGGTCTAGCTGGGAGAAGGTACCTATGCTACTGTACGTTACATCTAATCTTTTGTCCTTCGCAATCGCCCTCTTTTGGCACCCCTCCCTCGCCCTCCATTCCGAATTTGGATGCTCTGCTGACGCACATTGGGAACAGGTGTTCAAAGGGCGGAATCGTCAAACCGGGGAACTGGTCGCGTTGAAGGAAATTCATTTAGACTCGGAGGAAGGGACGCCGTCGACGGCCATTCGCGAGATCTCATTGATGAAGGAACTCAAGCACGAGAGTATCGTCTCACTCTACGACGTGATCCACACGGAAAATAAGTTAATGCTCGTTTTTGAGTTCATGGACCGGGATTTGAAGAAGTACATGGATACGCGGACCGAGCGCGGCCAGTTGGACCACGTTACCATCAAATCGTTCATGTACCAGCTGCTCAAAGGAATTGCATTCTGCCACGATAACCGCGTTTTGCACCGTGACCTCAAGCCTCAAAACCTTCTGATCAACAAGCGGGGACAGCTAAAACTGGGGGATTTCGGGTTGGCCCGGGCTTTTGGCATTCCCGTCAATACCTTTTCGAATGAAGTTGTCACTTTGTGGTATCGGGCTCCAGATGTTCTATTGGGTAGCCGGACGTATAATACGAGCATCGATATCTGGTCCGCTGGCTGTATCATGGCGGAAATGTACACCGGTCGTCCTCTGTTTCCGGGAACAACCAACGAAGACCAGCTACTAAAGATCTTTCGGCTAATGGGGACCCCTTCGGAACGCACTTGGCCCGGCATTTCGCAGCTCCCGGAGTATAAGCCTAATTACCAGGTCTATGCGACTCAGGACCTTGGCTTGATTATCCCGCAGATCGACCCGCTTGGCTTGGACATACTAAACCGGATGCTGCAACTTCGACCGGAGCTTCGTATTAGCGCCAACGATGCCCTGCAACATCCATGGTTCCACGATCTTGCTCAATTGCAGTTCCAGCAGCAACAAGCACAACAGCAACAGCAAATGATGGGTGCATATGGGATGATGCCACCTCAACAACCATATTAACTTCCTTGGTCCTCGTCTTTCGCAGCGCATTCTTTTTTCGATTAATTCTGTTTTTCCTTTCTTCTCTTGTTTCTCTTATGATCTCGATCTTGAATAGCATAATGAGTATGATGACGTCTGACATATTTAGAGTAACCAGGAAAGCATGGCGTTATACCCCAAAGAACGATATGATTCGAATTGATGCTACACTACTGCCTTGTGCGAGATTTTTTTTTTTTTTTCTTTGTCTCTCTTTTTTGGCTTCTAACCGGGATCCCCAATGAAGATCAATAAGAATTGCCGTGGATATGAAACTACCGGGCTTGTTTCATAGCTGAAACCTCCGACGTGTCAATCGGTACAGGATCGAGATTTTAGGTACATTTCAGTTTTTTTTTTTTTTTTTTTTTTTTTTTTTCTTTTTTGGATATTATTGTTTTGCTAGAAGGATGCTATATTCGGCTTGTCTGATAGCCGAATATATGGATGACTTAGCATAGCACCCTTATACTCCGGAGTATCCTCAAACGGTCGACCACAACGGCCAATATGTATGACCCTGCACAGAGCACAACGATGCCCATATATGCGAGATCCATCCATTCCAGCGATTCAGCCTCGCGAGACTCCTACTGGTTCAGATTAATATATGCTGCAGGGTTGGTCATTGTTTCTCACGAGTCAGGCTCTCGTATCTTCGTTTTGTTTGTTTTTTCTTTTTTTTTCTTGCCCGCATGTAAGCTGATTCTCATGTTGGCTGACCAAAAAAATAGACTTCCCTGGTGGCTCACTGAAACTATTCTAGTCTCTGAAACGTGAATATCATCCTTTTCTGGTCCGGTAAAGAGTCAGCCGCGCGCTTTTAGAGGTGACAGATGACAGCCAAGGGGAGGTAAAATGAGGCGTGCTGCTTATTTGTACATCTATCTTCTCTCTCGCTATTTCTTTGTTTTCTATCTCCTGGGATATCTCCCTCCTCCTCGTTCTGATCAATCATGACGCCATGCCACTCGCAACGCAGGAACTGTTTGCCATCTCGGTCACAGAGCGTGTCTGCTCTGCCATTTCTCTCCTGGGAACATGCATAATCATCACGACCTTTCTTGCTTCGAGTTCGTTTCGTAAACCGACCAATCGGTTGGTTTTCTATGCTTCATGGGGCAATCTCATGGCAAACATTGCGACCATGATCTCTCAGTCGGGCATTCAAGCGGGGACCAATAGCTGTTTGTGTCGATTCCAGGCGTTCATGATCCAATGGTGAGTTGAGATATCATTGATTCTTTGTTACAAGCCTCCTGTTTCTTGTCTAACCCTAACGCATTATTTAGGTTCATGCCTGCCGATGCCTTGTGGGCTTTTGCCATGGCGTGCAATGTCTGTCTGACCTTCTTTCGCAAATACGACTCGGAACAACTACGACGACTGGAGTGGAAATATTGGGTGTTCTGCTATGGCCTGCCGTTCGTTCCGGCATTTACCTACTTCTTTATAGAAACCAAGGACCGAGGCAAGGTGTATGGTTCCGCTGTCGTAAGTGGAAATACAAATTTCCTAAAATATTGGAATCGATGTTCGTTTCTTGCCTTTGTCTAACACATCCTTTAGCTCTGGTGTTGGGTTGCTCCACAGTGGGATTTCCTGCGCATCGCAATGTTCTACGGTCCGGCCTGGTTGATCATCATCTTAACCCTTGTCATTTATGTGCGCGCTGGAAAGGTCATCTACCAGAAACGACGACAACTGCGTGATTTTAACGACTCAATCGACTCCAATTTCGAAATTGGAAACCCATTTGAGCCCTCCTCTTTTACCAAAGTGAGAGAAATACAAGTGACGACTGAGTCGGCAATTGCTGCGACTAAAATCCCTAATCTTGCTCGTGACAGTATTGGAAGCCGATTACAGAGACCGTTTAAAGCCGTTCCATACAGTCCATATTCGGTCAGTGTCGAGGCCGGAGGAGCATTTGAGAAGCTGAGCGGGCCCACTACTACTTTGAAGTCAATAAAAAATGAACTATTAGACTCAGCACCCCAGCTCCATGCGATGGTGGCCGAAGCCAACTCGGCTGCTTGGGCGTATACAAAATATGCGCTGCTCTTTTTCATTGCCTTGTTGGTCACATGGGTCAGTTTCTTACCCCAGCTGTATGCTGACCACGAAGTAAATGCTAATAGACTATACAGGCGCCATCGACTGCTAATCGAGTGTACGCATGGGCTCATCCGGACTCTTTTAATTTTGGCTTGAACTACGTCTCCAGTTTCGTCCTTCCGCTGCAGGGATTCTGGAATAGCCTCATATACGTGTCTATCTCGTGGCCGGTATTCAAGACGGCAATATGCGATCTTCGAGCATACTGCACAGTACCATCGATGGTTTGGATCAAGACCAGGCTGTTTCCTAGCAGTGTGATAAGCAATGGGAGGGGATCTCGCGATGCATTTCGGAGCGATAGCACGCAGGAATTGACAGCTTAGTTGATAATTCTGATTGGATCATGATAGATATAATGAGTTACGGATAGTGCTTTTATATTTCTTGCTGTGTTATTTGAAAGGCAACATAATTTACTTGTCAAGTCTCTATACTCCAGTAGATGATGTCACGTGAGGTTCCTTATCGCCAACAGTCGTAGATCAACTCCGAAACAATCAACAATCAAACCCACCATTCCTCGACCAAGTCACATTGTCCACCTCCCAGAAAGGAACAATGGCAGACAAAAATAACAACAACTACTACACCAACACCACTGACAGCACCAACACCCAACCCCAAAGACCAGCGTCCCCATCCCCACCCCCACCAGCCCCCGTCCCTCTCACCCCGGGCCCCCGCGCGTCGCGTCTCCAACAAGTCTTCGAGCAAGCCCTCGCGCGCACCCTCCGGGCAAACTCCTACTCAAACTTTTCCAGCTGCTTTCCGACGCCCGCGAAACATGTCCCAGCTAGTCTGGAAAGCGTGTGGAGACAATTGAATGCGAAGCTGGAGGAGAGCGCAAAGGCGGAGTTTGAAGATATCGTGCTGGAGCGAGAGGCGGTGAGGCAGTTGAATGAGTTGGATCGGTTGGTGGGGGAGGCGAGGTATAGGAGGGATAATGGGGATGATGAGATGCAAGAGGGGGGGGGGGGAGCGGAGAATGTTGCGTATGTTTTATTATCTATACCTTTGTGGGTTCGCGAACGATGCTAACGATGGTAGACCTCATACTCTAGGCGCGGGACAGTTGTATCAAGCGCATTTGACTCCATTTTTGGAGGAGGCGCAGTCAAATTTGAATGAGAAGATTGATACTACGAATGCGGAGAATGCTATTCTGGCGCAGGAGATTCAAGGCCAGAGGGTGGAGATTGAGAATCTGATGTTGAGTCTCGAGTCTGTTGTGGGTGATCTCGATGGCGCTGCTGCTGCCGCGACGCAATATAGCAAAGAGAATGATTTGCGACAGGAAACGATACAGATGGATGAGGAGATTAAGAGCAGGGCTGAGATCTAAGGGTTTACAGAATATCTGTACAAGCATTGGAAAAATTTTTGCATTATTTTGTTCGCCTTTCCTTGCTTTACGACGACAGCAAAGCTTCTAATTCTATGGGGCTTGCAAGACCATCATCCACCATATCCTCCGCCACCGCCAACAACTCCTTTGGTGCGGCCCTTCTGAGCTGCATCAGCTTGTCCTTCTGGCCCTCCAATCCTGCCGCGAAGGCTTCCTTGCATGTCCCGTCTCGTGTTTCTTCTACTGCTCCATCTCGTCTGGCTAAAGCCGCCGCGCCGCGGTAGTATGTCTGCGCGTTTCGAAGAAGGAGGGATCCGTTTTGCTGGGCCATGGCGTATTCCCACGGGGCCGATCCGAGTCTCCATCGGTTCAATTCCACGTCGCCTCTTGCAATGTGGATTTTGGGGAGGTTGTCGGCATTTGGCAACTTCGAAGCCGCTGTCAGAGCGTCCAAAGCGGTGGATAGGGATTTCCATCGTAGGACCAAGGATTTCTTGAATGCTTCTTGGTCATGCGTGGGAGGGAGATCTGCAACAGCAGTGTTGAATGACATGTGAGCATCTGCTTTGCTGCAGAGGCCTTCCGGATCAGCAGACAGGATTAGTTCAGGGCTAAAAGCACGAGTGACCTCCTGGTGATATGTTTCGATCTCGACTCGGCCACTTCGGTAAATGACCTCTGTCAAGGCGCAGATAAATTTGGCGCGGGCCAAGGTCGCCTCATACTCCCTACTGGAGCCCTCCACATATGTCGGCATTCTGTTCTGGGCGAGATCGGAGGAATACTCTTCAACCCAAGGAAGACCGTCACCGGGTTTGAAAGTGAGCAGGTTACAGAGGGTGGTAAGGGCTTCAAGTTGTGCCACTGCGGTATCGACTAAGGTTTCTTTGGTCACTGGTTCAACCACTGCAGCCCATTGCTCTGGAGTATCCTCAGCAGCGTCATCATTAACATCGGGTTGCATTTCCGGCTGCTGCTGCTGCTGCTGGACATCTGGGACCTGCATGCCACCAGATTCCATCTGCTTGATCTCCTCCTGCATTTCAGTGAAGCGAAGTTCTTGCACTGCGAAGCAACGCTGGAAGAGCTCGAGAGCCTCTTGAAGACATTGAACAGCTTGGGTGAGTTGCTGATCGCTGGGATGTTTGATATCGGAGACTATCTCGGCCAAACTGGTGAGCACCTGGCCGGTGTTGAATAGGACGTCTGCATTCTCTTGATCCAAGACCAAGGCATCTTTATGTGATTGCAATGCGGCCTGCAAAGCCTGGGGTAGAGGAGCCTGCAATTGGACGGCCAATTTGGGATGTTGGGTGATTTCATATTGAACACGAGCTCTGCCAGCCGTTAGTTTCTCATGTAAATACTCTAGACTATTCATGCAAGCGTGCGAACATACTTGTTATATGCCAGATCAAACGATGTAGGATGCTTGCCTAGACCCTGGTCATAAGTTGTAATAGCACGCATGAAGAAACGCAGGGACTTGGCGGCGTCACCGGCGCGCCATTTCTCGCCGGCTTCTTCTTGCTCTACCCCGACTGCGTCTGATGTCAGCATACATCGTAATACTTCACAAAGCATAGTGAGACACACCAGCTAGGAATTCATCTGCTGTTACCGGGACCTATCAGGGTTAGAATTTGCGATTCGTTGTTTTGCTGAAGAGCATTGGCTATTTTTACCTGCTGAGCCGCTTTTTTCTTTAATTTGGGTTCTTTAACGAGGGACTTTGGTTTGGGCATTATGTCTTTGTTGTGCTGTAAACAGATTCTTAGAAGTACGTAAAATTAAGCTGCAAATCTTGCAGCGGGGAATGATGATGATGATGCCAAGACTGCGGTTTTATATGGACGCTAAGCGTGTGAATTGTTATGTACAATGCGCACTCGGTTTTGCAATGGATATTAAACATGAGCAGTAAATATTTATTAAATCATATTGATTTAATTAGGCTAACATACTGCTCTGATTATCGACTGGCTAATCACGTGATATGCAAATATTCGATTCGATTTTGAGCAGACGAAGAGATAATACGCGTGAAACAACAAAGTGATCACTAGCCAATTAGGAGGGCCGAGTGATCTGTAACCATGGTCAGTTTCACTGTCCTAATCACATGCTCTTCCAACGTCGCGTCGTCCAGTGTCCTTGAGCGATAATTCATAATTGGGCATTAGACTGATCGAAAAGACGTGTGTTCTGCTCAATAGTAGGAACGCGACGCGTACAGAATACCTGGATCAGACTGAATATGGTACCTGACTTGCAGGGAAACTCCCTCCGGACTCGGACAGACAAGCATTCTGCAAAGAATCCTGGAGATGCGAGTAAGCCTCGGTTTATTACTTTACACAACAGCCAATCAATAGCGCCGTGGCCTAATCAATCCCCTTTTCATGTACAAGGGGTCTAATCACCCTCAGGCTGCCATTATTGGCAAGGCGTAACGCAACCTCTCAGGCAGAATTAAATTATCGTAAGATACTAATGATGACAGCAAACATGCCATGAAGATCAATGAGAACTGTCTTTAAAAGAAAAGGCGGGGCCATTTTTGGGTTATCGAGTAGAACTGAAAAAGACCGTTTTTGCTGGCCCGGTTGGGGCATGGTCAGAGCTTGGTAGGTGGTCGCTAGTTGGTGGGGTTGAGCGTTGGGGTCTGCAAGTGCAAGTTCAGGGCACAAGGTGCTCAGAATTGGGTGATCGATACGGAGTATGGCTGAGTGTTTTCAGGGTTCTACAAAGCCACGTCAAGTGTTACTGAAATGCAGAGTACAAGTACAGCTGTAGAACCTCGATATCACGTGGAATCCCATGACAAGTTCGCGTGGAAAGCACGTGGCGACGTAACTTTGTTACGAATTCCACAGGAAAAAAAGATCATTACGAGTAAAGTACTAGTTGACCATGATGCTAGTTGAACATCATTGCTTGAAATGCACTGGTTGAAAAGTACCCAAGCGCGTACAAATTCTCCGTAGAAGACTCAGCCGATCGCAGTGATATGCGATTAATCAAACTCATTCAGCTATCTCTTCCCCCTTTTGTCTCTCTCCACGCCGCCACTTTCTTTCTCCGTCCACCCACAGAGGATTATTGATTGATTTTGGACTATCTATTCGTCAAGGATTGTAATAATCAACACCTCCACCTGTCAGTCCCTCATTGATACAACACTGTTAACAGTATTCATTGTTTGATTGTCTGATACCGGAGAGTCAGAGTGTCTCCCAACCGCCCCACTCTCTTTCAGCGCCTCCTGAGTTTTTCTGGGACGACGACTTGCATAACCCATACATAACAATCCGGCTATCCCACTTTCTCTTTTCTTTTTCTCTTCTGTCACTCAACTTCACTTCATCGACTTATTGTCTACTTCCACAGTAGAACACTGTTGCTTCAACCACGTGGATATCAAATCCAAGGTACGCAGACTCATCGGTTCTATCCGTTCCCATCCGCCCCATTTACTCCATCGCTTTTCTTCAGCGGTGATGCAATGCTTGGATCGGCGTATCTTCCATCTTTGTTTTCTTGTTGATGCCCCAGTTCACAAAACATTAAAACTGATTGATAAGAAATTTAGTGGCCTACCAATCTTACTGCACATTGCTATCCACACCGACATGGCCCGTCAAAACTCCTTGGAATCCTCGAGACCCATCATGCCCAACGTACGTCTCATCACGTCTTGTTGGATGAAGCTCTTCAACTAATATCTATCAGAACCGTGCCTCCCAGCGATTCTCCACCGTCAGCGGAGCCGCTTCCATTGCCTCCAACGGCGGCTTGCCCAGCGGTGACCCCCGCCTGGCTGAAGTCAACCACGTTCGCGATGGCCTCGAGCGTCTCGAAAACAAACCCCTCCAGAAGCAGCGTTTCGTCCCCACCGCTGAAAAGACCGAAAGCCTCGACAAGCTGGCCATTGGTGCCAAGATGGAACGCGCGCTCGGCCGCAGAATGACCGGTCAGGATGCCGTTATGCGCAAGCCTGTTATGAGCGAGAAGGCCGCGGCTGAGGCTTCTACTTGAGTCTGTGGAGAAGAAAATATTTGTCTTGTCTCTATTTTTGATTTGTTCTATTGGGTTCTTTCTTTTTACATCTCTTTTTGTGGTTCTGGTGCACACGACTTTCGATACCTGGTTTCCATCGTTTGATATAAGATCTCCCTCTCATGACCATCATACCCCCGACTTTTCTTGTGTTTTGTACATTTTTCCTTACAGCTGTCGATGGCGTTTTTTTTTTTTTTTTTTCTTTTGATCGATTACGAGATCCCGTTTTGTTTTGAGTCTTTCTGGTTGTCTGGTTATTTGTCTTATTCAGTAATGGTTTGAAAAATTCGTCACGATCTTGTCCCCACGACTGTATTTACTGTTCCATGTCCATAAATTGATTTCTCTGTATTTGCTCCCCATAAGAGATACTGCAGTCCTCATACTTGTAAGCGCAGTCCAATAGCAGTGAATGATTCAGTCTTTCTCCGCTGTGGCCAGGGCGCTGTCTCAATATGGCAAGCGGTGAAATATATGCCAAGACCCGCCGCACTGAAACAGCGAATTTGGTTCACCACAGCAAGAAGCTCTCTTTTCCCTCTTCTCTTCCTCTTCCTCCACTTCCTCTTCGTCTTCGCATATCTTCATCCCCCTCATATCAGACTCCCTGTATTTGTCTGTCACCCTCGATCTTCCATTATCCTCTCCGCTCCGGAATCTCGCAATCGTCTCTCATCTCGTCTTGATTTCTCGTCTGATCTTTGCTCAGATTGGAAATCCGCACAATAAGAATATCTCTCTGAACTTCCTCCAACGTCTCCCACACGACACGAACGCTTTTTTCTTTGTTATACCTCTCTATCGCTTCCTATCTCTGAGCTGTCACATTGGTATGTAGATTTCTCCTTCTTTCTCGTCTTGCCCACTTCCGTTCTGTCGTGGGTCGTTCGTGTCACTCACTATTCCGCTTCACTCTCATTCCAATTTACTGACCAGGTTCTCATATTATAGTTAAGCGTGTGAAAGCTTTTTATTAGACCTTTTGACTTTATCGATATCCCCATAGAGGCTGCTCGACTGTTCATAGATCCCTTGGTCCAAGTCCTTTATTTTTCCTCGGTTATTTAGAACCTTCCTTTCGGACTATCTTTTTTTTTTTTTTTAATACGACAACCAAAAAAGTTTGCTACCTCAACAATGGCCGACACGACTCAGGCTCCTATCAACGGCACCTACCCCACGCAGGTGTACGCGGACTCCTACAACCACGTCATGAACAACTCTGCCAACTTCCAGCCCGCGCAGTCGTCCACGCCCTCGAATGCGCCGCCCGCCGATCAGAAGAATGGAATCTCCAAAGACGAAGTCGGTTGGTATTTCGTCGAGCAATACTATACCAACATGAGCCGCAGCCCAGACAAACTCCACCTCTTCTACTCCCGTCGGTCGCAGCTCGTCTTTGGTACTGAGGCCGAGTCGGTTCCCGTCGCGGTTGGTCAGAAGGTGAGTTGATGATTCATGTCACTTGTCCTCTGCCAACTAAGCCCTGATTTCTAACCGCTCTTTTAGGCCATAAATGAGAAGATTAAGCAGTTGGACTTCCAGGAATGCAAGGTCCGCGTTTTAAACGTTGATTCCCAGGCCTCGTTCGACAACATCCTGGTTCACGTCATCGGTGAGATATCCAACAAGTCTGAACCGTCCCGCAAGTTCGTACAGACTTTCGTTCTTGCCGAGCAGCCCAATGGCTACTACGTATTGAACGATATCTTCCGTTACCTCACCGAGGAGGAAGAGGATGTCACCGCTGAGGAGCCCATCCCTGCTGCTGAACAACGGCAGCAGCAACCGCAGGAGCAGGAGCAGAAACAGGAGCAGCCAGAGCAGGCTCCAGAGGTCCTCGCAGAGCCAGCCGCTCCCGAGGCCAACCCTGCTGCTCCCGAGGCTCAGGTGGACAACGAGCCAGCGGTCGCCAAGGTCGATGAGAAGCTCGAAGAGGCTAAGCCTAACGGCCAGATCGTGGAGGCCCAGGCTGCTCCTGAAAGCAACGGTGTTGCTGAAACGCAAGAAGCTCCTGCTGCTCCTAGCGCACCGACTCCCGCCGCTGAGCCGGAGTCGACTCAGGCTGAATACCCGCCAAGCCCGGAGCCCACTCCCAAGGCGGCTGTTCAGAAGGAAGCTCCGGCACCTGAAAAGGAGGCCCCTGCTCCCACCCCGGCGGTTCCGGCCGCTCCGAAGACCTGGGCCAACATTGCATCCAAGCCAGGTGCTACCCCGGTTGTTCCTGCTATCCCTGTTGCTGCTCCCAAGGCCCCGGCTTCCAATTCTGCTCCCCAGGTTGCGGCTGCGGCTCCTTCTGCTCCTGCTGCTCCTGCTGCTCCTGCTGCTCCTGCTGCTCCTGCTGCTCCTGCTGCTCCTGCTGCTCCTGCTGCTCCTGCTGCTCCTGCTGCCCCGGCTTCCCCGGCTGCCCCGGCTCCTCAGCCTGCTGCTGCTTCCGCGCCTACCCCCAACCAACCTGCCGCCAGCGACAACAATGGCTGGCAAACCGCTGGCCACGACCACAAGAAGACTCAGTCACGTAGCGGTGACGAACAAGTCTCTGGTTATATCAAGAATGTCACCGATAAGGTTGACGCAAGCTTGCTGAGGCAAACTTTGTCCCGCTTTGGAAAGATCAAGACCCTCGAAGTGAGCCGTCCAAGGGTATGTTGAAAGTTCCACGTTCATTTTCTTTTATCCTGGATGTTTTAAACTAATTGTTTGATTTAGAACTGTGCCTTCGTCGATTTCGTGGAGCCTGCTGGCTATGCCGCCGCTGTTGCCGCCAACCCCCACCAAATTGGAAGCGAACAAATCAACGTGGAAGAGCGTCGCGCTCGTAACCACTACGGTAATGCCAACTACGGTCCTCGCGGTGGCGCTGGCCGTGGCCGCGGAGACCGTGCAGGCAGCCAGGGCCGTGGTGGCTTCCAGCGTGATGGCCGTGGTGGCTTCGCTCCTCGTGGCCGTGGTAACTTTGGCCCCAAGGGTCAGGGTCGTAACCAGGCCCCCCAGGCTGCTTAAATCTCTTAATTGATTTTGAGGGGTTGACGGAGCTTACGAAACACGAAAAAGCATTTGATTACGCGAAGCTTATGAAGCTTTTTCCTTATTCTTCTTCTTTTACCCATCTTCTTTTCGGAATTCTCCGCTATTTCACCATTTGAATGGCGGTTAGCCCCTATTTCTCGTCTTGATTTCTCGATACCTGCTTCGGAGCAAATCTAGGACATGTATTACTCGCGCTTTTTACTGATAATGACATGCTATGTGGTTCGGTTTTTTCTCCGTTACAGTGCATACTAGCGGTTGGAAAAAGTCTGTTATTCTTTTCGTTTCTTGTTTCATTTGCAAATGTTTTGCCCATTTTGCAGAGCAGGGCACTGATGTGTGATTTGTTTGGGATTTCTTCATACCACTTTTTTTCTCTTGTTATTTTTCTCCAACCGGGTTCTAGCATAGCGAGCTTGAATGTTCGTATTCATATCTTTTCTTCATATGCTTATTTTTTTTTACAATGGGAGTTGCACACATTGCTATCATATGCCAGAGATCTTGATAGTAGATCGAATCTGTTGCTTACAGAGATACCGAGCCGTACGGAGAGACCGGGGGAAGAGGGCGGAAAGTGTACAATACGGTATTGCCATGGATGTAGAACTGGAAAACAGGGATGTGATTGGCTCCGCTGGGGGAGGGTAATGGGTGGAGAGCGGAACGTTCTAGATGTATGCCTTAGGCAGGAAGGGGTGGCGGCCAAAGAACAAGAGAAAAGAGGCAAAAAAAGGCAGTGAACGGAACAGGAGAAAAATCTGGAAAGCTGTGCCAAAGGAAATTAAAGGAATTGACCACAGAACACGCTGGAAGATCCTCCATGCACATAGCAATCTACCGGATCGGGTTTAGTGGGTAGCGGAGAGGGTGTGGAAGTTGCTGGATTGCCGTAGAAACTGATTTTCTTTTTTTCTGCCAGAGAATTTATTTCTTTCCTGTGCCCGCTTCACTTCTTCCTCTTCCTCCTCTTCATCACTCCTTCTTAAAGATACCATCTCCTGCCTCCTCTTGAAGGTATCTTCTTATCTTCATATTCTGTCCCTGTTTCCTTTTCGTTCCGGGTTTCTTTTTGTTCGTTTTTAACTTGTGAGTATCCGCCTGTGAGAACCCCACTTCCGCTAGTTGAGCTCGACTTGCTTCGTCTACAAACCCTGTTTCTTGAAAAAAATAAAATAAAATAAAATAAGAAGAACAGAACAGTTGAACACTGGATGGAACTGCAAAATTCTTTGTTTTGCTCTATTCAAAAATTGAGCAACGAACACACAAAAGAGAATTTTGCGGTGGTGACTCAAAACAGTGGCGGGGTAATCAGATACGGGACCTTTTGAGACTAACAGAATTTTTTTCCCATCCAGAATTACGCCTTAACGACTTCATCATGTCTGCCGAAACCTTCGAGTTCCAGGCTGAGATCTCTCAGCTCCTCTCTCTCATCATCAACACCGTGTACTCCAACAAGGAGATTTTCCTGCGTGAACTCATCTCCAACGCCTCCGATGCCCTTGACAAGATCCGCTATGAGTCTCTCTCCGACTCGTCCAAGCTCGACTCGGGCAAGGATCTCCGTATCGACATCATCCCCGACGTTGAGGCCAAGACCTTGACCATCAAGGATACCGGTATTGGTATGACCAAGGCTGTAAGTAGCTCCCATCGGTTGTGAATGGCGTGGTTGGATTAGGGCTAACGTGACACAGGATTTGATCAACAACCTTGGTACTATTGCCCGCTCGGGCACCAAGCAGTTTATGGAGGCTCTCACCGCTGGTGCTGATATCTCCATGATCGGTCAGTTCGGTGTTGGTTTCTACTCCGCCTACCTCGTTGCCGACCGTGTCACTGTCGTCTCCAAGAACAACGATGACGAGCAGTACATCTGGGAGTCTGCTGCCGGTGGCACTTTCACTCTCACTCAGGACACTGAGGGCGAGCAGATCGGCCGCGGTACCAAGATCGTCCTTCACCTCAAGGATGAGCAGGCCGACTATCTCCAGGAGAGCCGTGTCAAGGAGGTTGTCCGCAAGCACTCCGAGTTCATCTCGTACCCCATCTACCTCCACGTCCTGAAGGAGACCGAGAAGGAGGTCCCCGATGAGGAGGCTGAGGAGAAGAAGGAGGGCGAGGATGACAACAAGCCCAAGGTTGAGGAGGTCGACGAGGAGGAGGAGAAGAAGAAGGAGGAGAAAAAGACCAAGACTGTCAAGGAGAGCAAGATCGAAGAGGAGGAACTCAACAAGACCAAGCCCATCTGGACCCGCAACCCTGCCGACATTACCCAGGAGGAGTACGCTTCCTTCTACAAGTCGCTCTCCAACGACTGGGAGGACCACCTTGGTGTCAAGCACTTCTCCGTTGAGGGTCAGCTTGAGTTCCGCGCCATCCTCTACATCCCCAAGCGCGCTCCCTTCGACCTCTTCGAGACCAAGAAGACCAAGAACAACATCAAGCTCTACGTCCGCCGTGTCTTCATCACCGATGACGCCACTGACCTCATCCCCGAGTGGCTCAGCTTCGTCAAGGGTGTTGTCGACTCTGAGGACCTTCCTCTCAACCTGTCTCGCGAGACCTTGCAGCAGAACAAGATCATGAAGGTCATCAAGAAGAACATTGTCAAGAAGACTCTCGAGCTCTTCACCGAGATCGCTGAGGACCGTGAGCAGTTCGACAAGTTTTACTCGGCCTTCAGCAAGAACATCAAGCTCGGTATCCACGAGGACGCCCAGAACCGCCCCGCCCTCGCCAAGCTCCTCCGCTACCAGTCCACCAAGTCTGGTGACGAGATCACCTCCCTCCAGGACTACGTCACCCGCATGCCTGAGCACCAGAAGCAGATCTACTACATCACTGGCGAGTCCATCAAGGCTGTTGTCAAGTCTCCCTTCCTTGACTCCCTCAAGCAGAAGAACTTCGAGGTTCTGTTCCTTGTTGACCCCATTGACGAGTACGCTTTCACTCAGCTGAAGGAGTTCGACGGCAGGAAGCTCGTCGACATCACCAAGGACTTTGAGCTCGAGGAGTCCGACGAGGAGAAGGCTGAGCGTGAGCGTGAGGAGAAGGAGTACGAGGGTCTTGCCAAGAGCCTTAAGGAGATCCTTGGCGACAAGGTCGAGAAGGTCGTTGTTTCCCACAAGCTTATCGGTGCTCCTTGCGCCATCCGTACCGGCCAGTTCGGTTGGTCCGCCAACATGGAGCGTATCATGAAGGCTCAGGCCCTCCGTGACACCTCCATGAGCTCCTACATGTCTTCCAAGAAGACCTTCGAAATCTCCCCCAAGTCTCCCATCATCCAGGAGCTCCGCAAGAAGGTCGAGGCTGATGGTGAGAACGACCGCACTGTCAAGTCCATCACCCAGTTGCTCTTCGAGACCTCTCTCCTTGTCTCTGGTTTCACCATTGAGGAGCCCTCCAGCTTCGCTGAGCGTATCCACAAGCTCGTCTCTCTTGGTCTGAACATCAATGAGGACACCGAGACCACCGAGGAGAAGGCCGCTGAGGAGGCCGCTCCTGCTGCCGCCACCGGCGAGAGCTCCATGGAGGAGGTTGACTAAACGAATCGCCAAGAATAAAGAAAAATAAAAAAAAAAAAAAAAAAAAAAAAAAAAAAGTCTTTAATTGGAAACGGGGACACGAAATGTATCTTCTTTCATCAACTTTTTTTTTTCTAATTGCTTGCTTTTTTTTTTTCTCTTTTAATGACTTTTAAGCAACTGTTCCGGTGGTATCCGCATCCTGCGAGTACTGCACTCCCTAGGACGGGACAGGAAAGACATGTGTGTTACGATTTACAACCCGGCGTTTTGAGCGTTTGAATAATTCCATACACAGTACTTTATGTACTTGTTTCTTTACGAAGAATGCTACTTTTTACTGTTCAACTTTCACATTCTCAATAAATATCGGAGTCTCGTAGAAAGATTTTCTGACTTGTCTGTCTACTTTAAAGAGTGTCTCCTGTCGTTTGAATACCAAGGAATTAAGCTTAGGAAACTCGAAAAGAGGAAAGGCAAATCAAATTCGGTATTCTGAATAGAAACCCGCTTGAAGCAAAGAGACCACAATCGTAAATCCTTTCCATACATAGTGAAATGCAAAACACAAAGACGCCTAGTCCCAATTTGAGTCCCAGCAATGAAATATTATTATTATAGATTGATATAAAGGTAAATAATATAAGGTCCTACCTCATACTCCTGAAGAGCATGCATATATACCGTTCGCCCGCAGAATTCCTGTTTCCGTCAGGTTATCAGCTAACCAACCGATCAATCCATCAATCACCACCAGTCTACAGACACATCAGCCAGACTCTGGGGCGGATAGCCCCAGAAATTAGCAAGCCAGAGGGCCAGCCCTCCAACCACCCCGAAACTCCCAACGATCTGGAACATTTTCCACCCCCTCTGTCTGAGATCATCCGTCCACCACACGACACCCAGAGGGTCGTGGGGCGTTAACCCCGTGATGTGGTGGTATTTGATGTTGTGTTTCGTTTGGAGTTGGACACAGTTTCCTCTTGCTTTCTCGGGGGAGACACGCAGTGGTCCGCCGAAGGTGGTGGGTGTTTGTCGGGTGGTAGTGGGGACTAGGGAGCCGTCTACGACGCATTCGCTTAGGCGTTCCGTTAGCCAGGCGGCGCGTTCGCCTCGGGCCATTGCTGCGTATCTTTCGCGTTCATTTTGGAGGCTTCGTTGTAGGTCTGCTGCCCATTTGACTAAATGCACTTGGGCTAGTCCTTCTTCTCGCTGGGTGTGATCTGTTATCCGTGCTAGTGTATAATCCAGCGAGCCGCTAAAGGCGGGTGAGGCGAAACTGGCGGAGGATAAAGAGTGATTTGGAGAAGTTAATATTGACACGGAGGGGCTCAGCGATGGCGAACGTTGATGCGCCCTGGGTGATTGCATAGGTCGTTGTTGCTCATATTGTCTTTGGACGAGTTTCTTGGATGCAGAATGTCGCATCCAGGCCAAGTGGTCACGATCAAATAAGTTTCGGACAAGGAGGTTTAACTCGGATGGTACCAAGGGTTGAACGTAGTCCGGGCTCATCAAGGTACTGGCATCCATGGTATCCTCGTCGTTGGACTTTGCGGACGACACCGCAAAAGGCATCTGGGATTCAGATGTATCTGTCTGACCTGAAGACTGATTTCCGAAAAGAAAGGGTTTGGCATCAGCAGCTCGAGTTCGTTTTTGAAAGGTAGACTTGAGGGCGGCGATCTGGTCAGACGACATGAGATCTGATTTGGCTATTACTGGAATGACATTCGTGAAACCACAGAGCTTCCTGATACATTCTACGTCTTCTTCAAGGGTATCTAAGATGTTGTAAGCCAGAGCGTAAGAATGAATATGATTTGTGACCAGGTAGGTACTCACCCTGTGAGATGAGATATATGATTGCGTCAACCTGGGAACCGCCGTTCCCAGCAAGCATATTTTGAAAGTCAACATTTGAGGAATCCAGAGCCCCAATAGCACGGCCAAGTTGCTGGCGCATATAGTAAATGATGACCTCAGTCTGCTCGGTACGACTTGAAGAAGTCGCGGATGTGTCAACAAAGCAGAGATTGCGCTCAAGCACAATGTCACCCATACTTTTCCTCCTCTGCAGAATCCGTGAATCCTCCAAATCCGACCACCATGAGGGATACGGCTTGGTGCTCGCATGGATCTCTGACATATCTGAGCGCATGCCATGAGACTGTGCACGAGACGACCGGCGTCGTCGTGTCGAAGAAGAGGATGGAGGGAATGGATCAACATGCACAATTTGTTCGCATTCTTGCACAATTGATTTGATTAACGATGTTTTGCCAGAACCTAACAGCGGTCAGTTGTCGTTTTCAATCCAGCGCCATCATATGAACCTACCAGAAGCACCAGCCAAGAGCACCTTCAATCGTCCCATTGCTTTCCCTCGTTCCGTAAAAGGTCTTCTCTTAGGCATCCTAAGACTAGGCATGATCAACTGAGGCATGCTGTCAGGACCAGCTTCTGGCACCTCACGGCCGTCACTGTCCTCTTCCCCGGAGACGATAGCCTGCTCGTCTGTGATGGAAACATCGTCCAGCGGTTTGAGAGAATGATCCGACAGTGATTTTGGACTGCTCGGTAGTGACGAAGGATGATCATCTGGATTGCTGAGATTGAGCGGTGTCAAGGGACGTGATGAGGCCGGGTCCGAAGGTGGAGGTTGGAGAGAGGAGAAGGAGGAAGAAGGATCGGATTTGAAGTGAAGCAACTCGAATTCCCTGAAGGCTGATCTCCACTGAGCGGCTTCAGTCGCATCGTGTTCGTTATTGTTATAAGAAGCCGGGTTGGGGGACAGTTTACCGCTGTCCGCTGCGGGTATATCGTCGCATTCGGACGCGGCTAACGTAGCCTGATGAACGGCTTCGTCGAGGCTCTGGACGCCATACATACTATCTCGTGAGGGTTCGGCTTCGTCGGAGTCAGAATCAGGGTAGGAGTCGTGATCGGGGCGTCGTGAAAGAAAGAAAGTCGCGGGGGAAGTAATGCGGGGATTAGACCCCGGCTGTTCGAAAGAGGCCTTGCGGGCACGAGACAAAGGGACGTCTGGGACTGGAGGCCTCATCGCGAAAATATGTAGTCGCAAGGAGAATCAGGATGAGGCCATGGAGTGAAATATAAGAAAGGGGATAGAGAGAAAGCGGTCGGGGATGGGGGATGTTCGTGCTGGGGATGCGGTGATGATGATGGGCTGAAGCGGTGATAAGAGTGATTGCCTGCCTAATCAGGCAATGTCACGTTATGTCGTGTCATGTTACCCCAGGAGTATGCATCTCTTGACATGATATCTATGAATACATACGGCATACACTGGAAATGCAGCTGTCAGAGAAAGACAGCTGTACTCTGTAGTCTATAGATAAGAACATGTAGTTGACATGACTCGATATATCAATATCTAATCCACTATATTGTCAACTCAGCACATTCTTCGAGTCATCCTGCGTCAGTGAAGGCCAGCGAGGATTACTCCATCAATTGAAGACCAAGTTGAAGCATATATATATAAGATCGATGACTAGTGCAAGAGTATTTATCACTTTTGTCCAGTTGAATCTGACATGCAATAACAGCACCTGGCTGAGAATTGTTTGGCTATGCTCCATGAAGTATTGCATCTGCAGGCATTGCAAAAATTATAAGTGTCAGTAAAATGGACTGATCGTATTGATGAATCCTACTTAATGATCTAAACAGTGATAGGACAACCTCCCAAGGAACCACTGTCTGCTATTGAATACAGCCCAGACATCCAAGTCTGCATCGGCTTGAGTTGCATGCATTGCATACCCAACAGGATCACATCCAAGCAAACCCTAGACAATCATGGAGATCTTCATTCGACTGAGAAGAGGCAGTGTGGAACGATTTGCTGCCTCGGTCTGCTCGTGGCGTGCTCTGAGATTTACTTGAGGGGTACAATGATGATTAACTTAAAACTTGGAGATTGCCGTTGGAGGGCGGGGACTGCATTGGTGTACACTGCAGAGTACTGACTAAAGTACTCACTGATAGTCTCTCGAATCGGCACATAAAAAGAGGGGAATTATGCCAACCCACACACAGGAATCCACTTCTACAAATTACTGGATAACGATATCTCCCGATTTGAATAGGAGGCCTTGATTCAGCAATCTTGTCGAGGCTAGAGGCATACACGATACTAATCAATGGCTCATGGCTTTGATTTACGTTGATGATATGATATAGCCGGCACTATTTCGGAGTACAAGTGGAGCACCCAATGCGCCAGCCATACAACCCACGCCGATATAAGCAGGGGGGTCCAAATGGAGCAGTGGATTCTCCCCGGGTCTGGACTCAGCGAGTACGGAGAGACATAGTACGGAGTATGGAGAGTATCCGTGTGTGCTCATCTTCCAGGATGACCAGACAGCTTGAGTGCATGGATCGAGTGCTCGATATAGCAATGTGCGCCGGCGCAATTGGAGGCTCATTGAAGCTTAAAAAAAAAAAAAAAAAAAAAAAAAAAAAACAAATTACATTCTATGCGCACAGAGCCAGGTACGCCCCCGAGTCTCTCCGGAAACCTTTTCATTTTATTTCGTCGGGCTTTTCCTTTTGCCCCTCATAGACTGTTATACAGAAGGAGCTGTAAGTGCAACTGCTCTACTTGCACTCCATAGTCAAACGTCGACAACCGACCTCGTGCGGCGCAGTCATAATTAATATAGAGAATTGGCTCTAGACAAGGGTTTGTATAGTTAGTATGAGTATGTTAGAGTGCAAGTAATGTACTAGCTGACCGTCTAAAAGCGGTGCCTCCCGACTCAACTCCGATCGGCAAAGCCGGGCACAAGGAATTCGTCTTTTCTTCCTCGTCTTCTCTTGGCCTTTTTCTTCTCTCTTCTTCTGCGACCAGGTCCAGCGTCATCTTTTGCTCTGGATCGTATTCTTTCTGTCTATTGGAATTCGCAGCTTCTTTGGACACCATGCTTGCCGATAATTTGTCGTGCTGAGTCGAGGCCTCTGCCTTTACTCCGGAGTATTTCCTCTCTTACGCCACTCTCGTCTCCTCTCTCGTGGCATCCGAACCCCCCCCATTTATATCCTCTTCACTCGTTGTCTCTACCAGTCTAGCAATTACTTTTATAACCCCGAAAATGGACCCTGAACCGTCGCTGTCGTGGCAGGACCATCTCCAAGATGAGTCGCTCTTGCCGGCCGCCAACGACGACTTCACCAACTTTCTCGAGTTTGGAATGCCTTTCTCTCCCCAGCAACAACAGCAACAGCAGCAACAGCAGCAGTCGCTTCCTCCTCGTTCAATCCCAGGAAATCCTCCTGCGACCGCTTCGGACCAGTTCGTTCGCATGGACACCGATGATCCCACCGCTGCTTCACTCCATCTCCACACAGACAACACCAGCGGTCATGATGTCTCCCAGGGCCCGCCTTCGTCGGGCTTGTCGATGCCCTCCTACTCTGCTACAACGGCTGTCATGACTCCTGGGTTTTATGCCCAGGCGCAACAGTCTTCCCATTTTCAAGATCACCAGCATTTGCCGCCACAGGAACCGTCGCAGCAGTCGGCGAGTTCGCATTATCACATTCCCAATGGCCAAACTATAATCCCTCCGACTCCCAACAGCATTGAACTACATGGTAACGCAGCGCGATATCCGCAACGTATAGACGAGTATGAACAGGTTAGAACGAACTTCCCCACGTAAACCATGGGAGCACAAACTAACACACTGGCATTACACAGGCGTACTACACTCCTCTTATTTCCCCTGCAATGACACCTTTGGAAACTCAGTTCCGCCTCCCAGAATACACCATTCCTGGAGAGTATTTCACCCCTCTCACGTCTCCAGCTCTCGAAGCCCAGAACGCCAACTCCAATAACGGTTACCCGTTCCCACAAGGAGGGCCTCAGATTTCTGAAATGGGCTTTTTGCAGTCCCCCGTTGACCACGCCCTTCCTGCATCATCAACGCCTTCCTCGCCCGGTCTCCTTCGTACCAAACATCGCCGTCATCCTTCGACGACCAATCGATTCTCCGCACGGGCGAAGAAACAACAGTCGCCGTCGGTGCGGCCCCAAGCGCGCAAGAAATCGCTGCTCAGTATCAATCCCAATGAAGTGCTTAATGGTCTTGGTCAAGATGATCGCACCAAGCACCAAGCCAATGGTGTCAACGGAGGAGGGTATCATATTGGAAGCAACGAGAGCTCGCAAGACTCGGTGTCTCCAGAGCCTCTTTCAGAACCATTGATGCCCCCACCCGCGATTCCTCACGCACGCAAGTCTCCGGCAATTGCTCCTCAGACATCCCAATCGCAGGGTAACGACGCGCCCGCAACGCCCGCAATGCTTATGCGCATTCAACGATCGCAGCAACAGAGTCAAGGTTCGACTGGTCAATTCACTGGTCAGGCGAAACTTGTTCCAGGTAGCGATTCACATGATGATATTATGACCGATGTCGCCCTTCCCGAGACTTCTTTATCTGCTGGGCCCCGTCCAAAGATGACTCGTATCGATACGACTATCCATTCGGGTGTCCCTACACCAGCAGCATCGACCAGCGCGACTCCCGCGTTGGAACCCAAGTCCACCCCAGTGGCACCCAGTCCGCGATCAGTTGCCATGCCGTCGCCTAGTGGACCGATTGCCAAAAAGTCCGAAACACCTAAACTTGGTCCATCAAGTAGGAAACGACCAAGCCTGAGCTCAACCCAACCCAGTCCGCAAATACGCCCCAAGATTAGTCCTAACATTCAACCTTTGGCACCACGTGGCGATGGTAAGAAGCGCATCCCTTGTTTTCTTTATCATTTGTTGCAACGCTAACTAGTTGCTTCTTATAGGCATCTCGAGTGAAACATCTGCTCTGTATTTGGCATCTAAATCTAATTACCAACACATTTTAGATGGAACACTATTGCCGGGTGTATCATATCCTGAGACTCTAGCTGAGAATCTGAGCTCGAAACGCACAAATCACAAACTTGCCGAACAGGGTCGTCGGAATCGAATCAACAATGCTCTCAAGGAAATTGAAGGCCTGATTCCCGTGGAGTATGCAAAGATGAGGATCGCCAAAGAGGCTGCGGCTTGCAACGTCAAGCCCAGCGACAAGGAGAAGGAGAAATCTGGGAATCAAGCGATCAGCAAGGCTAGCACAGTGGAAATGGCCATCGATTATATTAAATCGCTGCAACATGAGCTGGCAGGCACGAGGTTAAAGCTAGCAGTGGCAGAATCCCGACTAGAAGAGAGAGAAGGTACAGACTCAAGCAAAGATGCTTCGCGTTCTGGGTCGAACGACGAGACTACCACCAATTTTGAGTCAACGGACGTTGCCAGTCCAAATGCTCAGGCCGATAAAAGTTCTGCAGCTACGTCTTCATGACACAAAGAGTTGTTTTTTGCACCGTTAACGTGACACGTGTAGATACGAAGTCACGACATATGGCCAGAGGAAAGAAAATTCCGGATGAATACTTAGTTGCAATGGGTACGGTTTATTATCCTTGGTTTGCAGTTATTCAGGGTGGGTGGTTTCTTTCTTTTTGGTTCCTTTCTTTCTGTTTCAATTTTCTCTCGGTAATATACGACATATTCTGGTGCGTGTGGCACCAAAGGATAATATCCATTCTAGTTGAGTACCATGTCTTGAATTTGCAATACCAGGTCTTGATGGGCGTTGTTTTGTTGGTTGGGCGGTTCGGTTGGGTGTGGCTGTAAATCATGTCTTTTTTATGCTGTATTTAGATCTCTTTTTTCTTTTCTTTTTTTCTTTTCTTTTTCTAAATATCTTATTCTCCATATATTATTTACAGAATGATATTAGACGATTCAACCGATGGTTCCAACGTTGTTGTAATCAGTCATTATGTCCACTAACGTCTAGGGGTCTGCTAGGGCTAGTCAGACAAACTTGAAGGAGGGTGAAATAACAGCATTATTCATATATCTCCGAGTATTCCCTGAAAGTCCTCTGGTTCAACGTGTAGCGTTCTCAATGAATAGGCTCAGACTACTAAACTTGACAACTAGTTGTTGGCTAACTGGGTGGACAAATGATGCCTCAGAATTGAGACATCCTGCATAAGTAATGCACAAACATCACGTGAATTTGATAGATTGGTATATAAAGTTCCCTGGGGTATATCTCTCGCTTAAAAAAATTCGAATCCTTCTTAATCTTCAACAGTAACTTCAACGGACACCTGGAGACCAGCTTCCCTCTCCGTCAATGCTCCATTTTAAGCTGCCCGGTCAGGCAGGGAAGTGCCCTGTGGGCCAGTAGCGGCAGCAGCCTTGAACGATTGCTCAAAATCAGCAATGATATCATCAATGTGCTCTGTACCGACGGAAATACGGATGCCATCCTCTGTCGTGCCCGAGTCAAGACGTTCTTGCTCGGTGAGTTGCTCGTGAGTCGTTGACCAGGGGTGAATTGCAAGAGTCTTGGAATCTCCAACGCTGTATCAATTAGCTCGGTTTTTTTGATGAGCATTTTGATATGTGATTTATATTCTTATTCCCTTTGTTTTTTTTTTTTTTTTTTTTTTTTCGGGAAATAGAGCGACAACGTACTTTGCAAGGTTTGAGATCAGCTTGAAGCCGTCAACGAGCTGGATACCGGCAGTAGAACCACCCTTGACCCCGAAAGATAAGACACCGCTAAAACCACGCTGCAAGTACCGCTTCGCAGTCTCATGACTGGGGTGATCTTCGAGCCCGGGGTATGAGACCCAGCTCACGTTTTCGTTCTTCTGCAGCCACTTTGCAAGGGCGATTGCATTGCTTGCATGGCGCTCAGCACGCAGACTGAGGGTCTCCAAGCCCAGCAGGAGCTGTTGCGCAGCAAAGGGGTTCAGTGCTGTTCCGAGATCGCGCAATATCTCCACACGGACCCGGATAGCAAAGGTTAGGGGTCCAAAGGTTTCCCAGAACTTCAGACCATGGTAGCCGGCAGATGGTTCGACAAATTGAGGGAAGCGAGCGGCGTGCTTGCCCCAATCGAATTTTCCAGAGTCAACGACCACGCCAGCAATGGTGGTTCCATGACCTCCGATCCACTTGGTTGCGCTGTGGACGACAATGTCGGCGCCATGATCGATAGGGCGACAGAAAAATCCACCAGCTCCAAAGGTGTTGTCAACCTATCGAAGGTCAGATTCACGGACCTGTGTCAGTAGGTGAAATTAATCAGGAAATACTCACCACAAGAGGGACGCCCTTCTCGTGGGCTACCTTCGAAATCTCAACAAAGTCAGGCACATTATAACGAGGGTTGCCGATTGTCTCCACGAAGACAGCCTTGGTGCGCTCGTCAATGGCAGCCTCGATATCCTCTGCCTTGTCACCCTGGACAAACTTGGTATTGATACCTAGGCGAGGGAAAAGGACCTTAAACTGGTTGTATGTACCACCGTACAAATTGCTAGTCGAGACAATGTTATCACCGGCATGGGCAAGAGCAGAAATGGCCATGAACTGTGCACTCTGGCCTGAAGAAGCTGCTACAGCCGCGACACCGCCCTCAAGAGCCGCAATGCGCTTTTCGAAAACGTCGACCGTGGGCTAAATTGGCTAATTGTCAGAGAACTGGGCGAGCGTTGGTTCTTCAGAGAATACCCACGTTCATAATCCGGCTGTAGATGTTGCCGAATTGCTTGAGGCCAAAGAGCCTCGCTCCGTGCGCAGAATCATCAAAGGTATAGGACTAATTGGCGACCATAAGTATATTGAGCAGTATGGATAATGAGAGTAGAAAAAATACAGTGGTGGCATAGATAGGAACGGCACGGGATCTTGTGGTAGGGTCTGGCTCTTGGCTTGAGGACTGAGAGTCAGCATAATTGTGATGGATATTGTATTTCAATTGGTAGTAACGTACCCAGCGTGAAGCTGGAGAGTCTCAAAACGAGGTGGCGGCTGCTGCTCGGAAGACATGATGACCGGAATGCGGAGTAACGTCTGTTGGATCTATATACGGTATCTTTGCTGTTTTAAGGATCAAGGAATCCGGGATACAGGAAATGCAATGCAATATATAGAAATTAACAGGTAAGAAACACAAGAGAAATTCCCACGAACTCGGAGGGAGTTGTGAGGATGTGATATAAAAGCGACGCGGAGAAAAGGCGATGGTGGGCATCGATGGCGTGATCAACTGGAGGAGGGGAAAGTCAATCATTCCGTGGATTTTGGAACTGAAAGGGAAACTTATACATAATGGCTATTCTTGTGCTTATTCTATTGCAAGGCTGAGTGAAATTGAGGTTTGTGTTATTGGTATTATTGCGGTGTTGTCGTGCTCGGAGGCGAGGAACAACATTTTACGACAGCTGAAAAGCTCTTGCGATGGAAATTTTATTATGTTGCCGTTGTACGAAGCGAAATAATGTTTTCAGATCTCTTTAACAGAAAATGTAAACCCTCGGGATAAACACATAGTAATACATGTGAGAAAGTAGAGTAATGGTGTTCTCGACTTTCATGATCGTCACATGTCCACGGACCATCTACATATGTATATTTAATATGATCACCATCGCAGCTCAGCCAAACCCAAGAATCTTCAGGTACATACTAGTATTTGCATTTCCTTCGGCAAACAACCAATCCTGTTCCTTCCCTTGTTCCAACTGAATCAGATCATGAAGCTCCCTGGTATTCGCCACCATGAATTCGGATACTTTTATGACTGGCGGTCAGGCAGACAAAACAACGAACAAAGTTAGGCTTCCACTTTTTTTGGTCTATATATACAAGAACAACTTTCTTTCATTTCTCACTTGAAATGTTCTCTCTACAAAAAACTACAAGAAATAATTTCAAAAGACTTGATTTGCCCGGAATCCTGCAAAGGTACGCCGTATGCTGCACAGTTGTCACATTGCCATGTCACAGAACCCCAAAATGCCCCCCTCTTGTCAGCTTAACGCGTTTTCAAAGGAAACCTGTCCTCGAATATTTCCATATAAATACCCTTGTTGATGTTTGGTGGCTGACTGACTGTCAAACAGCTTTTTTAAACCTTGCACCGTTGCACGCTCTTACCCTATTTAAGAAAGAAAAGGCCCCCCATATTCTAATCTACAATGGCTCTGAGCTTTCCATGGATCTACCCCGTAAGGTTCGCGCAGTTCGTCTTTGGCATAATAGTCCTCGGTTTAACGGCATATGGTGTGTATCACCCACCCTATAGTTATGTCTTTGCGCGCCTTTCTTAACTGCCCTGTAGTCGTCAATTTGGGGGCGTCCGGCCCAACGGATAATTTCATGCTATTCAATGGCGTGTGGACACCCTTCGTTGCCGTGCCTTTCCTTGTTTTCGCGCCGACCTATTTCCCAAACCTCGCACATCGTCTCATTCTCGTCGGGGTTGAACTGGTCACGATGATCTTCTGGTTTGCCGGGTTTATTGCCTTGGCTGTTGCGCTGCCAGCTGCTAGTTTTTGCTATGGAAGTGTCTGCAATTCTCTTCAAGCCGCGACGGTTTTTGGAGCCTTTGAATGGTACGTTTATGCTGCGGCAATGACATGAGAACTTATAGTTGACTGTTCTCAGGGTTTTGTTCGCAATCACATCGGCGACAGCGGTCATGGGAGTTATGCGATCCGGTCCCAGTGGGAAGACCGCGAACGTTGGTGTCTAGTAATCCGCTAGTAGGAACGACGAACGCTATGATGATGAAATTTGATTTGATTTGTGATGTCATGCACTACAGGCGGTTCCAGCCCTACTACACGCATGACCATGATTTGACGATTTACCTTGAGCCGCAGACTGCTCGACGACTTACGATGGAGGTGTGCATGCTTCTTTTATAAATTCTGCTTTGCGCAATTCTTAATGCTATGAATGATACCCAGCCTGTTCATGCTGTACGGGGTATGTAAGGGAGTTGTCACTCTTGAATCATAGATGCATCTTACCTTAAGACACTGCGCCTTGCCACCCTGTATGACCATAGACTTCCGTGTATACAAGTAATATTTAAACCTTGCCAATGCGCCGACAATAAGCGTTGAGTACTTGATTACAGGTGCTTCGCTTGGCATGTAATGATATTCTGTGTTTGTAGAGGCCCTTATGAAGGATTCTAGAAGACTGGACGAGAGTTGAACATATGCATTATTCTTTGCGTGACTCGAGCATGGTCGGCTTCCGTTCCCGACTTTAACCGGCCGGAGGAATATCGCCATCGGTCGGCTCGGAGTCTGCCGGGAGTCAGATGACAACCACGCTATACCCGATGGAGCAATCCTGACGGCGTCTTGGCGTTTCCACCGTACAAAGTACAGAGATAGCAGTATGAGTACCCCGTAGTATGGATGCTCTTCTGCTCTGTAGACTGCAGTAAAGCTGTTTATGGACCTACTTACAAGTACCATAGGCTATGGAGACATGTCTTATCAATGCATGAAGTTGCAGCGGAGGGTCTTTTACGAGCGAACAAAAAACTCTGTTCGCGGAGGTTTACCCACATTCCTTTGCCCTCGGTCCACATCCGGTAGGGTACATCTATGCTCTGTGCAGTCAGAACTCCGGTTCTATTATCAGAACCCAGTAATATCAACCACTAGAACTAAAAAATTCTGTTAGACTATCTTGTTACTCACACTCAGCCATGCTTATCATTCGCCGTTGTATCAAGCATTATCTGAATTATGGCTGTCAAGAACTACGTTGATCCCCCTCATACCCGTCCATTACTCCAATACAAGTACTGTTCAGACCCCTCAATTGCTTGATATTCATTTATTCTCACAGCTCGCATTGATCCAGTATCCTTATATATATTATCCTTTCAATTCACGGTGAAAGGACCGGTTACGGTTACAGTTGATTTGATTTGATTTCCCCACATTGTACCAGACACACCGGTAGGGAAGGGAAAAAAAAGTTTCTGCCGGATTGACTGCTCTCGGTGGAGCCGGTCTTCTTCGCATTCGCCGACGCGACAGCTGTTTCTTTCCTCTTCACTTTTACCACAGAATTCCCTTTCCTTCTTCTTCTTCTTCTTCTTCTTCTTCTTCTTCTTCTCCTTCCTCAACCTCCATACAAACTCCTACCTGGTCATCGCGCCCATCGCGGACCAGTATGGGCGCCGAGCAAGACCACTTCTCCGTTACATCGAAATCTGCTCCGGAGAAGGGCAACATGGCCGGTCAAGACCACATTCAAGTCGACGCCCATGGCTACAAATCTCAAGAGTTGAGCAGCGTGGATGTTGAGAAAAATGGCGCCAATGGAGAAACCGAACAAGCACCTGAACTCAAGCGAAACTTGAAGAACCGCCACTTGCAGATGATAGCTATCGGTGGCACTGTTGGAACTGGTCTTTTCATCAGCAGCGGTACTGCCATTGGCCACGCCGGTCCCGTCGGTGCAGTAATCGCCTACCTCTTCGTCGGAACGATTGTATACTCGGTTATGGCTTCACTTGGGGAACTGACGACTTATATCCCGGTCGCCGGTGCGTTCACATCTTATGCAACTCGATTGATCGATTCAAGCCTTGGATTTAGTATGGGCTGGATTTACTGGTGGTCCTGGGCTTCGACATTCGCTGTGGAACTAACGGCAACGGGCTTGATTATCCAGTTTTGGGACAAGGACATCAATATCGCCATTTTCATTGCAATTTTCTGGGTTGTCATTCTGCTGCTGAATCTCCTACCCGTCAGTTTCTATGGTGAGATCGAGTTCTGGTTCTCCACCATCAAGGTGATTACGGTTCTGGGTTTTATGATTTTCGCCATTTGTATCGACGCCGGCGCCGGTAACAGGGACTATATAGGGTTCCGGTACTGGGTACACCCCGGTGCTTTTGCTCCGTACCTCATTGAAGGCAACGACTCATTGGCCAAGTTTGTCGGTTTTTGGTCTGTTTTGATCCAAGCCGGTTTCTCCTATCAGGGCACCGAGCTCGTCGGTATCGCTGCCGCCGAGACCGAGAATCCCCGCCAGACTGTCCCGTCTGCCATCAGAAAAACGTTTTACCGAATTCTATTCTTCTTCGTCCTGACCATCTTCTTCATCGGTCTGCTAGTGCCTTACGATAACGGCGACATGACCAAGGACGGAAACAACGCTGATTCGTCTCCGCTTGTCATTGCGGCCAAACTTGCCGGGGTTCAGGTGCTACCTCACATTATCAATGCGGTTTTGTTGACTGTGGTGCTTTCGGCCGCCAACTCGAACGTCTACAGCGGCAGTCGTATTCTGCTTGGTCTGGCGAATGAAGGGATGGCGCCCAGATGGTTTAAATACACCACAAAGCGTGGTGTGCCGTGTTACAGTGTGGTATTCACCTCCCTGTTTGGCTTGCTCGGTTTCTTGAACATGTCCAACTCGGGTAGCACCGTATTCACCTGGTTGACCAACATTTCTGGCGTGGCCGGTTTCATCACCTGGGCATCATTGAACGCTTGTCACATTGCGTTTATGCGGGCCCTAAAAGCGCGCGACATCTCGCGTGACTTGCTTCCATACAAGGCAGCCTGGCAGCCCTGGTATTCCTACTATGGACTCTTTTTCAACGTTCTGATCATCCTGACTCAGGGGTTCACATCATTCATCCATGGGTTCAACGTGACGGACTTCTTCATTGCCTATATTAGTCTGATCCTCTTTGTCGTCCTTTATGTGGGACACAAGATCATCTGCCGATCATCCCTTGTGAGTCCTCACGAGGCAGACATCGATACGGGCCGGGAACCTTTGGCCAACGAGATGTGGGAAACCTCCGACCCGGCTGCGGTTCCTTGGTATATTAAGGGATACCACTGGATGCGGCGGTTCTAGTCGGTTTCTCCTATGAACATACTTCTTTTTTCCCTTACAAAGTCTAATTTTCTCCGACTGTACTTTATTTATGCATTGATGTCAGTGTTTTCTTTCTTTCTTTTTTTTTTTTTTTTTCGAAAAAAAAGCATACGGTGTTTAACGAGTATGAGTGAGCGACCATGAAATCTCCTTACTATCATCATCTCGACTCTTTTTATGTTGATTAATATTCGATATTCAACCATGTTGTGATGTACATAGAGCGCGCACATGAGGGGATTTGTTTTATTATTACTTTTACTGTTGTTGAGCCATTCAGGCAAAGGAGTTAGGTTGCATTTCCGGCTGAGGGTTCAGTCGTTGTCGATCTGTTTGTATGTGTTTGTGCATCTAGCAAACCTCAACAATTCAAAATAATCATCAATCTAATATCTATAATTTGCTGGAAGAATATAGAAGTAACAATTACTCGCGACTTCACCCGCCTACTTATCACCGCGATGTAAACCTCATACATTCGACATAACTTTTCCAACCACAGTATAAGTAAAAAATCAAAATAGGGATAGGGAATTTCCATTGCGGTGTAGCGCGGGCAAGTGGCCCTGAACTGGCTTACGAGACTATTGCTACTAATATAGCAAGATTTCAACAATAACGTTATTACTTTTATTCCATAGAAATTGCAACGGACTCAATATCAAGCGCGCAATAAATAAGGATAAGCATACATGTAGAAGCTTGACAAAATGAAAATGGGAATAGAGATACATGCTAGGATGTTAAACCAAACGAACAACGAAGTTGCATCCATCAACCAGCCCAAACACGAAAGAGAAAGAACGCGGGCGAAGAAATACAGTAGTAGAAAAGGTAGAAGAGAAAAAAAGCACGTAAAAAGCCGACCACCCAGCCAAAAGAAGAAAAGAAGCCAAGAACAAAATCCATAGAATGCAGGGGAAGCTATTGCGAAGCAAAAGCAAGATAGAAAGGGAGAAAAAAAAAAAAAAAAGAGAACACAAACATAGCAAGGCCTGAATATGAAATGCTCGCATCCAGGACTTCGAAAACTCCGCTGGTGCGTTGGATTAAGCAGCGATTATTGGAATATCAACCACCCAATAGCACTGGAGGCCCCGTCCTCATAAATTTGCAACGTGTAAAATAAAATGCCTTCGACAAGGAGCACAATCGTTCAAACGCCAAATGTCCAGTCCGGAGAAAGGAATCGTTAAGAAAAAGACGAGAATTTGTACAGCGAATTCGATGATAAAATTCGTATCAGCACAATAGCTGCGCACTTTATTGCACGGTCGTTTTGTCGTATTTGGTCATAAACAAGTCTAAGGCACTTTAGCTGCCCTGACCAGGTGGTGGCGGTTGAGATCCTGCTTGTGCTCCGCCCATCATGAACCCCGGAGGAAACATGGGCATTCCTGGGAAGGAGAAGCCAAATCCAGGTACTGCCGGGGGGACACCAACGTTGTTCACATTGGCGGCGTCACGATCACCCTGGCCGCCAGGTCCAGGGGGGTTCTCACGTTCTGGGCGACGGAAACGATCCTGCTGAGTGCGAGAAGAGACTGGTCCCCGCTTGCCTCCAGTATCGGTTGCAATGCGTCTGCTAATGGCTATAGAAGAACTTGATTAGCTAGTAGATCAATGGAAATTGAAGAGGCAGCTTACCCTTGGACGAGACACCGGCACCAATTTCGATATCTGGCTCTTCGACAACCATGCCACTCTCCATAGGTCTGCCACCAGTTCCACCATACTCCGCAGTAAGCAGCCACTTGCGGTCTGCCTCTGTGAGTCTCTCGATCGGAATGATACTGACACCGGTCTGGTAGTCGCTGCAATCACGTGGACCGAATCCCACACCCCACCGGGTCTATGAAAACAAATGTCAGACATGAATCAAACTAGAACAGATCAGGATAACTGTATGACTTACTCTAAGTTGCATGTCTCCGGATTTGTACGATTCCATTCCTTCACGAGCATGGATAGCATCATTGCGGCCAACCATTTTGATAAAAGCATGGCGTTTGTCGATGTTGACAATGCAAGTTTGAACGACACCAAATTTGCCAAATAGCGAACGGAGATGCGCTTCAGATGATCTAAAACAAGGTCAGACGTGGTCAATTCAATGGATAATCTTGAAACTTACGTGACACCACCGACAAAAAGAGTTCGGCTCAGTACTGACGCAAAACTGTTAGCATAGGTTATTCATAGGTTTAGGAATGGAAAGAAACCTTTCAAATTGCCTTGACCAATGGAGTAGTCCCATTCGATCAACTTCGGGCCAGGAGGGGGAAGAGCTAGGTCTTTACGGGGGGATGGTGAGCGACGTCTGCGGCCCGGAGGGCTGCGCTGACGATAGTCCCGTCGACCACGTATGTCCCGGGGATCTCCGCCCCTGCGACCCGGAGAGTCTCCGTGGTATTCTCCATAGACAGGGCTATCACGCCTGCGTGGAGGGGACACGTCACGGCGCCTATCCCAGCCAGGGGAACGGGAGCGACGACGATACTGGCTGGGGGGTGAACGCATGTAGTCGCGCTCACGAGGGTCGAGATCGCGCGTTTGAGAGTCCGGACGACCACCCCAAGCACCCATGGTTTGACCCGGCAATCCAGGGAATCCGGGAGCTTGTCCAGACATGTTGCCTATGCCGGCAGAACTGGACAGAGAGAGGAGTTGCAGAGCGGTAGCCCATTGATCCTGAGGAATTCCTTGTGCCATCAACAGCTGCACAAGCTGGAGTTGTTGCTGAAGGGCATCTGGCGCCATAGCTGGCGTAGGTTGGGCGGGAACTGTAGCCGCTTGTGGCAGGAGTGCAGCAAGCGGGTTTTGCGGAGCACTCATTGGGTTAGGAGTCTGAGACTGACTCTGAGGTTGAACCAACGCTGGATTCTGACCCATGCCACCCAGAGCTGCGAATGGGTTCGCCGCTATAGCTCCCGCAGCAAAGGGGTTCACGTTAGGCTGGGTAGCTCCGGGTTGCGAAGCCTGGTCAACGGATGCAGTCACTGGCTGAGCGGTGGCGGACTGCGGGTTTAGGGCGGCAAGCGGGTTATTGGTTTGCGCTGCAACTGCCGGGGCTGTCGGGGCCGCAGTGTTTTGTTTGGCCATATCCGCTAGGGCTTTCAGGATACTGGAAGTATCAGGCGTCGACTGAGGTGCAGTCGCCGAAGCGGCACCGTTGGAGGCTTGCAACTGTTGCTGGCCATAAGAGATATGATTCGGGCCTGGAGATCCTTCTGGGGTGGTGGATTTAACATCTAAGAAACGTCAGATTCCGAGTCCATGATTACAAGCACAGGCTATTTGATGCCTGGCATTCCCAGCTTTCATTTGGAACAGCACACCAGGCCACCAAGAAAGAAGCGTTAGAAAAAAAAAAAAAAGACAAGAGGGAGTCTTACTGTTAAAAGCAGGCGCGTTTAGTTTCTCCTTGAAATCATTAATCATATGGGGTGGGAAAGTATTTCCACGCTCCCAGATGTCAACCAGCTTCTTGATTTTTTCCTATAGCGAAGAACGATCAAATACGTAAGTTGGACTATTCGTCATGAACGACGGGAGTGCAAGTTTAGACGAAGACGATG